GTTTTTGAACTCGTATTATAGGACAATGAATCGAAATTGGGGCTTTTTCTTATTTAGTAAATCGGTCGAAGATTTATCTATTTATTATAACAAACACACGTGATATCTTTTATCCAAAGGCTAGATAATTTGTATTTGTCTTCGTCAGCCAAACGATTCCAGTAAGTCAGATTATTGCCACGGGCGCACATAAAATTATTTTACAAGATGTAGGTCACGTGTAAAACACGTGATTCACGTTTGTCTGTTGCCGACGCTGAAGACTACACAGTATAAATTATTATTATTATAAATACCCAGTACACACGCGTCATAATAATTTCAATCGTATTTATTGGAAATGGCCTTTCAGACATAGTGGATGGTATCTATAAGTTGAAAGTATTAATAACGCGATGCAATAATAATATTATGTAGGGTGTAAAAGCATAATATTTTAGATTATTTGGTGTTGGAGTAGTCATTGGCATGCCCAGAAATTTTTAGTGGGACGTAATAGTAAATAATAATCACGATCCATAAATAAATCGTAGAATCTTCTTTTGTTTTACTCTATATCTTTTCGAATCCAAAAAAAGCTAATTTTTTTTTTGTTCAATAAATCAGGCTTTTTTCGAACCCTGAATCATGTTTTAAACGGATCTCAAATTCAATGAGGAAATATAACCCCTAACTTTACCCCCTTCTGCACACGCCACTAAGATTTGTACAGTATTTTATAATACTGTTCTGTACCAATGCTCTACAATTAGAGTATTAAATCAATTCTCTAGTACTTTATTATGATAGAAGGTTTTTTACACGCTCTTGACCAAAATGTTTAATCCATTCCAACACGTAGGTGTAAATCCAAGAGTCATGGCTAGTGTTGAGTAGTTATCTCGGAAAGTATTAACTTTTTCCGGAATTTGTTTTCTTTAATATTTAAGAAACAAGTTGTTCTACAATTTTATATTTTTTGTTATTTTTTGTCACCCTTATTTTTAGGTGTAAAACCACTATCTACATTCGATTTTCAAATGGCAACCTATATTAAAAAGTTCATAAATAGATATAGTATTAGTTTAAATACATTTTGGTGTTGAAATTGTTTATTTCCATCAATCCGTTGACGAGATATTCTACTTTTAAATTTGGGTTGGGGGAGAGTAATGAAGTATCATTTATGTGGTGATACGGCGCGCGGGGTGTTAATAATGCACCACCACTCTCCCCCAACCCAAATTTAAAAGTAGAATATCTCGTCAACGGATTGATGGAAATAAACAATTTCAACACCAAAATGTATTTAAACTAATACTTCATCTAATTATGGACTTTTTAATATAGGTTGCCTTTTGAATATCGAATATAGGTAGTGGTTTTACACCTAAAAATAAGGGTGACAAAAAATAACATAAATATAAAATTGTAGAGCAGCTTGTTTCTTAAATGTTCTTGAAATCCCAAAAATAGGTCCTTCGATAGTTTCTCCTGTCCACACAGCCTGCGTATAAAGCGAACAAAGTGTTTTCCGGGTAAGGTTTTGGATCTATTTGTGTTAGGTGTTATTTTCAGTGATTTTTCAATAACAAGAAGGGAACATACGAAAAAATGTGAATATTTACATTACGCGCCCATTTCAGATGAAAATCAGTTTTTTTTTTTTATATATGATACAGAATTAAATTATCGTTGAGATTAAACACAGATTTGCTTTCACGGTCATAAACGCTAATAGAAAATTTACGTACGGGGTGCGTCACGGGAATAGGGCCAAAAATAAATGTGGTTTTTTTTTTCAACGCTGAATGAGAATAGGAAGATCTAGATAAGCTCTTTTAATCCGTCAGATAATGTCGTTTAGTTGTAACTATGGCGCGATGAAATGTAGTTCACCATGTGTTTGCGTACGACGCATTTGTATAAAAAACAATGAATCGAAAGTTCAGATGCAGCGTGTATTCAGACTTCATTTCAACGTCGGACGTTGTGGTTTTGTTCCCAATTTTAAAATAATAAATTTTGAGGTGGATCAATAGTTCTTAAAAAACGGGAAATGGAAGACCGATTAATTTTAAGAGCTTGAATGTCTTAAATGTTTGAATGTCTCTGGACGTGGAATATACTCGTACGTACGCAAACACAAGTGGATTGTCGCCTGTCGGTGAACGACACTCCACTACACCATAGTGACAACTAAACGGCATTATCTGACGGATCGAATGAGCTGAACCTAACCTTATCTTGCTAGCCTTCCTACTCCCATTCAGCGTTGAGAAAACCCGTCTTTTTGGCCCTATTCCCGTAATCTAACTTTATATGAAATGTACATTCGATTCCATATCTTTGAGTGTTGACTGAATAATACTATTATTTTTCTCTGGTTAATTTGGACAACGGTTCTATTTTAAATATAAAACATGTTATGTTTTAAAAAAATAATAATAACAAACCAAAAACAATATTTTGTTATAATAATGTATAATATATTGACTATGCACTAATCACAATTTAAATTTAATTTATCTTAATTGTGGGAGCTCATTAATAAGTGGTGACTGACTGATAGAGAATAAAGAAAAATACTGTAGCTGTTTTGTCACAAAAAATAAAAAAATAAATATAAATAGTTTTAATGATTAATACTAAAAAAAAGATGACACTGGAGATGGATGTGCCATTGTTGTAAGTGAGAACTTGCGAAGGTATAGGGAAATTTGAATATATATACAACAAAGACGCAAAGATGTGCCATTGTTGTAAGTGAGAACTTGCGAAGGTATAGGGAAATTTGAATATATATACAACAAAGACGCAAAGATTAATCATTGCTAACGAAAAACGATTCTGAGCAGAATTTGGTTATACGTGTTTTAAAAGGCCGTAATATTTACGATTTGAAAATAATACATTTCGCATATTTTACCTTTTTTCCTGGTTTTTCCCATTTATTATTTAAACCCCTGGGAAAATCAAAAAAATTACTTCATTAAAGTACCACTCCAGTACAATTTCCTTTCAGAAAAAGTACTTCACTTCAAAATCGGAGAAAACTTTTTAATAAAAAAGTTGTTCTAAGATTTAAAAAAAAAAAAGAAAAGAAAACATTGTAAAACCAATTTATTCCTTGCTACACTCAGAATTTAAAATTCATTGTGAATGTGTTGCATTCGTGTAGTTCTACATATTCTATACATGTAATAGCCGTCAAATCTAATAAACCGCTGTTATACCTTGTTCTTAATTTTTTATACAATTGAAACTATGTTATTATAAGCATACAGTTATCCGCTGATCCACTATAATTATAGCTGTATATGTATACCTATATGCATTTTTTTCCTAAGCAGGTATGATACTAAGCACACATAATAATAATTTGTAATAATAACCATCGAGCTTCATAAAATTGTCAAAGGGTGTAACTATGATACATAAATTCACGAATACAAATAAAATAGGTAAATTGTGTACCTCTGGTTAGTCGATTATGTTTATGTACTTACCCGAGTCCACCGGAAACGCAAAACGCTTGTGTAAGCGGCATTTAGAATACGTATTTACATACTCATCTAGTTAACCTCAAAATGTTAGCTTATAAAATCTCTACGGCGACGATATTGTTTTGGGCACCAGAATGTATAATATGTTAATTTAAATCTTTTCAATGTGAATTTATAATAATAATTCGGGTCTGTCATAGATACTTACTGCTTGGTACTCACTACTTTTGCGATTGATTTAAAACCCTTTATTTTATATCAGGGCCGCTCTTAGGAGTTGGGCTTGTCTAATTCCTCGCGCATTGTAAGAACCTCATACTCAACCGTTTTTTTTTTAACTATACATTGCAGAGAAAATAATACTATACAATATGTGATACCTTATAGAAACTTATCACAAATTTTAGAAATACACGGTTTGATTTTTAAAACATATCACAGAAAACTTGTGTAAGAAAAATGAAGTGTAAATAGAATTCAAACAAATTAAGCACTCTTAAAAAACATGTACATCAATATGAAACGGAGGATACTGGACGAAAAGAAGCAGACAAAAATTGTATTAGGAATATTTTGTTACTATAATTAAACAATTTTTTAATTAATGAACGAAAAATTAGCTTACCATTTAAATAAACTTGTTTTCCACATACATAAACTTGAATCGAATTGCCAAAGCACTGAACGGATTTACAGATATTACTGGCATATACTAATAGACAATAGTCTTACATAAATACATAGATTTCTTTTGATTTGTTTAAAGAGTTTAACATATTTTATTACACTTTAAATGAAAAGAAAAAATCCTTAGGAATGTGTTGATGTTTTGAATATGACTTGCAATTAATTTTCTAGTATTTCTATACTTTTGATAATTATGTTTACAATACCATATTTATAACTATAAGTATGATTCAACTCTCTGATTTATGATGACTCTGATTTATATATTTAAATATTTTGATAGAAGTTGAAAACTAGGAGGGTAATGATATTCTAGCCCGGACCTCTTAAGTCCTAAGAGCAGTCCGTTTTATACGAAAACTGATCATGTCTTATTAGCATTAGAAAATATTGGCGAAAATAATTAGTTTTCCGTTCAGTATTTTATTGAAATTGAATTGATCGTTGATTCCGTGCAATATGTTGGTAAAATCCTTAAGGAGACTTATGAATGGCGAAAAATATCATCATAGCTATTGCTGTGTAACATTATTATTCTCCTAATCCGAATTCGCAAAAATACTCACGGATTCCGTTCGAAAATTGGAAATTAAATAGTTTTATTTTTATATAGGTGAACACAATTATTTAATTTGTATCGTAATAATATGATAACACATAATCGGGCGTTTTGTGTTTTGCGTATAGGTGTCTACATACCTACCTACACATAAATAAAACCTGTAGTATATTCGACAACTCATTTTTTATGCTTTTTTTTATGTTTCAGATATACGTGTGTATTATCGGTTTTCGTCTAATCCGATCGAAATCGATAACGAGAATAATATGTTGGGAAATAGTTTCCAGCACCATCATCGGAACATGTCGTTTCCGCACGGCGGTAAGTACCTACCCGCGATGCGATTATAAATTTTATTTTTGACATTGTTAATAAACGATTATAATGGTATTGAAAGCGATGTTTTTTTATCTAGTATAATAGCGTGGTTTACACACGGAACGTGTATAATTATTTTCATCACGTCTATACCGATTATATATTTATAGGTGATACGAATTCTGAAAGTAGATTTAAAGTTTCGTTGAATGTAATATTCGTGATCGACTTTCACACATTTTTATTTCAAAGTTAATAATAATACCTATAATAAAAAAAAAAAAATTCATACAAATTATCAGAGAAGTTGATAACGTGTTAGACGAAGTCAGAAAATCACTGTTTTTTCGTTTATGTCGGCGTTACAGCCTTGAAATGTTGGTAATAAACCCAAACAAACCGTATAGCGTCGAATTAATGTACATATTACCTAAGCTCTCGAATTTAACCGATTTGACTGAAAATCAATTTAGTCTTTTTTAGAGCCTAGCTAATTATTTAGTGAAAATTATAACCGTATGAGAGATATAACGTATACGGATAAATTCATAAAGTAGCTTACACTACTTAATAATTTATAAAAAAGAAAAAACCAAGAAAAGATCTGTTGTAGTCATATAGGTTTGCATTCGTTTTTATAGTATGACCAACTGCGCCCGTAAATTAGCCACGGTAAATCGAATAAATGGCGACGTTCTCTCTCGTATTAGATTTTTAAAAAAAAAACTCGATGATGATAATAATAATAATAACATTTTAATAATATATAACCTAAAATTAAAATTTTTAAAAACTGTGTGTCATATACGATATTTCGTAGTGTTCTCGTAATAAATCGTTTTATTGTTCAATATGGGAAAATTGATTAGAAAAAAAAAATCTTTAGTGCATTATAGCCGGTCACTGGGGTTGTGTAAAAGTCACTGTCCAAGGTTGTATAACGATTGGGTAACTATTAATAGTTGGCGAATACAGCCCGCGTGCGGCTAACTTCCACAGAGAGTATACCGCGTGTAGTTCGACGCCGTGATATAAAAATACAATTTTCCTGTTAAAAAACTGTATCGTTTACTACGCATACGTTTTTATTCTAATAATATGTTAAGTATGTATTATTCGTATTGTACACTGAAGTTATTATGTAATTCAATATTATTGTATACAACATTTAAGTCCGTTAACATCAACTTTAGTGGACGTTGAGATCAGTTTGACAGACAATATTAATTATTTATTTTTTCCATAATATTTAAAATATATAAAGTTTAATGCCACTTATTTAAACGTTTTCCGTCAAACGCACACTATTGTTACTATTTTATATGGGTAGTAAAGACAAAAAATTTAACATCGAATCTTTTTAAACAATTAAATAATTTTAAATAATTTATTTAAAAGAAAATTTAAAATTTAAAATGGTTTTGGTTTGTTTTTTTTTTCGTTATTAAAAAAATTATTTTTTTCAAATATAATTTAGTTTTTTTACATCATATTATGATATTGTGTTTAGCATGATGTGCTTTGTATTTATTTTTATTTTTTATCAGTACACATAATGCAATATACCAAACAGAAGTGGTTGTTTTAGTCTGATCAGTAAAATAACTGATCTCTTGATATTAAAACCATTTATATGGTATTTATATTTAGTTGCATATCATTAATTAATTTGTGATCAAATTAATTACTATGAACAATTTGAATCAATTAGCACATTATACTAATGTTATCAATTATTATATTATTTATTCTCGAATCACCAGAACAATAAAATATGTTTTAATGTATTGCATGTTAATTTATCCTTTAATTTACTTAAGATCCAATTAATTTTTGACTGCTTTAAGCCCAAATGGCATCCTGCTGACTAAAGATAATTTAAACAATAAATTGTCAAAAAAATAAATTAGATGTTAAACATAAAGACCAAATATTTATTTTTACCTTTGTGTTTCAGGTTCTGTGATACATAACAACATGCCTCCAACCATTAGTAAAAATTTAGGGAGTGGTCGACTCAATGCTGTAGTGAACAAACTTCATTTACAAAAACAATGTCCAACAGTTAGTTCTTTTCCAGACATGATTTCTGAACAAAGTCATTTGTCTATATTACAAAATCTATTGAATCCTACTCAACTACCAAATTCAGAAAAAAAGAACTTACGTGCTCCACCAGCATTGTTTCCTCTCACTTCTGAAGTAACTATCCAACGTTATCCTGTTGTTCATACAATACAAGATCGACCACTTGATGTTTTCCAAAGACTTAAACGTCTTGGAACAGACATTGAAATGGAAGAAATACAAAATGAAACAACACTAAGCATCATACCAACTTGTACACAGTCTCAAAGTTCTTCTGTTTCGTGCATTCCAAAAAATAAATTTAATAATTTCAAAATTAACCCTCCAGATACCAGTCTTGTAATTTTGCCTAAAACCGATGTGTTCAATAATAGAAATATACCAGAGCCTTCTGTGGTACTTGAAGTGAAAGTAACACCTACACCAAGAACTCAAGATGTATTTTTTAATGGAAAAGCAGATCTTAAAAAATATGTGTTTTCAATTCATCATTCTCAAATTTGTATTACAAATAGTGGAAACAAATTGTATTCATGTAATGTATGTTCAGGTATATACCAAAGAAGAGGTGCTCTAAAGAAACATTATTTAAAGGCTCATATTAATTATCATTATTTAACACCTCGTGACTTACAAATTGCTGGCTTTAGAGGTGAAAGACTTGAAAGATTAGTAGATAAGTGGAAAAATGCAACAAACCAAATTGGTTACTACCATTGTCATAAATGTTGTATTTCCTTCAGAACCGTCCCAGAATTGCGTGCTCACGTGATGCACCATCCTTTACAACCTCATACTGTGAAAAAAATTCCCAATATTGTTACAAAAGTTTGTGAATTATGCCTATACTGTGATAAAAAAATTGAAAATGAAGATGACCGTAAAAGCCATTTGTCCAAAATGCATCCTCCAAAAAGAAGATGTCATGTATGTACATACTGTCAATTAAACTTTTTTGATTTATTCACATTACATACACACATGTGTAACACTCATGAAGATGTTTACTATGGTTGTGCCCATTGTAAAGAAAGATTTATTTCTAAAGAATTAGCTAAGAGTCATAAAAACATTTGTTTGAATAACTTATGTATAAAATTAGATTCTGATAACAATGTAAAAAAATTTGATTTCAAAGAAGAACCTCCTAAGGTTGAATTAATTGAATTAAAATTGAATGAAACCAATAGTATGGATGTTGAAAAAAAAGTACCATCTTTTGAAGAGCTTAAAAAAGAAGAATCAAAGAAAAAAGATGACCCAAAAAAAGAAGAAACAAAAAAAAAAGAAGAACCAAAAAAAAAAGAAGAATCGAAAAGGTATCCATTTTACTGCCCAGACTGTAAAAAAGGATTTACTCAGCAGCCAAATTTAGCACGACACATGAGTTTAGGTCATGGAAAAAAGTTAGAATACAAAAAATCTAAACAATTTTTACAAACTACCAATAAAGTAATTTTGTCCAAAAAACAAATAAAAACTCAAGAAAAGGAATTAAAAGATGAGATTCAAGATTTATCAGCAAAAGGAACTCAATATGTTTTCTTGAATAGCAAAAATGAACTTATTACCAAACAAGGTTCACTTTTTGATATCTCTTACATGAATCTTGAAATTCAAACTCGAATCAGACGAATGCTACCTGCCTTAATTCCTAATTCACCACTTAGTGAAGATGACACAAATTCATTAGAAGTTGACGCAGCTGCATCATATGGTTTTCCTAGTTCTCATGGTAAGTAAAACATATATAATTTGTTGCAATGAGTAGTGGGTAGAGAATTTATGAACCTATAGCTACAATATATTTGTTTTCCAATTCGATAGAAAAATTATAAAAATAAAATAAAATACGCAAAATAAATGTTTTTTTATAATCTGTGAATTGTGATTCTGTTTTGATTAAAACATTTTCTAAATAGATATTGAAAGAGAAAAACTTGAAGGATTTAGTGGAGAATGGTTATATCCGCGTAGTTATATTTGTTCTGCCTGTCCAGCGACATGTTCTAATATTTGGGACATTTATTATCATAAGTGGAATGTACATCCTAACGTACTTTGTCATCATTATGACATACCATTAGATCAGCTTCCATCTCAAAAATGGGTAATTTGAGAACTTATCTTTATATGGTAGTATGATGTTATTACTACAATAATGTGTATGATTAAATTTGTAGCGCCCTGAAAGAAACTTGAGCAGAGTAGGATTGTTGTCTGAATGTAATGAGCTACAAACCGAGATACCTCAATGCACAAAATGTGGTAAATTAGAAAATGACATTGCTCTGCTTCACAGGCATTTATTGGATTGTGGCGGTGATACAGAATGGCTCAAGACAATGATTCACACAACAAAATCTCCAAATAGTAAAAAATCTAGGTAAATTATATTTTTTATTTTACATATTTTTAAAATATTCTAATTGTAAAATTAAATATAAAAGAAAAAATTGGCGACCATTTAATTTTCGAAAACGTAAGAATGGCAGGGCAAGGCATGGTCTTAAACGAACTCCACCTACACCACCTTTACCTATTGTTAAAACTAAACCTGGTGATGGTAAGTTTTAAATTTATAATCAAGATAATAAATAGGTTTTAGTTATAGCACTAAAAAAGTTAATTTTTAATCGACTTTAAATTCATAGCTGAAAGTGTGAGTCGTATGATAGCTGATCTACCTCCTAAAAGAGTCACAAGACGATTAGTATTTGAGGCACCTAATGGGAATAGTCAAGCAACTATAAATAGTGTAAGTATAATGCTATTTGTAGAACAATTACATTATTATTATTTTTCGGTAACCACTAGGGTACTTGGTCTTTGAAGATAAGGTCGTTTCTATGTGATAACAGAATTATAATTAAATTATGAGATCTATTATCTTCACGACTGTGACTTTTAGATCATCTGGTCACACATTTCTGTATCTTCCCATTTCTTACATGGTCTTCTACGCGATCTCTTATTCTTTTCCAGAACCATGCGTGTAAATGTACTTTGCATCATGCGTATCTAACAATATTAATTACATCGTTACACTAATAACATTAATACCTCATAACTTAATTTTTGTCAAAATATCAAAATATTTGTGCTTACCTACTATTTTAGTGGTTATTTGCGTTATTCAATACCACTGACTAAGTCATATACAAGACTATAAACGATTATCATTGATCAGGAGGGGCGTGGAAACTGGCTACAAAAAGCTTTAGATAGAGTGGGGAGCTTAAAGCCACGTAATACATATTCTGCAAATGAGAATTTCCATTTATCAATTTTCATTCCTTTACACCTACCTACAATACGCTGCTGTAGGATTTAAAAATATTACGAGTTTATGATAAGCTCTTGAAAAATGGAAAATCCGATCACATATTAATTGGCCAACTAAATACTAAATACCCAAATATTAAATAAATGACTTTCAAAATTTTGATAATTTTTCCTATTATTCAAAAGCCAGGAGTTGAACCAAAATGTTTAGTAGGACGCAATTAGTTTGGAAGTTAAAGTCGTGTGAAATACTGATATTAGTGTCAGCACGCTATATTATAATACAGTACTAAACTATATATAAGTAATACATTATGACTATTAATTTCGACTTTCTACATTGGAGATAAAATAACCATCGATTTTTTTTTAATTTGCGTAATCGAAAAGTTTCCAGAAAAATGTCAGTGAATTGTAGTCTACCTAATGTGGTTTAGTCTACAAATTGAAGATTATTTTCGTTTAAGTTCCTACGAGCTCTTAAGATCCCTCAAATGAAACTATATAAATCTTTGTTATGTAATATAATTTCGTCGGCAACCTTTTCTGTAGGTATTTAGGTAACTTATAAAGTTTTAAAATTCATAGCAGATTAAAGCGTAACATGCAACTAAAGCCTAAATTCGATAAGGAACCTACTATTTATGCCTCATGCGCGACATTAAATATCTATAACTTCCAAACTAAATGTGTCCAACTAAAAATGTTTGCAGATATGTGATTGAACATTAAAAGTATTATCAATTTAAATTTATGCCCTGTAAATTAGATTTATTCTAATTTTACTTTTTAAAAACCTAGTATTTTTATATTTTTTTTTTTTCAAAATTAAAAATTATATCCAAAATACTAAATATTATCCATCCACTGAATCCATGAGTATAATCCTTAGAAATATTTACCACTAAATATTGGTTATTGCTGCTGGTTTTAAATAACTGTTAAATACAATTAATGTATAATATACTTATAAATTTACACGCTGCCTCTGAAACAAAAAGAATTCTGCGCGCTCAAAGGTATATTTAATTATAAAAATGTTGATTCTAAAGTTCTAACTTTTACTAACTCAATTATCTACATGTTTTAGGTTCCTATTGATACGAACAGCCGTAACCCGACTGTTTCAAGTTCAACAACATTTTGTAAGAAAATTAAAAAAATAGTGCCTCCAGTTATAAATGAAACAACTACGCTTATTTCTGATGCACCAGATTTCTTACGAAGTCTTAACATTGTGCGTGCTCCACTTAAACAAGCTGAGCAGGTTCTCCCATGTGGTAAGACTGAAACTGAAGTAATAATTGCTGCTATGAAAGAAACCTTAATGGCTTCCCCAGCACCAACTCCAGTTATTTTACCTAAGAAACGTAAAAGACAAATTTATGATTTAAAAGAATTGGCAGAAAAAATTGCAAAGCACGACCATAACGTGATTCTTGATCCAAAGGTTGAAGAAGCTAATGACAGTAAGTTGGAAAATGTTCCCATTCCTGTGGTGGTAAAAAAAAAAGGTAGAAAATTAATGAGTGAAATAGAGGTTGGATTGATAAAGCAAAACAGATTACGTAGAAAAAGAGAAATCCCTCCAAAAGTACCAGAAAAAGTCCTCCATAAGCCAAAGAAACCTAAAGTTGAAATTCAAGAAAAAAAAATTAAAAATGTCAAAGTGGATTCCACCTTAGCAAAAAAAACTAAGAATGATATTCAAAAAATTAAAAAATCTGCAAAAAAAACGCTTGATGAAAACTTTGTTTCTAAAATACAAACGCGTAATAGAAAGAAAAATTTTATAGAAGAATCTTTGTCGAAAGATAACCTTTCAGAAAAGAAGGGTAAAACAATTAATAATAATGAATCATCTAGTAGCTTTGTTGATATTGATTCTAGTCAAGAAATCCCTTTGTCTGAAATTCCTGTTAAGAAAAACATAGTTAAAGTGGTGAATCCTTTCAAGACAAAACCTAAAAACCGAAGAAACCCTGGTATCTTCTTTGGGTCGAGAAAACGAAGGCGTAATTTAAAGACTGAAAATAAAACTCAACTGCCTACATTGAGTAACGTCAGTGAAGATGTATCAGTACTCAAAATAATACCAAAATTAGAGTACTCAAATTCAAATCCACTGGTTTCTGAACCCATTAAAGAAAAAAAAGTTTTAGAAAACTATGATATTCAAAAATTAGAAGGCATTGTCAAAACTGAAATTTTAGTACAAGAAAAAACTCAAGAATCATTAAAGTCTTCTCAAAATGAACCTATAATATTGACAGTTAACGAAGAACATAAGGTCACTGCTCCGATTAGTATTGATACTACTGAACTAAAAGAACCTGAAGAAGTAGCGGAACCACGTTGGCACACACAATCTGATAATTTTTTTGATCTGCCTTCCACTGTTAGTTTAGGATCAATATTGAGCTCTGTTAATCAGGTCAGTACATTTCGCTTATATCTATGTATTTTATATATATATATAATATGCTAATGTTATTATTTTATTAAACAGATATTGGAAGGACCTGACTGTAATGTAGCCAGTACAGAAGTAAACGATTATTCATGGACAGAGCTACAACGTGCAATGGGGGCCACTGATGAAGAAATGGCTATATTACAAAATTTTGGCACTAACTCATCTAAAGACAGTGAAAACACTACTAATGAAAATCATACGGATCTATTAGACTTGGACTGCAGACAGGATACCAATTGCAATCAAGTAAATGTAATTGTTGCCATAAGTTTTATACTAGTTCAATAAAATAACCAATACAAATATTTATTATCTCAGGAAAAACCTAATAATCAAAACAATAGCGAAATGAACTTCAAATGCAAGGTGTGTGATCAATGTTATAAAGGCCTTGCAGCATTTCGTATACATTCACTCGATGTTCATAGTATTGAAGATCCAGAATTAGGTAAGTTACTGATGTTTAAAGAGAAAGAATGATTTGACTTTAAATACTTAACGAGATTGCCCCGAGTGTTTTTACAGTACTTTTGAACTTAAAAAAAATTATTAAAAATCATAAATTTAATGAAAATAAAAAATGTATACATCAAAATTGTCAGAAAATTAAACTCTATAAAATAACTATCATCAAATTTTTCAAAAATTAATTAATTGCATTATAAATATTTGTAGTCCTTATCCCTGTGAGTAATATAGACAAAAATAAAACTTTTTTTTATTTTGAATTTGTTTATCTTTATAATATCCGGATATATTACAATGGGTACATCTTCGTGGGACACCTGTAGTGCTATAGTAAAATATTTGATATTCCCCTCCTGAAAATGGTTTTAAGTAAGCTACCGAGTTTTAATTACTTATATACATTATATATTTTTACTTACAATATAAGTGAAATTTATCTCAATTATTATTTATTTGTTTTTCACAAAATGTGAAATTGTTTTTTAATTCATGTCTTTATTGGAGAAAGAAAAAGTTGTAAGTTAATTTCTGAACAAATATCTTAATGTTTCCAATAATTATGAATAATTGCTTTGCCATTTTTAAATAAATGTAATTATTTATAAGTGTCACCTAACTTGATTATTGGAAAAATTAGGAATTTATAAACTTTCCAAAACAATGAATTTAATTATATTAGATTAATATTCATACAAAGATTTATATTTTTTAGTTAATGTAATAAAGTCTGATTACTTACTTGAATGTTGGGTTTGCAAGCTCATAATGGATGGAGGAGCAGAAGAACTCGAAGAGCACATGGCAAAAGACCATGAATTTGATGATACTTCAAATAGGTGTGTACATTTTACCTATCCCATTGTATATGCCAGTACTTTAATTAATTGTGTCAATTTTAGTGAAAATGGAAAGGAGTTAAAAAATAAAATGGTTAGCAAGTTGGGTGAAATTTTAGACCAAGCCTTGAAAAATCTAATTTCTTCAACACAAAAACCGTAATAATTTTTAATTAATAATTTGGTTAGATTTTAAATTGTTCAACAATTTCCTTTAGGAGTGCTAACAAAACCTGGAGTGGTGGTGCAATAACATTGTTGGGTAAATTATGTGCCCTACGCAATAATGAAAAAGGCACAACTGTTTCGAATAGTATTGCCAATTCTGCACTTGCTAAGGACTTACGCAAAGTCATTGGACGTAATAGCAGTAATGGGTCCAATGCCAAAACTCAACCTAAAAAATTACAGTCTGCACATGCTATTCGACAAAACGCACGTTTAGCAGCATTGTCTGAAGCCGCTCAACGACTGACACCCATAATCGATTCTGAAGATTCGTCCAGCATTTACAAATGTCCTATTTGTAACATTGGGTAAGGGATATTACAATTAAAACAAAAAAAAATTATGTTTTATTCTGTAATAATTGTACTCTGATTTTAGGTTTGAGACTACAAGCACTAGAAATAAGCATATTAGTCGAGCACACAACAGTCCAAAGAAATCCAATCGCATTGAGACAGCTGTTCAATGTAAGCTATTATTTATAAAATGTTTTAAACTGTATAACCAGGCGTGTGGAATAGGCAATTTTACTACAGCTATACACATTGTTTTGATATTTTTATATAATTATTATACATCAATACATCATATTATATTATATGCTACTTGTGTGGGTGTCATTTTTTTTAAGTTATTGATATACAATAATTCAAACTCAATGATTATTATTATTGTATTAAGACAATTTTATAACTAAAAATAATAATAATAACAATAATCTGTTTTTCAGCCGATTTGTCTCTGCAGTCAACTGTACTTGAAGAAACGCCAGAACCTGTGACCAAAGTACGCCCCATGTTTTCACTAGGCGCAATGAACCGCAGAGGACTAAAAAAATTTAATAGCACATGCAGCGAAGAAGTTCGGGCACGTGCAAAACAAGCACTTCGTGATCTAGAAATTAAATCCAGATTAAAACATTATACATTTTCTGGTGATCAACCTTCACCCAACTGATTTGATCATTTGTTGCTGCCTTTCTGTTCACCTTGTTTAATAATTCCATTTTAACAGATTGCCAAACTGTGTTCAATTCACCTCTCATTTCTTATAAAATTATTGTTTAGTTAAATATATTATATAAAATATATATTATTGTAAATAATTTAAATAAATGACTACTTGTAACTGATTATTGTTCATATTATAATTCCTTATAAAGACATTTTGTTTTGTTGTTTTATTATGTTAATTGTATTTTTTTTTTCTTTTACTATTAAATATGCTTATCTTTTGTCTAGGCAATTTAGACTGACTAGTGATGTTCTATTTTATTTTTTTTTTTTTTACTTTTTAACGATTGTAAATTGTACCTATTATAAATTGAGTTTAGTTTGAACTTATTTCAATTCTATGCATCTAATTTATTTATGATTATTTGTTTGTTTTTATTTTCTTTCTAATCATTAACTTATTGTTTATTTATTATGCTAGTGATAAGGAATTATACATTTATATCTTAACTTTATTTGACTTAAATTTGTGTAACTGATGTGCCTTGCCTTTGTATTGCATTAGTAATTTTTTTTTTGGTTGACACATTTTCTTGTAACATATCATTTGATTAAGTAATTTTACTCTTCAAAACCAAGAATTGAGATTTATGTTCATAACTTTCCACTTATGGCTTTTGTATTTAAGCATGATTATGATAATGATGTATTTTAATAGGTAACTAAGTTATGTACAATTTGTATTGTCTAATTTTAAATAGTAATAGAAAAAAAAGTAATTGTTATTGTCTAGATAAATGTTATTAATCAGTGTACTCAATTTTAAATATATTATGTACAAGTTGTTCAAAAGTATAATATGTTATTATTTCCCATTCCTTATCTTAATTTCATATAGTTTATAATATATATATATATAAATATAATTAAATGAGTTGTCCTGTTGTTAATATCCCAATAAATATATAGATTTGTTAGATTTAAATCTGAACTTTTGGTTTTGTCAAACCCCATAATTTAAAATGTCAGATCTCTACATTACATCATATCCTATTAATACCTTTCATTAATATGGATATAATTTAAAGCTAGAAAAAAACTACAGTGTTTTTTTTACCAAAATTATATTTGCTCGGTTATTATTTTACCTTAATTAGTTTTTTTTTTTTGTAACTGTAAAGAGTTATCTGTTTTTATTTCTTTTGCTAGATACTCTTCTTAAACATTAGTTTGTGTTGTGTGTAATAATTTGTTAGTTGTGTTTATGTCAATAAGTATAAATTACAGGGTTAATTGAATATTGTATTTTAATATAACTATTCAACAAAAAAAAAATTATAATTTAAATAACTTTTAACATATTAATTACTACTATTTATTACTTTGTTACTTTTATATAGCAACTACTAACTTGATAAAGGTGTAGTATTTTAATTTATTTGTATAGGATAAGTATATAACCTGATAACTAAATTATCAAATTAAATATAATTTGTAACTTATCTATGCAATTAAAATTACTAAACTCTGAATAATTTGACTTGCCTTTGACATATAAACTATATTTGTATAATTTATAATGATTATTGTAATTAATTTCTATTCAACAAAGGAGGGTTTTTATGTAATTTATCAATGAGACCATTGAAATTTGGAAAAATTAGTAATAAACAGGCACTGATCAAAACATATGTCAAACGTTTATTAAGGGTTTTGTTCTGGAGCATAACTATGACCAAATAAATACCACGTCTTGTAACTTCACTCCCCATCAAGTGCTTCAATTCATCTGAATAATGTCAACAAATATAAATGCATTATTGTTTTAAAAATATTGTTAGTAAGTTGAATTACCTGAAACAGAAGACATAAGTGCACATTTGGCAGCAACAAGTGTTCTAAGCTGTACCTCCGTATCTCGAAATTGAACTTCTGAAGCACGTTCGCCTTCTGGCCATAATGAATTTCTACAAATGATGATTTAATAAACACTTTAGTAAAGAACATTAATAATTTTGATATTATATTTTACTTGATTGCATTTATTAACAGTGATACTCTATATGGATCAGTAACAGTCGCTACATAGTCTTTGAACCTTCTATTAACAATGTGACCGAATGAAGCTCTCACAATATGTTGTAATAACATGACAAATCGTTTCCTAAGCCATTGTTGTTGTTCATCAACTTCAAACACTTCGGTTAGTAACAATAACACAGCACGCATGGGCATATTGTCATCATCCTTTACAATCAATTAATTAGAAAAATAAACAACAAATTGAAATATATCTTTCATATTTGATTTACTCACTTCTTCCACTAAAGTTCTGTTAATAGGTTTGGAAGGACCGAGCACTTTGCTGATATTGTCCATTACCCCATCGACAGTGTTAAATATATTATCAGGCACTGTTTTCACAACATTTCCTACAGCTTTTAATGGAGTAAACAAAAGATTATCAACAGTCTTAACAAGCTGACCAGATAGTAATGCTTTTTTATCTTCAGGTCTCTGTTCGAGAAACTGTTCAACCATTGATTGTATCCCTGGATAAATAACTACAGTCGAAGATTTCAACAAATTATGTATAAACTGATTGAGCATCATCATTCGTTTTTCTAATACTCGTCTATCGGCATTATGAAATGTTTTTTTAGCCGGAAACGACAGTTTACCTAATTCTGGATACTAGAAAAATGATTACTTATATATTTTAACAATTTTAAATGTTAAAATTTGTTGTACCACATACCCTATCTTTTACTTTTTGGTAGAGATCATAAAAATCAGAGTATCGTTTATAAACATGCCAATTTTCTTCTTTCCCAGACATATAAACTCTAGTTATAGACACAGCATAAACACCAAATGTTTTACCACCCTCGTGTACTAGACCTAAACAATAAATATACGTCAGTTATAATAAACATCAATTTCTTGTGATTAACATTTAGTACCAACCAGTTTCAATAATATCTGCTGATAATATTGACCTTTCTTCTCCCGGTTGACTAGGACTTACGACTTTACCACCAGAAAGGAAATCACTTACTTTATCTGAAAATTCAGCAAATAATAGAAAACAAATTAATAGAAGAGGGTATACAATTAGTTATCTCACCTCCAGTTCCTTTTAAAAGCTGTTGAACTGCGTCCATAGGTATAAGAAAATCAGAAGCGGAAACTGCTGATTCAGGTTCATAAATTTCTTCTGAACCCAATGATTTCATTTCTAAATTAGTTATCAACCTTGAACAAGACTCATGTTTACCAAATCCAGACATGATTCCTTTTTCTGGCTAATCAAACATTTTAATAAGTTTTAAAAATATATATTTAAATTTGAATGTTGGCAGATAAGTTATAGCCATGTTTATTTATAAAAATTGGTGCAATGCTTTGTCACACATGAAATAGTATTTTTAGTGAACTTTTAAGTGCTTGTTTTCATTAATCAGGCAATAACACAATTTTTTTGATATAAATTATAGTTTTAATTTATTTTGTAAAAAAATGTGCACTGTATTGAATCAAAAAAATTAAATATTTTATTTATAAAGGAGATATTTTACAAAATATAAAATATTATATACACATTATTTTTATAAAAATAAATAATTAATTAAATATTTGCTTAATAAATACTATATAAATAACAGTAAAGATGTATACATATGGAAAAATGTCTTACTCTAATTTGAAGATTATATACATTTTTTTTTGTTAATTCAATTATTTAAGTGAAAAATAATTCTCCCTATGATTAACATAATGTTATTGTATGGTTGAGAACAACTATGTAGTATTTATAGTTCATTAATAAATGTATCTTCAATATGAGAAAAGCAACTAATAAAAATCAAATTGTATTTAATCTATTCAAATACCTTTAATAATGCCTTATATAATGCATGTTGAACATCATCAAACCATGTTTCAACTACAGTATCATTTTGAATTTTCTTGAACAAAGATTTTACTAACTCTTCTCCAAGTTCACCTTGAATATCAGGCTGATTAAAAATAATATATATTTTTTTAATATTAAATTATTTTTAATACAAATATAAATTTTACTTTTTGGTTAATAAACAAGGAATACAATTTTTTAGCTTCATCTCTAATGTGATCAACAGTTGCTAAATCAGATGATGAATATTCATTAGGATCTCCAATGACATTTTGCATTTGTTCATGTACAAATTGTTTCCAACCTAATTTTCAAAAGTCAATAGAGTTTAACTGATGAAATACATCAATTTCTATATTAAACTCACCATCAATATTTATATAAAATGATATAAGACTATCACAATTAATTGTTGTTAAATAATCAATAAAATATGGCAAAGCAGTTTTACTTTCTAGAATCCACTTTAAAGACAGTGAATCATTCTTAGGAGAGGAAGCAGAATGTTCAAATGATAATAATAAATCTAATAAAAAGGGGGAACATTTTAAATTAGATACAATACACAAAATATCTTTAAACTAAACAAAAATACTTTACCTAAAGATCTGTTAGACTGCTGAGGAATATTATTCACAATTGATTTAATTAAATTGGATAAGAATATAAGACTACTCAATTCTTGTTTTGCTCTGCTTTCTGATTCACCAGAATCTCTTGAACGCTAATAAATATTTATTGAGTATAGTGATTGTGAAATAATATTAACACTTTTTTTAATATACCAGATTCATTATTTCCTTATCGACTAAACTCTGAACAGCATTTAATTGTTGTGTTGATTTAGTAGATTTTAATACCGTAAGAAAAGTCTCATTGGTCACTGGATAGTCGCTGCACTAATTATATAACATAGATTGACAACATTAACTAATCGTCAAAATAAATCATTGGCAGTTGAATTATTTTGTCATGGGGGGAGACAAGGTTGCTATTTAACAATTATTATTTTTATATATAAATAAATAGGTAACATAAATATATTAAATATTGAAAGAAAAAAGATCATGGTAAGAAGGGGGGGGTAGTATATTTTATTTCCTTCCTACTATTTTACCACTCCTGACACAGATTATTTAACTATTTATTTACCAGCCATATAATTAATTGATTGACATAATCTGGATTACTTAGCATATTTATAGTTGTTAAAAATATTTTATTTGCTATTATTTCGCGTATTAAAACACGTATTGTTCGACAGTTGAAATCACATTCTGGAATAACATGGTATAAAAGAGCTTCAGATATATCTCTAAGCCATTCTGTAATAATAAAATAACACAATCAACAACATTAAATAAAATATTTTAAGAACGGTAAAAATAATTTTATAGCTTTACTCCTTTCATAGTTCTCGTCCAAACACACGTTTGCATGTGATGTACCTAATCGGTCATTGTCTTGTTCAAGTTGAAAAAATATAGCTTCAAAATCAATATCTTCTGAACTTTTAGTTACCATAGCTTTTAATGATTTTCTATAGATGTGAATATGTTTGGCCACTTCTTCTGATAAATGTGTACACACAAATTGTTGAAAATCTACCTGCTGTAATCGTTTAGCCATACACCTAACTAAATAGCTAGCAGATTTATGTAAGTGATCAGGGAAATCTTCATCATCACTTAATTTATCGTACCTAAAACAATTTATTATTAATTAATATAATGGATTACATAAATACAATTAACTAAAAGGTAATTAATTCTTACCAGGGATACACATAATCTCTTAAAATGTAGTCCATAATGTCTGATAACTGTTGATCTATATACTCATAACCACTGAAGATCTCATCATCTTCATTAGTTTCTTTTTTACATATCTGTCAAATATGATAAATATTCAATTAATGAATTGTTAACAAATTATTGATGCGGTAATTTACGGTTTTAGGATCAAATAAGCTGTAGACTTCATACTTGGAATCTTTTCTTAATAACTCTATATACTCATTTGCATTTTCTTCTACAGCAATATAACCAAAAACTAATATACTATAAAAGTGAACAGAAAAATATAGGTAACATTTTGTTCAAAGTCATACAGATGTAACGTTACCTGCAAAAAAATGCTATGACCACTGATATGAAAAGTGTAGTAATCCACAAACCAAAAGTTGTAATACATAAGAATGACAACAAGAGAATCCAACAGTTACAGAATATCATTGCTGAGTTTGTCTACATTAAACAGTTTCAATTCACAGACAATATGCAGATATTTCATTGAATAATTAACATTTTTAAAATGTTAGACTATCCAGATGATGTACAGTGAGCATTAGTTTTGATTTTGAATTAGGTACGAAAAATAATATTAATTTATAGGACCGTATTACTTTACACTATACGAAACCTTCAAAGAATCAAATAAGTACGTGTATAAGATACCTAAACGCAAGAGTTCGTATTACTAGTAAGTAGAATACTTAAAAAAATAAATAAAAACGAATGGATAATATAATACAATGTACCTCCATAAAATAGATTAAAATGTACTTTGGTATCAATTATGTCACAAAATAAAAGTACTATCATTGATTTCATAAAACTAATGGCATTATTTTTTTTTTTATAATTACATATAAATTACTAATATAGAGGCAAATAGTTGTATCGATGAACCTAGCACAGAATCTAGAAACTAATACTCAACGTCTCAACGGATGTTCGCTAGCAATATTTGATAAGAGAGTCCAGTGGTTCCCAAATTTGTATTAATGTTGCCTATTCAACTCCTATAATTATATTACTTCTAGTTAAATAAGTTGCTTAGCCAACACCTATAAATTAATTTTTTACCCATTTTAGATTCTGAGTAGAGCAAAGAAGCTTATAGTTTTACAAAGATGTTTGTTTGTTTATTTATTTATTTTTTTTTTAATCTGTTAACAACTTTTCTACAAGAAAACTTGTTCAGATTTCTAAGTGTAGCACCTTTTCTGAAAGGAAATCGGCTTGGGAGAAGTCCTTTAAGGAGGTAATTTTTCGATTTTTTCATAAAATTTGAAAAACCGAAGAAAAACGGGAAAATGTACTAAATATATTACTAAAAATTTATAACACTCAGTAGTAGTGAGATTTGAGGATACCGTAAGTTTTGTAATTTTTGAAAGCATTAATTGTGACCAATTATATTGTGTATATAAGGTTGTCACAAGATTGAATTAAAGTTCCCTAATTTTTTTATACAATTTTCAAAAAATTATCTATACTCAGCCTTAATAAAACAAAATATAATAATCAGAAATGTTTAACAAAATGTGTTAAAAAAATTAAAATTGAAAGAGAAAAATCGATATTATTTAGACAGTCCTTGTATATTGGTTTAAGATAGTAACTATTCGAAATTTATTTGGTCTAAAATTATTGCTTTTTAGTACTTGCTTTTTTTTTTATTAAAGTATCAAAAATGACCTCCGTGTATACTGCGCGGGACTATAACTCTCCCGGATCACGTCGGGATAATTTTGTGTTTTCCATAGATATAAAAAAATGGATAGGCCATCTATGCTTATCATACAGGAACGAACATGAAAATAAAAATTATAGAGCTTTTAACACAAATAGATAACAGTATAAGAGATGATAATTTATTTGTCAAAATCACAGTGTAAGATATACATCATAATCTTAAATCATAGTCAAAACAATTGATAAATGATAATAGAGTATAATAAATTTAATTAATTAATAATATAATATTAAACTAATAGCCAAATAAGCCAGAGATTAATACAAATAAAAGAATAATAACAGGTATAATATAATTTAATAATTTATATTCATTAACATTTTTTTATTATTATAAGAATTATAATCTCCAATATCTACGTCTTGCAATAATAGTCACAGAATATATCTTGTGAGTAGCATGAAAAGACCGGTTCTAACCCATGAGTATGATTATGAGTATGATTGCAAGGTGCAAGAATCCATGTGCAAGGATCCATGTGCAACTATTGTCCACCAAGTAGACGACCTATTTAGCCACGCCCCTTTAAGGTGCTATACTTTAACACGGCCGCCCGATTTGCCCATCTCTTCATCGACCATTTAAGCCACACCCACTTTAGTATCCCCTTCTTATCAGCAACATTAGTACCACACTGTTGTTACCAGCGACATCATTACCCTGTTCTTATCAGCGTCACATGGTTATACGTTTACCTTACATACTATTATATAGGTTATGATAACACTGTTACCATGGTTATATCCACTATTATTGTAACTGTTTACATGTTATATACCTACTTCTACTATTATCAACGATACATACGCTCTTAACACAAATTATACCTATTGTTATCACTATATAATAATACCGCGGTTATACATGTACCTAATGTTATTTGATTTTAACCGCCACCCGCCGCGTAAACACATACCCGCCACCGCGAAATCGGTTGTCAAAAGTCATTAGATACTAATAGACTCTTACATAATATTACTTTCTAATTTAGATCCACAGCCTTTAATAGCATTCTAAATACTTCGATCGCCTATAACGAGTAAGTGTTATATTTCTGTCGCCNTGCACAATAATACAATTCTGAGCATAATATTACCCTCTCTATATACTCGGTGACGGATATATAAGGCAGCTCTGTGCGTCCAACTATTTAGTACGCTTCTGAACTATATCGTATAAAGACCTACCCAGGCAGACTTTAGCGAATAGTTCAAGAACGAATTTTGGCTATACCTTTTTCGTTATTTTTTTTTTTGTCAACGTTTTAATTAACGAGTTAAATTTCCATGTATTCTTTGTTCGAAAGTGTTTACTTATAAAAGAAACATGATGCAACTCATTAAAATTGTGCATCACGAAGACAGAGTCGTCCTACCGACTATTGCCCCGCAAGCCAGACCATCGAATGACGAAGGTAAGATTTCTTTTATTATACACATAAGTATTAGTTTTAATTAGTTTTTTTCTTTCTGTTTCCCTGTAGGTAGGAAACGTAAGAAAACGTAAGAAAACTAGGATCGACTTAGTTAACACACCCGGATTCACCGAAATCGATACGTCTCACTCGAGGAAGATCGTATGGTACTATGCCAAAAATATCCGAAATTTCGAAAATTACAAAAAATTTCTCATTTCAATCAAACCCACACTAATTTTTCTTCTCAAGTCATTATCAGAAAACAATCAGATTAAATTTAATTTGAATCTGGAAGCTACCTATTATAAACCGCATGTTGAAAATTCCACCGAGAATAGAGCGTTCAAGACCTCAGCCAGGGAAATTTTCTTTGATAGTGAAATAAACGATATTGTAGGAGAAAAGTTTGCTAAATTATTAAAAGAAGAAGACATTTACCAAGGACGAGATAGTGGCTTTTCGTTACAGAGTATCGACGGTGTTTTATTAGGTGTATATAAATATACACCAATACACTAGTGTTAACTAAGTCGATCCTAGTTTTCTTCGTATTCGCGGCAATTTCCGTGTTCTTACGTTTCCTACCTACAGGGAAACAGAAAGAAAAAACTAATTAAACTAATACCTATGTGGAGGAGTATAATAAAAGAAATCTTACCTTCGTCATTCGATGGTCTGGCTTGCGGGGCAATAGTCGGTAGGACGACTCTGTCTTCGTGATGCACAATTTTAATGAGTTGCATCATGTTTCTTTTATAAGTAAACACTTTCGAACAAAGAATACATGGAAATTTAACTCGTTAATTAAAACGTTGACAAAAAAAAAAATAACGAAAAAGGTATAGCCAAAATTCGTTCTTGAACTATTCGCTAAAGTCTGCCTGGGTAGGTCTTTATACGATATAGTTCAGAAGCGTACTAAATAGTTGGACGCACAGAGCTGCCTTATATATCCGTCACCGAGTATATAGAGAGGGTAATATTATGCTCAGAATTGTATTATTGTGCAATAGTATATTAATATCTATATGTGATCTAATGACTTTTGGCGACAGAAATATAACACTTACTCGTTATAGGCGATCGAAGTATTTAGAATGCTATTAAAGGCTGTGGATCTAAATTAGAAAGTAATATTATGTAAGAGTCTATTAGTATCTAATGACTTTTGACAACCGATTTCGCGGTGGCGGGTATGTGTTTACGCGGCGGGTGGCGGTTAAAATCAAATAACATTAGGTACATGTATAACCGCGGTATTATTATATAGTGATAACAATAGGTATAATTTGTGTTAAGAGCGTATGTATCGTTGATAATAGTAGAAGTAGGTATATAACATGTAAACAGTTACAATAATAGTGGATATAACCATGGTAACAGTGTTATCATAACCTATATAATAGTATGTAAGGTAAACGTATAACCATGTGACGCTGATAAGAACAGGGTAATGATGTCGCTGGTAACAACAGTGTGGTACTAATGTTGCTGATAAGAAGGGGATACTAAAGTGGGTGTGGCTTAAATGGTCGATGAAGAGATGGGCAAATCGGGCGGCCGTGTTAAAGTATAGCACCTTAAAGGGGCGTGGCTAAATAGGTCGTCTACTTGGTGGACAATAGTTGCACATGGATCCTTGCACATGGATTCTTGCACCTTGCAATCATACTCATAATCATACTCATGGGTTAGAACCGGTCTTTTCATACTACTCTTGTGATAATTCCTCTGTCAGAGCGAAAGGCATTGATAAAAACCTTAGAACATGTACTATGGATACAGCTATTGATTAAATATTTGAAGCAAACATAATTAAGAGGAGTTGGGACAAATGCGCGTGCGTACAATTTATATCTTCACGGTCTTTTTTTTTTTTCCAATTAACCGACAGCAGTGGGAGATCAGTTTTTCACATTGCCACTCCACTACTGCCATTGTTTATTAATAAGTATTAATAAGTATTAATGTTTTGTAAAACCCTGTTTTTCCATTTTCGAGGCAAACTCATATTTTTAACTATGCTAATTAAAACTAAAGTGAGAGGCGAGCAGTAAGACCGCGTTACCTTCTAACATTATGCTAACTTAACATAACCTGTACATGACCTTGAATCAGTGGCTGGGTCCTATTGTGTGAAGACTGGTACCTAGGACTAGTGAGGCGCCTGCTCCTATGGCAGCTGATTATTTTCGTTATGCTCCTTACGGCTCAGTATATCCTCTACCATACGGAAGAAAGGTTGTGAACCGGGATAGGAGACTGCCTCGGTCTGATCGTTTAAAGCCCGGGATGAAATGTCTTCCGAGCCGCAGAGCAGGTTTTGAACGTCACTGGGAGTTATGTTTCTTCCGCCAACATACGTTCTGACGTCTTACCGGTAGAGTTATCAGTGAGGGCATACGAAGAGCGTGTGCTCGTCGGTGTCTTCAGGATGTCGGCAATATAAACACTCCGCGTCTGGGCTCGTCCCATTCAGCAGAAACAGTGCCTGAAGCACTCGTGACCTGTTAAAGCCTGCGTGACGTGAAAAGTTAAATCCTTAGGGCGTCTCAAGACCCATCTCCTCAGGTCCGGAAGAACCCTGCGAGTCCAAGCCGCCTTGGTCATGCGGTTCCACCTGTTGGACCTTGCATTGATGACGATGTTGCGGTCCATGCGTCGGATCTCATCCGAGGATTCGTTCCTGTCTGGGTCTTCGATCTCTGAGAGGATCCTTTTCCTCTCTAGGGCAAGGAGATTTCCTTGAGGCGTGCATGCTAGTAGCAAGGCGACGTCAGCTGATACGGTTCGGTACGCACGGGTGACTCCCGTAAACTATCTTAGAATGAATGCAGATACGTTTGGGAGGGGGGAGTTATTAGAAATAATAATAATGATAAATAATATTTTAGTTAGTGCTTAAAAAAGTAAAAAAGAATAAATAAAATTCGGCATTTTAAATTTATTATACAATTTTAAATAAACACAATCGACATAGACGTTCAAACCGCTTATCAATCACCTAGCATTGCACAAAATATTTCGGTCTCGACTGAAAACCGCAAGCTTGGTTTCAAACCATTGCGCAACTACTCAATCCATTTTCCCCCATACATGATCAAAATATTTGCACAAACATAGTGGTTGCGCAAATTGTTTGATTGTGGCCTTAATAGAAATCAGTCCCCTTAACATTAGTTAATAATGATGTCTTCAACTCGTAGTACGAGTTTATTATGCAGGAGCTCTATCCATAGTATATTATTATCTAAGATAAAAACAGTCTCTCTCTTCCTCATTCTAGCATATTTCCCTCTATTTTGTTGGTATAGCCATGACCTATCCATTCTTTAATATTTATGGTATTTTAAAAAATAATGTTCAAATTTGATACAAAATTATTATTAAGAATGTTAAGATAAGCAAATACTATACACTATCGTATATTATTATGGTACCCATATGGAATATTTCACAAACATTTAAATAATAAAATAAAAACAAAATTATTAAATGGTTAATACTCGTAAATAAATATATAAATAAATGCATCGCTTGGAGTATTATGAAATATATACTGTATGACCGGTTTCGAATTGAAAATTTAATCGTAAGGTAAAATCACAGCGTTAAAAAACAAAACGAGACACTGCATGTTTCGCGTTTCGTAATGTTCGTTCAGTTTTCAATTTACTGTTGTTTAGTACGTCGAGTTCGTGTTAACATACAGATTGTTCGTTCCTTTTTATTTAAATAAAAATTAATAGTGATAACGAAGATAAATTATCAATTTATAATGTATTGGTTTTGAATAACATATGCATTACGAATAACATTACGTAAACATATGTAACGCGAAACCATACGAAACGACACAACACAATACGAAACTATTTTTTCGTATTTAATGATTTCGTCAATTTACCGCCTCATTTGCGAAACAATTTTCACGAAAAAGTTTTTCATGTAACAACTATACACGAAATATTATTCACGAAATTAAACGAAAACGCGGAAACGCAAAACATAGTGTGAAGTGACATTAAAAGGCCAAAACATTGTTCCACTTGTTAAGACTAGTTAGTAATTTTAAATTTTATGACACAGCAAGCATACCCCGAAAAGTTTTTAAAATAGTTTGGTCATAGGTAATTGTAAATAATTGTAAATTGCGTGTCAATCATGGACTAGTAACGAATGAGTCAGCGGAGTGGTAGTGCTAACTGCTGATCATCAAATGTTTCCCTTTCAAAAGTACGAGGGTATCAAGCGTTATCTATAAACTAGGTATCCCAGAATAAGTAACGACACGTGACTGCGTGTTTTAACTACAGAACTAAGAAGAAACCGTGTACTTTTGAAAGGGTAACATTTGGTTACCATTTACCATGCAATTCTTTCTGAATCCGTGATTAACCAGGTGCGTCTCTGAGTGGAGAGCGATGCGGGCGATTGCCCCCCCTCCACCACCGAGAAAAGTGGACTTACATTGACATTTGGCATGGTCATTAGTCCAGAAGCGAACATCAGCACATTGCCGCGATTGTTTCGCCCCCACCATTTTGCCGTGTTGGATAGTTTCCGATGGCTTCTATTATTTTTACGATTCTTAGGGGAAAAATTTTTCTTTAACTATTTTTGTAAGTAAATTTTGAATTTTTCCTAAAAATTGTATAGGTTACCCTATTTCTAAATCAGGGACTGGAACCTTGATGATTATTGTGATTCTTGTTCCAGTTCGGTTTCTAGTAAAAAAAAAGCGGTTTCGGTTTTAATGCCGGTTCTAGAAAAACTAAAATTTCGATTTCGGAGTCTTTTAAGTTTTTAAAAAAAACTAGAATTTCGATTTAAAAAAAAAAAAACCATAATTAAGGTTTCAGTTTCTTTCAGTTCTTAAAAATAAAAACTTATTTTTGTCGGGAATTCCTATAACATTATCAGTTGTTACGTACAAAATATATTGAATGATTATTTTTACTACTACTGAAGTTCTGATACTATGTGTTATGTTAAATAACTCAATATTGTCAATTTAACATTATATCTATCGTAGTCTAGTGGAGATACACTGATACGTACCTGTTGCCATCCCAAAACACACCAGGTAGGTAACAGGAAAACAAATGCATTGTTTCAAAAAATAAAATTGAATGTTGTGTAGTTATAACTATTAAAATCAAATTTTAATGAAAATTATCAATATATTACGGCCCTACAAAACATGTATAACCGAACTACACACTGAATCGGTTTTCTTTATCATTGGTTTACTGTTGGTTACAAGTACCAATTAAGTAAATAATTTTATGTATCTCACCTTCGCCACTATCCACCTACAACAGTGGCCGCATTCCATCCTTAGTATCAGCTCATTTTTTAATTTTTCAAATAGTTTTTATAACTAGAAAAATTTAGGAAAATCTGGAAAGTTTTAATGGTTTCATTATTTAATTTAATAGTAGCTATGTTATTTAATGTAGAAATTTATATTTTATTAATTTTATGAATACTAAAAACTTAAATAAAAATTACCATCTATTTTTTCAACACAAGCTTTAATATTTATTTATTTATTTTAATAATACACATATTTTATAAAATCAATTAAAAGTGTAAGTTGGTAATATTGGTAATGTTTTTGGTAACAAAATAGGACAAAAGTCTAGTAATATATTATATTATAATGTATAGCCATCATTCAATCACAGTTGAGTGCTCTATTTGTATGTAAAATATAAATATCCTCTTATGTGAAAATCATGATACACTCAGGGTCACAAAAATCGCAAATCTTTAAAAATAAGTTTCCTCTGAACTAATACATTTATTACAAACAATATAGATATCAATTGAAAGTACAGTTAATGGCCTCATATCCGACAATAGTTTCAATTCATAAATAATAATTATATTCCGAATCCACGGGACATTAGAAAAATTTATAAATATACCTTTTCTCATCCATCTTATATTCTTGAGCTATAGAAATAGCAGTTTAAAGTGTTAAATGCGGGTCATTCACAACCTAAACATTTAAAAAATATACGTAAATACATTTTAAATAATTAGCTTCAAAAAATACTTATTAAAATGGATACCATTGCTGATGAAGCCGCTCAACTGGTGGCATCACTGGAATCAGGGATGCGAAATGTGATGTTGCACGGAAACTAAATTTGAGCCGTTTTGCCATTTGACAGGTTTTCTAATAGTTACAAGAGACTGGTAGCTTCATCTGGAGACGTGGATCAGCCTATTGTCTCGACGTTTTTGCGCAATAAATTTTCTAATGCTGTATAACTGCAAGAGTAACTTTATACTTAGTTTGCAGTACAACAGTAAGCACATCTACAGTTAGGAAAAGGTTATGAGAATACAAAATGTTGGCCCGCAGACTTGCTACAAGCCCGAAATTGACTGCACAGCACTGTGAGGAATAGTTACAATATTTGCCCATGAACATGTTAATTGGAACCTCAACTAATGGAGGACTGTGCTCTTTTCAGACAAAATGAGGGTGTGTCTATTCTGCAACGACAGACGAAAGAAAGTGTACTGAGAGCAGAGCGAATGGTTTGCACAAGACTGTATTGAGGAGATAGTGAAGTATGGAGGTATAGTTAAAATTAATTAGAAAAATAATTCACAATAGATGCGATTTTTATGACGTTGAATGTAATAAGAAAATTTGTTTCCATAGTATTTTACAAATTAAATTGAGAAGTATTAAGGTAGGTTAAGTTAGGTGATACATAACATATGGGCATCCTAATATTTTTTGTGGGAACTGAATCTATGAATAGGACCCTTGATTTAAATAATAGTACAACAAATTTAAAACAAATTATATATATTATACAATATATCAACCATACAATATTTCTTAAAAGCAATATATATTAAATTACTTCTAGATTATTATTTTTTTAAAAAATTATAATTGATTAGACAAAATATATATTTAATACCCTGTATACATTAAACTGTGATCAAGTATTTAAATAAAGAGATTTATTAGAATAAAATTGAATAAATAATAAATATTCCCAGATCATCAAATTATTTGTAAACTTTGAATAACAACAACAAAATATATTATCACTTTTTCCGGGAGCCATATGATTTTTCTTAACAGAAATTTGAAGAAGTTTTAAATATTCTTCAGCTACTGGTGAACATCAGAACTATCTAAAATACAAGTATAACATAAATAATTAGTAATTAATACCAAACAACTTTTTTGGAATATATTTTTAAAATAAAAATTGAACACGAATTGAAACTTATTATTTCGACTAACTAAATTAAATATATTACAATTTTTTACTTAGTGTATTAAGTAAAATACCAATTGGTTTTTCTAAATGATCATTTTTAGAATTTAGATCATCTGATGGTAGCACATCTTCCATCTCTTCAATTGTAGGACCTGATGCATCTGAATTTTGAATATCTGGATCTAAACAAATTGTATATAATAAAATATAATTTAACAAAAAATTAATTATTATTGCATATCTTACTGGTAATTGAATTTGTTTGTTCAGAGTTTACATTTCCATTTGTATTCAAATCACCACATTTTAATGATAGTTGATCAGTAATTTCTTCAATAGTTTCAGAAGATGTTACATAACCGTTCTGTGTAATTGCTTTATTGTCATAACTTATTGCTAATTGAGGTCTGGGCTTTAGTGATGGATTCCATTGAGAACAATAAGCACATCTATACGCTAAAGGCAAATGTATGTCGGCATAGTACATAGCACAACAAACAAATATTACATTGTTTACATACATAAAACAACTTAATATTAACTTAACATATTTATGAAAGTAAAAATGTAAATTATTATTATTTATAACACCATAGAATTTCATACCTAAATAGTCAAATTCTTCTTTTCGAGCCATTCCATTATGAGAGCCACATGTTCTACATATTAAAGCATACCGATTTTGAGGTCCATCACCAAGAACAATATCAGCTAAACGATCAAATATAGTACGATCTCTTGGAAGTAATGGTCTTGGAAGAGCTAACCCTATAAAGAATTAGAACAAAGTTATGCTATTCAGAAAAAAAAAAAATGATATTGGGGACAGGTACGGCCACAATTATAGATAGATAGTTGGCGAGGTAGAATACATAGTGTTATTTATTATACCTATAACCAACGATAAACTATTGTTAACGAAAATACGATTCAGAGCAAAGTTCAGTTATAGATGTTTTAAAAGGCATAATATTTATTTCATGTTTATTACAAATGTTAGATAATCCAATCAGTTTTCATACATTTGATTACATTCTACATGCAGTCGCCGCATTGTTCATACCGTAATAAGTTTACCAAGCTCACCACATTTTTACATTTTAAGATGATGAATAATAGAGTGATTGTTAACCGAGTTTCTACTATATTATAATCTCAATTATAATATATAGCTGATGGAAACATTTAAAGCATAAAGAATTATGTATAAAGAAAATTACTTATTTTAAATTAATAATCAATAAATCAAGTATAAAAAACACACTATTGAAGTTTTATAAGTGTAATATTTTTTTCGCTTTTGTTTTGTTCTATTTCTGTACATATGAATGAATATATATATATATACAAATATACATATTTATTTTGCATATAATAAATGTAATATAATATATTACATACTTGGCTTAACTGCTGATGACATTATTGCTGATGGTGGTCCCATATTTGGTGCTCTGTTTATTTGTCTACCAGACAAAGCCAATTGTGGTCTATTATTTGGAGACGACAATGCTCTTTGATTAATCTAAATCCAAAATATTGATGCAATGAATATGATCAAAATTAAATACAAATTTACTTACAAAATTTTGAGAAGTCATGGATTGAAGTTGATAGGGAGCATATTTTTCTAAAATTTCTTTAGCTACTTTGAATGTTTCTTTTTCCATTACTTCATCAAGTATTTTTTTCTTTTCACTTCGTAATTCTATTAATTTTTTTTTATACGCGACTATTTTTCGATTATAATACCAAACATCAAATTTATAATAATAAAGAGCTCTGAAATAATAGATACATAATAATAATTGAGAGAAAAAAAATGATTTTAATTACATAACACTTAATAAATCTTACATTATAGGATATGCTGCAAAAACAGCTATTATATAATTGTTTTGAAATACTTTATAGGGAAGTATATTAAAATAATAAAGAATAGAAATTAGTCCATATAAAACCGCTGAATGGAATATAATTTTATAATAATTTATTGGTGAGGTATTTGATGTCATGTTTTCAATATAGATAATTTCCTGAAACAGTTTTTAACAAAAAAAAAAAAATAATAAAAAATATAAATTACCTACATTCTTACTTTAACTTACATCTTCTAATGATTCCAAAACTTCTTTAGTATCTTTTTTTTTCTGAAAAAACAATTAATTGTACTAATATTTTCATTAAAAATGTCAAGTATGAATTTTAAATTGTTTTCTTTGTTTTTTGTTATTTCTGTGCAATAATAAAGCTATTTTTAGATTTATGACTGCATTCTTTAAAACGCTAATATCAGCATCACATTAGAATATATGACCTTTGAATCATTCATTGGGTGAAAATATAAATTATGGATTTCCTACCCATAAAAGCAGTAGTATAATAAATAAAGGTATTGCATGTTTCAACCAAAATGGTACAAATAGAAAAATACCAAACTATTATGAACTTTTATTGAATTTAAACAAAAATGAAATTCTAACATGTTTTTATATTAAAGGTATCTAGTAGGTACCTACTTCCACGAGTGTGAAATAATAAAAATGTTTTGAAATAATCTCCATAGAAAAACTATAATTCTGTTTAATAAGTCCGAATAAAATTCAATAATGTGGACATTTAATTTTTCTTCAAAAACTTACTTTGAATCGAGCCAAAATACTGCCCATTGTTGGCACTATTTAATAATAACACTTTCTTGACATTGAACATAAAAATTTCGCTATAAATACGTCAAAACATCAACTGATGATAGTGGTCTGGTCGGTCAATTTATGGCTCTATAAATATACTTCATGAAACACACTGCGTGGTAATATTTATGGATAATAAGTTTTTAGAAAAATCAACGACCGCTGAGAATAATTGTAAATAGCAAACCTGTAAAATAATTAAACAGGACACGAAATTGAATGACGTTTATAGATTCGGAAATTGGAACCAAGCTTTATGAAACTGCAAAATGATAAGGGTAAAAAATGAATGATAACGATACGTCAATGTAAATAATTCAAAGACGTTTAAGTCTGATCGTGAATATATATATACTGTTACAGTTATTATTGAGTCTGATGACTGAATTACTGATATTCTGGGAAATCGGATAGGTTATCACATTTATGATATTATCAATGATTTTAATGGGAATTTTTGATTCTGAACCACGGTCCATAGTTGCATTTTGGTAATGAAATCCGTGTTCTTAATAACCGGACAGGGAATAGTGATGCATATGTTTCACTATCTAGCGGATTAATGTGTATAATTGTTATTTATTAAGCGGGGAACTCACTCTGCAGCTGTAACATTGTAAAACCCATAGCAAAACAATCATTTGTTATTCAGCCATGGTAAAACCAATACATTCATCTCCCCGCCTAAATCTAAAACATTGTTAAGTAATTTAACTTAAATGATACCTTACCTATCAAGCCATCAGTGCATTTTTTAAGGAATTTTCACTGAGTGACGAAAATATATTTTCTAAAAATAAATGGTCAATTAAATGTGTCTTATATTCACAGATGTTTTAGAATAAATTAGGACATTAGGTAGGTATTGAAACAAATACGGACATATTTTGCACGTGGGTGGGCCACTGTTGTAGGTGAGAAGTGGGAAAGATAAAGCCGATAGAGGGGAAATTTAATATATATCTATGTGTATAGATATACACAACGATTAACTATTGCTAACGAAAAACGATTTTGAGTGAAGTTCGGTTAATAATATTGCTTTATTAACAATATATATATATATATATATATATATGTCACATTATGGTAAAATAGTTACAATAATATATTATGCATTATACATTTTTATTAATAATATTTGTTTAATATTGTACCTATTTTCCTGTTTTTTATTAAAAAATGACCTCCTTAAAGTACCACTCCGGTCATATTTTCTTTCAGGAAAAGTGCTAGCCTTGTAAATCTGAGCAAAATTTCTGGTAGAAAAGCTGTTCACAGGAAAAAAAGTTTTTTTTTTATAATACCATTGATTTTATAATAGTCTATTCTATAACTAATGCTAATACTTACTTACATTTCGTATATTATCCCGGTTTTTCCCAATAATTATGAAAATCACGTAGATCAAATTTCCTTTCAAAAAACGTACTTCACTTGATACATCGGTATAAGATTTTTGGTACCTACAAACATTTGCACAACAAATTCAAGTGTGTTTTTCGATTAAAATAGTCCGAGGTATCGACGACTTGGGTCTCAAGGTGCATCAAGAATGCAGTTGTTCTCCCTGTTTAGGTAACAGGGGAAAAAATACAAAACAGTTTTTTAGGAACTCGGGTTTTGAATTTGCGATCTCTGGGACAATAATACATACGTACTACCACTATACTGTGACAGTTAATATAATTTTGATAATATTAAGTTATTTAACATAACATATAGGATTTATAATTTCCCCATATCAAAGCTTCAAATAACTTCATAATTTCGAAACTAAGTCAGTTCGTTAATTCTAAAAATTTAAAATATTCCTACATCCATCTTCAATATACAATTCTCACTATTTCCGATTCCTCTCTCTCTTCATAACATGCCTAAATCATCTGTCTATTTTCTTTCATTTTATGGACTATCAAAATCACACCTAAGTTACCTCTTTCTCATTACTCAACTCATCCGCCTAAGCATTATAATTTCAGCTACACTCATTCTGTACTCTATTTTTTTGTCTACCACCCAACATTCCAAACCATTTAACTTAGCTGGTTTCACCACTCTTGTAAATTTACCTTTAAATTTCAATTCTCTTGTCACATACCTGACACTTCTCTCTACTTTATCCAACCACCCCTACATTCCACATCTTCATGAAAGCCACCGTTTTTTATTATACAAAAAATCCTAGGTACGCATACCTATACAATTCTTAACCTCACCTGTATGGTAGGTATGTTACTACTTAATGTTGTCAACTGTCTTGTCCTCTTCCTCCAAAATCATACTCTGTTTTAATTTTACTTGTCCTTAGTGCTTTTTCTTCTCTCCATTCCTCAAGTCTATTATTAACTTATTCCAGATTTTCTTCTATTACAGCTATCTGCAAGATGATATTCCTTCTTACTTGTTGCCAAAGTCTTATTTAGAACTCTTTCTGAACACTTATTTATTAATTAAAAAGTATGGGATGGCAGTTCAATGATTAAAATTATGAATGAAACTAAAATTAATAAAAAGTAATAAGATAATATAACATGATTAATTAAGATAAGATAATGAAAAGGAGAACTCTGCATTGGCAATCCTCATCATTCTTGTAAGAGCGCTCATTTGCAGTGTAGTTTTTTGTAAATACTGGGCAAGAGTAGCAAGAATATGAAGAAAAAGAGGGCTCTAAAGTTAACGCATTGTAAAGGGGTATGGGGAGTCTATAAAACCTAAGGTTAACTAGTTTAGAAAACTTAAATCTACTAAAAATTTTTGTCGGTTTATAAAGAATGAAAAAGATTAGCAAAAAATAGAGAATAGTAGAAACAAGTTATTTGGATACCTGAACAACCTTCAGTATCAAAGGTACAACATTAAATAAAACTGTTTAAGTAATAGACTTTTATTATAGAGCGATGAAATAGTTTACAAAATATACCATAGGTTTAAGAATAGGTAGGTCAATCAAACCAAATTCATACTGTGGAGCAGATTATAGAAAAATTACATGAATACTCATAAAGATCTAGTTTTACCATTTATATTGACTATAAACAAGATAAGTCTATCTCAAGAGATGGTCTGTGGAAAGCTCTGGAAAAACTGTGTGTGTTAGTAAGGCTTATATGATTGATATGAATATGTCTGCAACTCTCAAGTTTAACAGTGAGATATATAAAAATTTTTCAATTTTTGTTTTCAAACATGACTAATATAAGAAGCATTTATTCTAATGCTGTTCAACATTGCATTAGTAGTCAGAAAACAGTAGACACTGATGTAGGAACCAAATTTAACGACCAAACATTTATGAGACTGGTGGCATATACAGATAATATTTCAATGTTGGTGAAATCAGAATATCTATACATAATGGCATATATTCTCATATAAGAAAGTAAACAGATATATTTAACAATAAATGAAGACAAGACAAAATGCATGATACTACTACGTAAAAATCATGTACATTATAGCATGCAAGTATAGACTGTAAAAGAGTAGATATCATTAAATACCTAGGTGTAGAAATAAATGAACACAGCAATAATCACGCAGAAATTCAGATGAGAATAAATGCGGTTAATAAGTAATTCTTTGCCTTTAAAACAATGTTTAAATTATATTTATTTATTATATTAAAACTTAATAATGATATATAAGTAATACAATATTACAACAATGTTTCTATATTAAATTTAACAATACAAATAAATAATACAAGAATATGAATAACAATTATTCATTAAATATAACAAACTGAACAGGGTAATGACTTTGGTAGTCAAACCATAATTATTAAAATAACAGTCCATATTTTAGTGGTTATTTATCAATATTGGCCCAAAACCAGGAATGTTTAGTACACTAAATTTTGTTAATTTAGATATAAATATTAAATTAACATTTAAAATAATGTGTTATTTAAAAAAAAATGAATGTATTAATAAATAAGAAAAATATGAGATACAATAATGATTGATGAAAAATGTATTATGAATTTTAGATAATTGTTTATAAAAAAATTAGACGTGTGCTTAGTAAAAATTATAATATCATTATAGGTGACTGTGGGGGTGGAGGAGGAGCTTCCAAGGGTGGAGGCCCAATATCACATTCACTAGATGGTAAAGATGACGTTATGTTTTCATAGGAATGTAATTCAAATCTAAAACAAAAATATTGATATTGTTATTCAAATTTTTTTAAATTTTTTTCAAGATATAAAATAATAGATCTATTATTATATGGTGCAAAATTAAATCACATACCTGTACAATACAAGGAACATAGCTTGCAGTGCAGCATTTCAGAAAATTAAAATAAATTTTATATTTAGCCAGAAACATTAATTTTATATTAAGAGTTTGACAATGTATTTTATATTTTCTAAAATAACCCGTCTAAAAATTATCAATAGTATTAATAATTTACTAAAATAATAATATTATTTAGTAGTAATGTAAACTATTTTCATTTTTAATAATGATAAAAATAACAATTTTAGTTTAATTATTATTTAAAATGAGATACAATAAAGAAGAAATAGAACGAACAATATTGAGAAAACAAAATTACAATTTATACATTTATTTTATATTTTCCTTGTTTGTTATTAATTGTATTATAAATGCAAAAATATACTTTTCTAATACTATAATAGCATTTTTAATAAAGCTAAATATTTTTAAACAATAGCACACAATTTACTTTCAAATATTGAACATATATTCATTTCTTAATTCTCAATATTCTCGAGCAAAATAATTTAATATAATTATATTACTATTATGAGTAAATTATTCTAAATTCTGGCTTAGAACGTAGGTCTAATCAATTTAGTAAGAAAGGAGGAAGTGTGATAGACTGTGAGAGTAATGACAAAGAAAAAAGTAATAGATTAAAAGATGGAGTACCAATGGATACGTGGAAAATAAATATGAGATGGTTAAACAATTTATTTAATTAAGTACTAATAGAAGGGAAAATACCAGACAAGTTTTATAGTATCATAAAAATATACAAAATTGAGAAAATTATAGAGGAATAAAATGAATGAGTAATAGTATTAAGATACAGGAAAGGATTATATAAAAAAATTGGAATTGAGACATCAATATCTTAGAACCAATAAAAGATAAATAAGAGGTAGCATAGGCGTGGCTTTGAAAGTGGATACAATGAAAGAAATTAGACTGAGATGGTATGGACATGTCATGAAGAGAGTGAAATCAATCAGAAGCAGTAAGAATAGTAATTAAAATAAACATGGGAAGAAAGAGGGGAAGAAGATAACCGAAAAAGAGGTCATTGGATGTTATTTAGAATGATATGGGAAATGGGGTGAATTGGAAACTTAGAACAAGGGTAACCACTCCCAAATAGATTTAATGAAAGCGAAGAAGATTCTAAATTCTAGCTAGAAACAATGCGTAGTTTAGAAAAAGAAACTTAGTCTTCAAAATAGTAACAATTATAAATGGCAACTAGTATAAGTGTTTATACATTGTATATTAATGTGGAATCATATTTATCAATCTAAACATACTAACACGTTAGAAGTAGGTGAGTTAGGACATGAATCTGCAGTAGCCACCATGGTTGTTGTTGGTATATTTGGTTTACCAGGATCATAACCAAGGAGTTCAACAACATTTGATTTGTCTAAAGTTGGAGAAACCAATGGAGAATCAGTTGTAGGATAGGTGTTGCATGTAATAGCATTTTTTAAAACTCTGTGAGCTGTGCAAGGATTTAAAGTTGGCACATTTTCTTCACCTACAATTGTAGCTAATTCGTCAGTATATTTTATGTTCAGGTACTCTCGACCAATCATCTCAATTGTCTAAATTAAAAAAAAAGTATTCATAAATATTTAATAATCTTGGAATAAATTCTAAACTGGTTTAACCTTTTCAGCTGATATTCTTGAGCAGATAGTTTGAACATAGTGATTAATGGCTGTATATATGAACTGATATTGTGCTTCAGATTGTACAAGACCTGGACGAAATGACCTTACCATATGTGTAGTACGCTGAATATCCAACTCACAATCGAGACCTATAGAATAATAATTTGAAAAATATCCATATTATATTGTTCTTTTTTACTAGTTATAATAATATTGTACATTTTATTGTATACCTTTACGATTAATTAAACCAATAAGAAGGTCAAGTACAACAAATGTTCCAGTTCTTCCGATTCCAGCACTGCAATGTACAGTTAACGGATGAGAAACATCAGAGTGTGCTTCTATGTTGAATTGTCTTGTATTGACTACAAATTGTAGATCAAGAAGTGAGCCAGCATCGGATGGAACTCCATGATCTGGCCATCCCTAATAACCAATTTTATATGATAAAAATATGGCTACCAGTAATTTTGTTTATTTTTATTATGTTGCTTTTTTTTTTTCCATACAAAGAATGAAGAATTTCATTAATATTTTTAATTTTTGAAGAATTTTCTGTTTTAATGTAATTTATTTGAATTCAAGCACATTTTAAATTTAAAACAAAGTATAAAAAAAGATTAACTTCTATAAAACACTAACGGGTAGTGAAAATACTTAAAATATAATGGTAATAAATAAATAAGTAAATAATTATAAGTAATTTTTCTTTACTTTATAATGGTACTGAAATATTCTTCTGTGTCTGAAATTTGGAATAGAAATATCAAACATTCTCTCAATCATATCTTGTTGATGAGCGTACTCTCCAAGGTTTAAAACAGTTATTTTTCCGTACTCACGTGTCTGGCCTAGATCTGGCCAATATTTTACACACTTTTCCTATTTAAAAAAATGTGTATCTTAAAAAGTAATTAAAATTTAAATATTATAGACATATACAAACTTTAGATTTTTCAAATAATTTTGTAATCATTACAATTACACGAGAATCTTCTTGCCATATCATTTTCCAGAAGTCATTTATTGTATTATGTAAACAACCTTGCGTGACAATGTAATTTCGGGTTTCATAATTTTCAGCTAGAGCAAATGGATCAAGCTGGAAAAATAAAAATGTTGTTATTTTAATTTTATTTTAAGAAAAATATAGATAATTACTTTTATTATATTGGCATTTATATAATCTGAACCTGGTATATTTTTATCACAATTTCTTAATACAATTCTTGAATGATCATCTAAAGCAGTTTAGTTAAAAGGTTAAGAAAATCATCCTTGTAATATAAACAAAATATAAAACATACATGGTAAAATATTTCGATATCGATTCTTGGATTTATTTTCATCTAAAAAACCAATATCTTTTGTACCATCTCGTTTTGTTTCCCATTGTTGTAATACGTCAAATTCTTCCCAAAACCCTCCAGTTCCGATTGAATAATGTTGATATTTTTGATGCTTTAGTATAATTATGATAATTAATACATGAATTTGATATTTAAAAAAAATTCAATATTTAATAGTTATTTTTATTACAACAAAATAATATTTGTGTAACTGAAATAATATTTAGTTTTATGTATACTAAGGTGGTCTAAATCTACATAGGCTGAGATTTTCTTAAGAAATTAAAAATGATTTAACACAATATCTCGCCCTTTTATACAAAGAAAATAAAAAAATATTTAAATGCAATGAAAATATCTCTTCTATCTTGTTTTTTAAAAAAAAGTTATGATTATTAAGCATAATTTACATTTAATTAAAACTATTAACTTTGATTTAGGTACAAAAATTTCAATCATCTTGGTCCATAATTTCACCATTTTTCGGCACAAGAAGTTATCGAGTCCAAATTTTCACAAAAATATTTTTTTCACTGAAAAAATCTTGGGATTAAACATTTAAAATTTCGTAAGTTTTTTTGGACCACCTTAATAAATATGAAAAGTGATTCATTTGACCTAAAATATTCATTATTTCACCAAGTATTAACTTTTTTCAAAATCAAATGTTACATTATCATTATATTTTGTCTCCCTGAAGGTGAGAATAATAGAGAACTATTCAATCACTATTCCACTACGATTCCCTACTCAAACTGAAAAGTGAAATATCCAATCAAAGAAATTTGTTTTTAGCCTTAATTTATTTAATGTTTATGTTTTCTACCAATATTTACGTTATATGAAATAAAATAAAATACGGGCTAACAGAAATCAAAAATGTCAACAGTTAAATTTATTTATTATTATTTAGGTACTTATTCAACTACTTAAGGAATTTTTCAGGAAAGTTTGGGAAATTTAAAGTAGCTTAACCCCCAAAAATAATGACCATGTAACACTTTAGAGCGACTGGTATTTTAAATTCTTAAACATTTTTTTTTTTGTGTTTTACGTTAAATGAATCACCCTGTGTATATTAAAATAATATAATCACAATATTTCTCACTTTGAGTTTAAATACACGATCAACTATTCCAGCAATACTTATTCGAGTTACATTTACTGGACTTATTAAATGTATAACTGATCCAGTTTGATCAACCATTGGATTGAAACTGTAGAACTTCATTAAATCATTTAAAGATAAGAATTCTTCCCCCCCACCAATATCATACTTTTCTCCCTAAATAAAAAATAATTGATAAAATTTCAATTTAATTCCTTATGGCAAATTTAAAAACACTTACATTACATCTAATTAAAATTTCAGAAACCTTATCATCAACATTAACGGTTAGTACATAATTTCCAGGATCAGATTGTGATTCTCTTACTAAATAACTACCAGGACGTCCTTTCTCTAAAATTAGATATTCTGCTTCTTTTCTAGACATTTGACCATGAAACCATCTTTCATTTGTTGGTTCAGGTGATCCAATTGGTATTAATAAAGGTAATGGTATACCACCTTGTTCTTTAAGCACACGTGGATGTGTCATATAATGTTCAACGAGATCTGTAAGAGTAGCAAATTTTTCACCACCATTGAGATCAAAAAGCTCACCATCATTATGAATTTTTATATGATTAACTTTATTACCATGCCTAAAACATTAATGATCATATACATTATAGGTAAACTAAAATAATAAAATAATGTGAATAAATTTAGTTTACCACCAACACCTTTCAAGATTTAAATTGTATTGTTTTACTGTAAGTACTTTAACGTATTATAATACTTGTATTCTTAGAATTTATTCATCTGACTTATTTATAATGTTGTAATCCATATATGTAATCTCTATTTTATATTTTATGTTAACTGCTAATTTAATAAACAATATAATTTTTTATTTTTCATTCATATAACTAATCTATTCTAAAACGATACAATTAATTATCAATTTATTTTTATTACAACTTTTTTTCCGTATATTCGAATTGAATTCTTCAAAACATTTTATCCTTTTATTTATTTTTTTTATTTATCCCTTTTATGTAATTTTTAATTGTACTTATATTTTGTGTAAATTCGAATTTATTTTCCGTAATAAAGATATTATTATTTTAGATACCTAGTTGAATTTTACTGATATAGGGATATATAAATTACTAAGTGCATATTATTTCCTGTTAAACCACTTATACTGTTACTGGTTTCAATCAGTGAGTTTATAGTAATAAATTCAGCTAAAATCATGTAAACCTCCTATGGGATGGAAACTTAGTCATTAGACTTAAGAATATGAAAAATTCATAATAAAATAATTAAACTACAAGCAAATATGGTAAGATTATTTTAATACTGTGGATTAACTTTTTCTAGAAAGTGTTAGTCCTTTAAATCAGCCCTCCAGAAAAATTTTACCGCCCATATTTCCCTGTTCAATGGTTTTTTCTTCTATGTACTTCTGGTTTCATTACCGTGAGATAGATTTATTGTTGGTATATGCATGTTTTGTAGGGTATTTTGAACAACACATAATTTTCCATATTTAGATTAATAGTTTTTTAAATTAATAGATGTAACAATAATAGTATAAAAATATACAATTAATATTTACATAGTAATAGTAATAATTATTTAATAATTTAATTTGAAAAATATAGTCATTATATGTTGTTACTATATTATGTACAGGTTCGTCATGCATTCCATCAGCTAGGAAGATATCTTTAAATGCACAAATTGTACATTCAGTGGTGATTTATCTAGGCGTCTAACGTTCATAACCAGTCACATATCTCAGAATCACGTAACCCTCATTTGACCATCATATGTATATTTCTAGGAAATATAAATTGAACTTGCAACAGTATCATCCTTTTTAAATTTACAATTCTCAAAACACTACAGTTTCTAATTTAAATTTTTACGCCCAGTTATTATATACACTTTTTAATGTGTATCTTTATTCAAGGCATGTGACTATTCTTACTATTTTACTCTTTATATCATACTACTTCCCTAACCAAAAATTATAAAAACTAAGATGTAATATTTTTAACACGCCTGATATTCGACACTTACTTGACAGTATTGCTTCTTCTTAACAATCTAAGTTGTATGAAAACATCCTAAGTTTTGGGTATACAATCTTAATGAATATTAACAGGTTCAAAAATAGGTAAGTAGTACAAAATCAAAAATTGATAGTCAAAATTTGATTATCTTTTGAGGTGTGGTAAACTATAACCAATGAATAATTTATATGCTATTATAATACCTAACAGATAGGACAAATTGTCCTTTTCTGCTATATGATTTCCGAACCAAAAATGACCCTTCAACACCCTCATCTAGAAGAATACGCTGAGCATCTAATCCATTTAAATGTGAGTGGAACCATCTGTATAAAATTAATATCATTATTATTATTATTTATCATTATTAATATTACATTAAATATATTATTAAAACTATTCATATTACCTTCTGGACATTGTGAAAAATTACTAAAAACACACAATGTGCATAAAATAACACTTTTTGCTTTACGTACTACAGAAAAAAATTGAAAAAATCACATATTATTTAAATACTAGCAAGAATTCTGATTATGTTACAATATTATTATTGTACTTACACAATCGCATAGCCTATGATAGGCTTAAGTGTTTTGTCAAATTGATCTTAGTGCGTGAACCAGAAACGCTTTCCTACACATTCAGAATATTAATGCATCGAGTGTCCTTCACTGGAGATGACCATCACAACGAAACAATTGTCTCGCATAATACGCATAATTAACTAGGAAGTCACAACAATAAATTGTGAGACACCAACAAATCCTCAGATTAATCGTAATGCATAGTATGTTTAGTAACAATTGTTTGAATAACACTTAATAAAACCAACATAATTCAAACATGTATAAATAATTAAAAACTAATAAAAAAAATAGAATAAAATTACATTATTAGGTATGTAGACATGTTGAGTTCCAAGTTTCCAACTTCCAATCCTAAATAACTTTATAATTCGATAACATTGATAACAACAGAGGGGTTTCTTGTGCCCCGCCACTTCTATTACATTATGACCACTACTTTAATTTATATTTGATTTTTCCATGATAACCTTAAACTATATTATATTTCACCAAAATAAGATAAGAAAACTGTTATCATTTAAAAAAATTTAAGTTTTTATGTTAATTTGTCATACAATTTTGCATTTATGAAATTAATAAATAAAATCAAATTTAAGACTGATATTAAAATATGATTTAAAGTAAAATTGAATGATAAAATCGTTCATAATAAGGTTTTGAATAGTCTTAGCTATGGACAGTGATTCAAAAACTGATATTTTAGAAGATGACTACTATTCAGTATTGAATTTGCCTAAGTCTGTTAGTCAATTAAAAAATGCTGATATTATACTCTAAACAACTATTTTGAATTTGGTAATTTGAATGATGTATATTTTAGGCATCTCCAGAAGAAATTACATTTGCTTATCGTCGTTTAAGTAAAATCTATCACCCTGACAAACATGTGGATGAAAAAAAGAAAAAAGATGCTGAAATATTATTCAACAAGACACAAAAAGCATATGAAGGTAAGTGTATATTTATTTTTGATCGAAACATTTTTAATTTTGTTTTTACCTATTCTATTCTATTTAATTATTTATTCTAGTTTTAAAAGATCCACATCAAAGGGCAATTTATGATTGTGTGGGTGTAAAAGGTTTAAAAACTGAAGGATGGGAAATTGTTCATAGGACAAAAACCCCACAAGAAATTCGAGAAGAATATGAAGCATTAGCAAGGTAAATAATTCTTAGTAAAATAACAATAAATTTAGTATAATCAATAAATTAAATTTTATTATAGAGATCGAGAAGAAAGAATGTTACGGCTTCGAACAAATGCCAGAGGTGTATTTACTGCTCAAATAGATGCTACTGATATTTTTGAACCTAACCAATACTTAGATTATGATGAGTAATGTATTTTCCTTTATCAATAAATAAATGTACAGACTAACTTATTTACTTACTTAGAGATGATAGCTATATTTATATACCTAACATTGAAGTATCGTCAATGTCTATGTCAATGTCTACTGAAGCACCAATTACTCTGCGTGATACAATTGTTCTTAGTGGGAATCTATCGTCGCGTTCTGGTTCAGGTATTTATGTTTAAATATTTATGATATTAATGTTTACCTATATGCAATATTTATCCATATATTCATCAGAATAAATACTTATATTAAATAAATTATATTTAGTTTCCAGTAGCTATAAAAGACTTTTAAGTACCAATGGATGGGTTAAGTATGATTTAACTGCTGGAAATGGTCTACATGTGGGCGCTAAAATATTTAAGTAACTACACTTATTATTATTTTTTTTTATCACCATTCATAATATTTTTTTTTAGAATGATTACAAAAACGGTTTTTGGAACAATTGAAGGAAGTTTAAATGATTTGACGAGTGGTTCATTAAGACCTGTTGGCCGAATATTGTTAGGCACAAGTTTAGGTGCCCGAACGACCGGGTGTATTTCTTTAGGTGGACGTGTATCATCTTTCAAACATACTAGTTTGTCTACTGAAATAGAACATAATACTGAAAGAAGTTACTGTATGTGTAAGCTTGAAATTGGTCTCGCTCCTGCTATTAGTATGTTGTATACATGGAAATTTATTGAACAAGATTTATTACTTAGGATTTATGCAAAGTAATTATTAGTATCTATTATATATGTTAATATAAGCCAAATATTTTAACATAAATGTGTTAATATCTCTAAGTATCTACCTGTTTATGTGTTTTGTTGAATAATTGTACATCATTAAACATTAACTAAGACTCAAATATGTTTAAATAGAATAAGTTATATTTAATTATATTACAATAATTATAAATTAATATTTAAAAAAATTAAAGTTATTGATACATGAGTATATTAGAATGTAGGTGAAATATGTGGTATATACAAAATATGAAGTTGCAGTAATATTAAAAATCTGGTAAAACAAGAATTTGTTTGATATTAAAAATTATTTTTAGTAAAATCTAAATAATTTTTATCATCTATCTGTCTCAGCTTTAAATACCATTTAGATTCATTGCCACTCCACATTACCTCCTCCATTTTTTGCCCCTTCTTCTGGAGTCAAATTTCTATGAGTCGCATACAAGTTATACTAAAGCATAATACTAGGGAAAAAACCTAAATTTGTGAATTTATACATTTAATTGCATTAAATTTTTAAAATACATTTATTTGTTGTATTTGTTTATTAACTATCAATATATAAAGCAAAATAATCAGATTTTCAAACAAGCCATTTTTGTTTTATCAAAATCCAATTAGTTTATTTGTAGATAAAAAAAATCTTAACATTTCAATTCAATATTTGATCAAACTAAAATAATTTAGTTTTAATAAATATCTATTAATATTTCCTATTAATGCTTTTCACTAAAACATGTTTCAAAACAAAATTCTAGTTTACATAGATAAACTATTTTATTATTATTATTTAGGGCAACGATTATTGGCTCAAGTTGTAAAAATATTATTTGCGGTTTTGTGCATAAAAACCTGTATTTTCTTTATTGTAATGAAATGGTTAACAAAAAATTCACCTTTAAATGATCAATAAAATAAAATTTGAAATCATATTAATAAAAAGTTTAAGTTAATTTATTATACATGTTTGAGGTATTCACTGATTCACACTAAATTACCACTTAATAAAGTTGTACAAAGCATTGTCTTGAAATATTTGTTATTGAATATATATATATACATATATATTTACAGAGCTGGCGCTTTGAATTCAAGGCTTGAATATGGTGTTGAAAAAAAAGTGTCTAAGCTCAATACTTTTGCAGCTACTGTCCAAATCGATACAATTAATGGAGTTACACTTAAAATTAAGTAGGAAATAGATGTTTGAATTGTAATATTGTTATTTCAAGTTGTTATTTTTAAAACATTTTTATAGGTTTATAAGAGCTAGTCACACATATATTTTTCCAATTCTTCTTAGTCATGATGTAATTACACCTCCCATATTTTATGCTACTTTTGTACCTATTGTTTCTTGGTTTGTTGCCAAAAATGTTATTTTGGATCCAATAATGAAAGACTACAAAAATAGAGAAATCAACAAACAACGTGAAGTTAATAAAAAAAGGTTAATTTTTAAATACATTTGTTTAATATTGTTTATTTTAAATTTGTATACTTTTCCAGAATGGTAGAGTTACGTCAAGAAGCATTAGCTGCTATTAACTTGATGATGGCTACAATGGAAAGAATAGTGAGGGAGGAGACCATTAAAAGTGGATTAATTATTGTGTTTGCTAAGTATGGTAATGCTGATTTAATAAATCAATCTGGACTGTCATCCTTCGATGAAAGTGATACTTTACAACCAAACATTATTGATGTCACAGTCCCATTACAGTGTTTAGTAAAGGATTCTCAATTAATACTGCACACCACTACAAAAGTAAAAATTAATTATTCAAAATAAAGTTTTAAATATGTAAATGAAAATAAAATAAACATAATTTTATTTTTTAATTTCCCAAATTTGTATGTACTCTATTCTATAGATAAAATTGTACTCATATGTAATTATATGTTTCAAATTTAGAAAATAAGCTTAATAAAAAAATAAGAAGGAACAAATGTATTTTTAAATATTTCAATTTTTATATTTGTTATTTATTTTAATAATTAACTTATTAAATGTAACTTAATTATATATGGTACTAGATTTTATTCTATGCAATTTTGAATAATAAAAAAAAAAAGAACAGTAAAGATTAATATTTCTACTGCTACAAATGTATAAAATAAAGAAAAAGTAAATATGCTAAGCCTCTTCAAAAAACCACAAAAATAAATAATGTATACTTTCTCTATCAATATTTGCAACAAAACAATTTTAAATTTACAGGATGATTCACTAAGTGTGCTCACCCCATATTTTGCATATATGGCGTATTCAAATTCTGATTTTTGGAATTTTTAAGAGCAGTTAAGTCTGATATTTTAAAATACTTAGATTAGACAAAATTTAAGCAGTATACGAACTTTGGTTTTTAAAATGAGAATTTATGCAAAAAAATTCCACAATTGGACGGAGTATTATTTTAAATACTAAATGGTGTCAACATTTTTGGTTTTCATTGACTTGTTAAAGAGATATTCCACCTTTGAGTTTCATTTTGGATTATCATTTGTGTGGCGGCGTGGCGCGCAACGTTTTATTAGTGCCAACACCAAAATGTATTTAAAGTAATACTCCATCTATTTATGGAATTTTTAATATATATTCTCAATTGAAAAACCAAACTTGGTAACCTATCTAAGGTTACTCCTTAAATGTGAAAAATCTAAGCATTCAAAAATATCAGCTTAAACTACATTTAAAAATTTCAAAAATAAGAACTTGAATATTTGAAAAATTCAACCAGAAAAATGGGGTGAGCATGCTTAGTGAATTACCCTGCATAATTTAGTTAATTTATGTATTATATATAGTTTACTATTTTGTTGGTTTTTGAAAATACTTTAAGTTTTAAATAAGGTATATATATTTGAAATTATTAACTTAAAAATATTTATACATATAGTATATACATAAAAATATATTTTTTATTAAAAATATGAATGTTTTATCTATTAAAAATGTTATATATAACGTTTTTAGTGTCAGTTACCTGGATTTTATGACCCATGTATCGGCGAAGATAAAGTGTTAACTATACAATACACTTATAGAGATCAAAATTATGAAGTAACAATTAATGATAATGAACCTCTCAGAATTCCTCGACCACATTGTGAGTATTTAACTTTTTCTATAATTTTTAAATTCAGTTATATGCAATTAAATTACATTTAAGATTAATTATAATGTATTTAATATGCATTTTTATTTTTTCATGGTCCATTCTATATTTGATATTTTTAAATATATCAGAAATATTGTTTTTGGTAGTCAGAAAATAGTTTAACCATAAAATTACTAAATAAAAAAAAAGTTCAGTTTAATTTTTTTTTTCAAAAAAAATGTTAATCTATTAATAATACTGAAAAATAATTTGTTATTAATATAAAAAAAAAGATGAACATACTTCACACTATGGGTGTGACACTGTTATAGGTGAGAAGTTGGAAAAGTAGGATATAGAGGGAATTTAATATATATCTGTACACAACCATTAATAATAATAATTATTGTTATTGTTTATTAAACTCCAAAGCAGCAATTTTACCTAGTATAACAATTATGGTGATTTGGTATAGGTGAGGAATAAATCTAGTTTTACAACCCAAACTCATTTTTCAAAATGTGTGTTTTTGACATTAAATTAAGAATCTACAAAAAAGTCTGATGAACTTCGTTTAGAAGTTATTTGGGAAAACTTCATGAAGTTCGAGTTTTCCATTTTGCATATTTCTAAGTTAGAATTTAACATTTTCAAATTTTTTTTTTTTCCCCAAAATGTATGGGTTTTAATGTTTAATCCATTGATGTAATCAATTATAATCAAATAAACTTACCTATCACACTTATTTGTATAGTTATTATACATAAACCTTGAAAAATAACATTTTTGGAGTTAATTCAAAATGTGGTAAAAATAGAAATTTTTTTTATTATCATTTGTAGTTATTGTTATTTGATAACAAAGTTTTTTTTATTGAAGTCAGAATAAGTCAATCTCTAGATTTAGAGTTACAAACATTCAAACACCCATGTTTCGCAGCGCTCACTCGGATAATTTTAATTGAAAATAATCCTCGATTTGTTGTGCAAAATTATGTCGGGTAAATAACAAGGTAAAGTGAGAAAGTATTTTAGGTTGGTAGGTTTATGTACAATAACTATTAAAGTAAGTATGAGAAGTAAGTTTTGATCATACCAATGGATTAAGTATTAAAAAACACATTTTGGGGGATAAAGAAAAAATTGGGAAATGTTTAATTCTAACTCAAAAACGCAAAATGGAAAAGACATACTTCATGAAGTTTCCCTCTTAACTTCCAAATGAACTTTTTTTTTTTGATTCCTTATATACAGTCAATAAAACACATTTTGAAAAAAAAATTTAAAAAACGAGCTTAGGTTGTAAACTAGATTTATACCGTAGGTGATTATTAGGTACAATATGCTAGCACACATAAATAATAAAAAGACAAAATTAGTTTAAGATAATAAATTAATAATTCAAAAATATACATTTAATTTGGTTAACTATTTAAATAAAAGTAGAATAGTGGCCTCAGAACTAATTGTTATTTGTAGTATTAATATTTGCTAACGAAAAACGATTCTAAGTGAAGTTCGATTATACATGTAAATCATGTATAACGCAATGTATAGGACATAATATTAGCGATTTTTGTCAACATTTGATATTGAAATTCATATAAAATAAAAACATGACCTTACCAAAGAAAATGCACTCTATAATACACAATATATTTGTAAATGTGAACCGGTAGTAGCCATTATAACGGTTGGTTTAAAGTCTAAATTCTCATCATTGTTCTGAAATATGCAGTTATATATTCTCAAAAGACAAACAAAATGCATTGATCCAGCTTTTGTTATGGATTTCTGGATTCCATAAAATAATAAAATATGCAATATGCAAATGGTATTTTCATTCAGTTCACGACTCCCGATACGTGAATCAAACTAGTATGTATTTGTAAACATTAAATATAAATCAAATTACAAAATTTCATGAGTATCCAAGCTTTGTATTTATTATATTTATCTAGAATTTTTATCGCTTATAAAAATCAATTAAAAAAGCCCTCAATATTAATACATTTCATAAATTTTTCTTTTTTCCATTTATTATGAAAACAGTATGGAAAAATCTAAAAATGAACTTTCTAAACTACCACCCCGGTCAGATTTTTTTTCATAAAAAGTGCTACACTAAAAAATTTGAGACGAATTGCTGGTTTAAGAGTTGTCCATAGAAAAAATAAATATTGCAAAATCAATACATTCTTCGTTACATTCAGAACATAAAAAAAATACATAATTTTTACTAAAATGATTTTCGTTAAACTTTGATATTAAAATTCTTATAAAAAAAAAATCTACATTACCCTATTTTTTTTCACCAAGTACAACTTATAATGAACTTCCTGTTAAATTCTCTAACTATTCTGTTTTATCTAACAATTTTATCCACTGACCAAAAATTACATAAAAAATCCCGTAAAATTAAAATATCTATTAATAACTAAAAAATGTCTGGAAAAGACAAAAATAAGTTTTCTGTACAAACTTCGTGTCTACAATTATTTTTAACTGAATCAAAATAAAAAATTGTGAACATTAACATTTTGTAATTTTTCCCGTTTTTTTATAATTTATTATGAAAATAGCATGGAAAATCAAAAAATGACCTCCCTAATGTATCTCTCCAGTCAGATTTCCTTTCAGAAAAAGTGCTTGAAAATTTGAGCAAAATTACTGTTCACAGATTAAAGAAAAAAAACATCATTGTAAAACTAAAATATTTCTCGTTTTGCTCAGAATCTAAAATGAATGATATATAATAGTGCAATAAAATTTTTAACTAACAATTTGTTAAAATTTATTTTGTTTATGGCTAATATTAATTAAAAATTCTTCCACTGATATTTTATTATTGGCATTTTAGAGTATAAGTTTGTTAAACGTTCACTGTTGTTACTAAACTTCTGTCTTTTTGATGCTGAAATCCCTTTATCTATTTCTTGCAACACTATTTTAAGGTCTATCTACTCCTGACTTATCACTCATTTAGAAAACTAACTTCCTGATGGTTGAATGTACTTGTCTGGGGAGATGCGTAAAATGGTGTTCCAACTCTTGCAACTCTATCGTTAGTACGATGTTGATAGTTTATTGTAGCATTTATTTTTCTATCTACCTTCTATTACTGTAGGTTAGGTAACAATAAATCAAACTGGACTTTTTTCCATTTAATAATTTTGTGGTAAGACTTTAAAATTAAATCTGACTTTCCAAGATTTATTGTTTTTAACATTTAAATCATAAATTATTAATTTTTCACAGTTTTAATAAGTTCATAAAGGATAAACTTTTATTAAATATATTCAATTTTATTTTTCTATAAATATTGTTCATGTAATTAAAAACTTACAAAATTTACTAAAGTATTTTATATATTATAAGAAATAACTTCATAATTTTATTCTTTAAGGATTTTATTTTTAAATTACATAAACTATCTTTATTTAATTACACAAATAATATTATTCATAGTTTATAATAAATTTCAATAAATTTTTATTATTTTTAGCGCATCTGGTTAGAACTTCTACACCATCTTGATTGGAGGTCCAAATATTATGTTTAAAAAAAATAGTTATTTTCATTATAATTATATGCTTTTTGTGTGTTGAAATTATTGTTAAAATTTGATACGTTGATTAGTAAAGAATAATGGATACAATTGTTCAATTTAATATTTGTTTTTATTCATTACAATTTATAATTAGAGGGTGTTCAATTGAATATTAATCTAAATTGGTATATTTATTATAATTTTAAAAAAATTAAGCAATTCCATTTAACTAATTGCTTGAAGTAAATTTAATTGTTGTATGATACATTAAGAAAATGTTTTGTTTTATACAGCATTAAAAATTATACTAATAATTTCAAACTTTAAACCCTTAATATGAACTTTAAACTTGAACTTAAAATAAATGATTAAAAATGAACTTAATTTAAAGTGTGTAATACACAGTGTATAGGGGTTGTAATTAGTTGTATACAATTTATATTTGAATGCATAAGGGTTTCTTATATTAAATGATTGAACTATTTATTTATTTAAACAGGCGAAGCCTAAAAAAAATGTACAAAAAAGAGTCGATAGTGTGCAATATGCTAATAATATTGATTAATTGTTATTTACATAAACATTAAATACATATAATATTTTATACATTATTAAGTCTACATTAAAACTATTTACAAGATTCACACATCTGAATAGATAATATAGGTGAATTATAGCCATAATTTGTAAACTGGAGTTGCACATAAAAAGTGTTTAATTTTCTAGTACTATGACTAGGTATCAAAAAGTTAAATTTTGAGAGTAACTCTGGAAAATAAATTTGTCCATTAATTAACTTAAAAAAAAAACTGAGATCTTTCCTCTTCCTTCCTACCTTCTATGATTCAATATTTAAAAAAATATAGTAATGGCTAATAAGAGAAATGAAGTTGATGCTGAATACTACTACTACCTATGGGATCAATTCTCAAAAAATGATTTTGTATTGTCTCCAATGACTTTATTGGACCTACGCGGATAGGTGTCAAAACTAGTTATAATTGAGAACCGACCATATTATATAACAGCAATAGAGCTTTCAGGGCTTGCAAATTATTAAAATATTTGATTTATAAAGACAAATAATGAAGAAGCTGTTTTGAATACTTATTTGGAGTTAAGAATATTGAAGAATAGTTTCGTTTCAAAGATTATACCTAGACCTTTATTCTGATAAATACTAATGTACTTGGTTTCATTTCAACAATACTTACAAAAATATGAATTCTGTTTTTTTGAGAATGTTAATACTTTGCATTTACATAACATTTAGGAATAAATTGTTTAGATTACACCATTCATAGAGGTAATCCAGGTCATTTTGAAGTAACTTAGTATTAATAGGAGTCTTAATTACATGAAATAATTTTAGGTCATTGGCAAAAAGTAACATATGTGAATTAGTCATCATTAATGAAATGTTAAATAAGAGTGGTGCTAAGTTTCTATATATACATGTATTGTTTCTTATTGGACGTAAAGATACCAACCAAGCAAGGGAAGGATTACGTAAACCTATATTATATTATAACTTGGTGGGTAGAATATTATTGTGATCAATTTAGTTAAAAACAAAAGAAAAATCTGTGTAAATAACATCTACCTGATGACCTGCATTAAACAAATCTAAGACACAATTTTGGTTAACTAAAAAGATCTGTAGCTGTCGACCTTTTGGTTATGAAGCTAAGTTTCTCGTTGATAATTATACTTTTAAATATAGGATCGATTTTCTTTAAAAAAAAAAATACTTTCAAACAATTTTGGATTAATTGAGATGTTTGAAATTGGATGATAATCAATTATTTGACTAATGTCACCTCCTTTAAATATTGCTGAAATGTACGTAACTTTCCATTTATCTGGAAAGACATTCCTGAGGAAATAAATAAATAAGTACAACAGGGGAAAGGTCAACACAAATTTATATTCCTTAAAAAATAAACTTGATATTCAATCAGGACCAATATATGTTTTGGTATTTAAACAGTTAAGCTCATCATAAAGTTCACTTTAAGTTAATATACATTTATTCAAATTAACAAAAAGCAGAATATTGTCTTTAGAAACATTGTTTTGTGTAGTTAAAATTTAAGAAATTTTACTAAATAACCAGGGAGAATCTATTATACTATTGAACAAGTTTTAAATAAACACTACTAAATGATGGCGCCAGTCAAAAAGTGATGTCATATTTAACTGAAGACCATTATAAAAAACTATAAATAAAACATTTTTTGAATCTCATTTAATTTGTTTTTGAAGCTATTTTGATTGGGTGAACAAAGAAATGAACGCATGGATTATATGGTAAAAATAGTATAAATAATTTTGTAACTTTAATTTATGAAATATACATAAATTTGGATTTTATACACTAGTATAAATAAAAGGAATGAATTAAACAAATAATCATTTGAGAAAATCTTAAATTCAATTAATTTAAATCAACTTGGAAGACTTTAAATACTCATAAATATCATCACCTGTACACCATGGTATTATTGTGGCTTTAGTTTTATGAGATTTCAGTAAATTATCCAAAACAAAGCCTGACCTTGGAAATGCAATATCATTTTGATTTAACTTTAGAACCGGACACAGGTCATTTTTACCATCACCAAAATAAAATAATTTATTGTAGATTTTGTTTGTACTCAAGATATGTTCTTTTATAATAGCTCCTTTACACATGTTCTTTGTGCACCAATCACATAATGTTTGTGATTCATATGGTTTGATTGTAATGTGGCCTTCTTCAATCTTTGCTGAATTTGTATAAACATATGAAAGAACATCCGATAATTTGTTACGTTCAAACCAGTTATGAATGAAAAGTGAATTTGAATCTGATGCTACTATGATATCAATATTATTGTCATTAAGTGCTCTCATTAACCTAGGCATTCCTTTGTTGGGACTCATTACTGAAACTGCATCTATAATTTGTTTTGATGGAATATTGATATTTTTCATGGTGTCAAACACTTGTTGCATATATTGAGTCCAATCATTTAAATAATTTTTGTGATCCGGAATAAGATTGGAAGGTTTTATCATATTGCGAGCAACTATATCAGAATTATCTTTGACTATAGTGTGATCAAAATCAAAAACTGCCAACATATTTTCAAGTTCCTAAAACAATATTACATATGTTATTTTCAAAAATATATCTACCATAGAATATAAAATGGTAATTTTACTATTTAAGTGGAAAAGAGAGGCTAAATAGTAAATAATTACAATAGGAATCTAACCTAATCTTAAAATACAAGAAACATATTTCAAAATAGAATCAAGTTTTTCATAAGCTAACAATAAAAACAAATATATGTATATAGAAATGATTTATTTTTATTTCAAATACTTTAAAAGCATACATTATATTATTAATGTAACTGACATGCACGTATTGCAATCAGTTGTAAAACTAGAAATATGGGAGACATTATTTCAGAATAATCTAAATTTGAAAGCCCTGCTAGTCTTCTACAAAGTAGCACTTTAAATAAAGCCCACACAAACAATATGGCTGCTGACCATATAGTTCTTGAAATAGCTTCTTTGATATGGCCTTCTATGTATAAACGAATCAATACAATGACAATAAAGTATGTGCACAATGCATCAGCTACAAATAAAGGTGAAAATACTATCCATATATCATATGATCCAGGTGCAGTTGATGTAAAAGCAATATCATCCAATCGGAGAGCTAAGAAAACTGTGAAAACCAACAGGGCTAGAAGATGAATTAACATTTCAAATATTGTTATCCCCAACCATCTCACCAATTCTTGCAAGGCAAATAACATTTTACTTGGATATTTTTATATGAATAGAAGATAATGAACGTGTTCTTCCTTCATAATCATCGTCTTCGTTTAATGGCTCTAAAATATCTAAAAATAAAAATAAATTCTTAAAAAAGGAACAATTCATTAGGACAAAATATCAATTAAACTAAATAAATCAAATTTATAATTTATATTTTTCCATAATTATTGATTGTATTATACTTATGTGTACTTACCTTTTATTTCAGCAGTAGATGTTTGGATATCAAATATAATTGTGTCCTGAAATTTTTCCTGCAGCTGCAATGCAATTTCTATTGTATTTTTGATAGCTTTTCCAAGACCATTTAATATTAAAATTGAGTTATCTAATTCAAGATGTTTGACAGCTCGTGAAATATGACACTAAAATATATTTTAAATCAAATCAACTAAAACCACATAAATTTAAATATTTCTAAAAGTACCTAATCTTTGACTTGAACAGGGTTATTGAAAAATAAAACAAATACAATAATACTTTATCAAAAAAAATAATAATTTGTTCTTGTAACTAATGAATAAACTTGAGTTATGAATTTAAAAAAAATACCAGCTGAGTACATGCATTTTTCTTAGCTCAAGATTTTGTACTACCATTAATGTATTAACACAGTATATTATTGAAATAGTTGAATAGTCAACTAGTCTTCTTTATCTCAACTATTTGGAGTTGGACATTTTCATCCTCTAAACTTCCACTTTATCTGATATTCACATCATCCTCGCATACACCCACCATCCGCATATCATTCTCAATTACATCTTTGTTGGTCTTCCGCTCTTCTTGTTTTCTCATATGTTTTCATTGCAATTGTTACTACTTCTAATTTCTCTTTTCTTATAATATACCCAAACAATCTATTTATATTCTTTCATTTTGTACACTATTGAAGTCACACTAAGATATCTTCTCTGTCATTTTATTCGCCATCCTAAGCATTATTATCTTTGCTACACAAATTCTTTGTTCTAGTTTTATGTCCAACACTCAACATTATGAACCATACTAACATAGCCAGTCTCACCTCTTTCTTGTAGAACTTACCTTTAAGTTTCATTGGAATCCTCTTAACACATAAAACAACTGACGCTTTTCTCCACTTTGACCAACCACACTAATTTTATGATTCACATCCTAATAAAAGTCACCTTTTCTCATTAACACTCACTAAAACAAAAGAAAAGAATAATTTTTGTGCAAAGAACAAGAGAAAAGAGTCGAGAATCAAAGAAATATGACATTTAGTCAGAAGCAATTAAATAACTAATATAGGGGAAGGAGGAAATTAATGTGAGAGCATTAATTGTAGCATAAAATTCAGCCAAAAAAGAAGATGATATGGGGAGAAGATTGTTTGAGTAAGAAATGCAGAGATTAGGGATGAAAAAAGAGTAGCCATCGAAAAGTGGAGAAACAGAACCATCAATAAAGACTAGAATGTATGAAGAGAACCACCTATCATTAATATAATCAAGAAAAAGATTGTTAACGGTGGAGGGAGGGAGAGTTTTAGCTTGCCGGGGGGAAATCTAGAAAACAGAAGTTTATACAAACAGGAGGGGCATAAAGAAGAGATTCATAAGAGAGATCAAAAAGAGGGAGTTTAGGTGAATTAGAAATATACAGGAGAAAAGTGAAAAATAATTGGCGGTGAGTGAGAAAACAGGTTGAGATTTCTGAATGTAACGCCAGATAAGAAAGAGAGAAAAAAATATTAAAGATAATAGGGTTAATATGTTAAGGATTTTAAAAGGAACTTACTATCTAACAAGTGACAATAGATATTGAAAAAAGGAAAGCATTATTTAAATCTATAAAGGACTATTATGTCTCACACCAAACACTGGTTCCTGGAATAAAATCAAACTGGTCCTTAAATATTGATGTCTCTCACTTCTAGTATTTTCTTTTCTATATTTTTTTCCCAAATCTTCATACTACAGATCATCATTTTTATTCTTCTATAATTTCCACATTCTTGTACATTTCTCTTAAATTTAAAAATAGGTACATAAAATACACTGTCTAACATATTTTTTGGATACTACTCATTTAATAGTTGAAAAGTATATTTTATTATCAATAGTACTAAGTATGTATACTGGGTGATTCACTAAGGGTGCTCATTTTTATGTAAAAATAATTAGGTAACACAATGAACGAATAACAAATGTACAAATAAAATAATATGATGTAGGAATACTTTAATTGGGAATCTATTTATCCATACATATTTATTTTATTTCTCTGATTTGTTGTTCAAGATTTCAATTTTCTAATCATTGTATAATATTCAATCAAAAAACTACAAATAACTTGCTTAGTAATCATATTTAATATGTCATAAAAGTATATTTTTATTAGGAATCTATAAATATATATTTTAGATATCTGGATTTCTTATCATTATAATATGCTACACTAATATTTTTCAATTTTAAAATTAGATTTTTAGAAAATTCATCTACAGGCTCATTATTATGTATAAGTTATTAATGTACAGCTACTTTATTTTTTTATTATGGTTATTTGATCCTTTGCTATTTCATAAAACAATAATCGAAAATTATGAAATAATAATGATTTTGTTTTTGCTATTTTGGTTACAAAACAATTAAAAAGGGCATTTTCATTATAATGAATGTTTTCCTTTTTTTAAACATTAGTAAATCATGTTTACTATTTAAGTGCTGTAGATATTAGTTTGTATTTTGTAAGATACATTTTTAAAGTTTCGTTTCATAACAATATTTAAAAACAAGACAAAAATGAGATCCGAATTACCTTTAATGGTGTTTTCAATGATACAAACACTTCTTTTACCAAAGCTGTCTCTGAAGATGCTGCTAAGGAGGACATTACATCTAAACCGACATCCAACTTACTAAAGTGTAGGTGATAAACTTCTCTTCAAAAATCAAAACAATAAAAATAAAAACAAATGAAAGATACGAAATTTGATCTTATCATAAACTTACTTATTGCGTATAAACTAACTCACAAATTGGCGCCGCGGCGAATGTCGGGTTTGTACTCTAGTGGCAGTTTATTGCACTCCAACCAGGCCACCAGGGAGCTCTTATGGCAATATTCATGGACATTAATTTTGTTTTTTTTCACAGCTGTTTTAAATCAGTTGATAACATTTAACATTTAGTTTGATGAATTTTTTATTATCAAAGCTTGAATGCTTAATTGAGTGTGAAACTATTAATTGAATTCTAAGTTAAACAATTATTTTAATAATTAAAATAATGAATAACTTAAATTTATTGCGAAAAACAATATCCAAAAACTTAAATCTATTGAGACAGATTCGTCCAATACATGTGACATCTGCACAATCTACTAAGTCTGTTGCACCAAGAGAGTCTTTGAACGCTGAGTAAGTATCTAAAGAATTAATAATTATTTGCAATAATTAGATAACTAATTTCATTATTTTGATTATGTTTGTTCTACAAAACATTTAGGTATATTATGACATTACCTATTTACTATTTAGGGTTGATCTCTGACTTTTGGAATTGGGAAAAAATTATAAAGATAACTTTTCTTTGAATATTAAGATAAATAAGGAATCCATGGAAACACTATCTCAATTTCTCTTGGCATTTTGACTGAGGAAAAATGTTAAAAAATCTAAAAGCTTAAATTAAAATAAAAATTTTTCTTGATGTATCTAATATAATATTTCATCATTATATGTGCATGAATCCTGGAAAAAAGTCTTACCACAAAATTACTAAACGGAAAAAAAGTCCAGTTTGATTTATTGTTATACAACCTACAGTAATAAAAGGTAAGGCAGATAGGAAAATAATATGTGTTAGAAGGTAAGGTACATACTCGGGTATATATATTATGTCAACGGTACATATAGAATCATGAAAAGGTATGAATATCAAATTGAAAAATAAATAAATTGTTATTTCTATTAGAAATATAGAATGTTCATTAGACTATGGTTCTTCTTGTTGAATCCGGTCAGGTTAAAATGCCAATAATAGTCTTAATAATATATAGTTAAATAAAATAATAAATAAATCGATTTGGTACATCTAATGAAAATCACATATTTGGTAACATTCTTAATGTTGTGCTGAAACTAGTGAGTAACCTCTAGAACACTTGTGTTTGTCATTATCAAATCTTCTTTGGTGCATAACAAAAGGTGTTTATAGGTTTATAATTCTCCACATTCATAAGTTTCCTCTTCTTCAAAAATCCTCATTTTACCACATTAGCTTTAGTCCTCACCACTCCAGATCTTAATCTATTTAGGGTTTTCCATAGTGGCCATTGTAAATGTCTGCCCAATGGAAGTTGTTGTGTTGGCTGGATCAGTTCTTTCAGATATAGCTCATTTTCCCACCTTTGCAGCCTAACTTTGTGAGGTTCGTGTAGTTGTTTTGCTGTGTGTATGAAGTTTCTTCAAGAATTAAGTTTTGTACTCGTGATTCTATGTCCAAACATAAGGTGTCTTCTGTCCTTTATCTGTTTGGTTTTTTTCTATATCAGTGGTTATGTGTCTTTTAATTTTCAGTGGAACTATGCCTGCTGGGAGGTATAACTTGTAAGTAGACGTTAGCCTAAGAAATTGCATTGATTCTACAAGTATCTTAAGCTACCATAAGCTGTCAACATCATACTAACAATATTTGCAAGTAGGAAAAACCATTTTAGGCATCTTGCTGGACATGTGCATCCAACCGTATGAAAGTTAATTTCTGTGTGAAATCAAGAGTTAAAAATAGAGCTAAAATAACATTGCAAGAACTAGGTTAAGGTATTTCAACACCAAAAAGACACAAGTCTAGTAACACCAGTGAAAAACTGTTTAAAACCAGTTGCCCTAGAATGACTTATAATGAATGAATTAATTAATTGATTGATAGTTGAAAAATAGATTATGAAAATTAAATTAAACCAAACTTTTTTTCCATTTAGTAATTTTGAGGTTGAACTTCTTCTCCAAAAAAAATTAAATCAGTTTTTTTTCTGACTACCATATGTATGTACATGTATTATTTATCTGACTATTTAATTGTTAAAATGAATTATATCCAATATACAATTTAAACTTTTTGAACAACCTACATACTCATAAATCAGTTTTTATGCCTTTAAAATCTACTCTTCTCCATGACTTTGGGTGGAAGGACTGGAGAACAAGCACAGCCAATTCAAATAAAGTATTGTGTTATATTTTGGAAGACTAATTTGTGTTTAATTATTTGCATGTGCTCAAGTATAAACACTATTTCCTGAAATTACCTAGCGTTCTGTAGTACTTACCAGGCGAATTGATTCATACTTAACGGTTCAGTCCTGGAGAAGAGTGATTTTCACAATATTTTTAAAAATTTTTTAACAATTACTTTATTCTATTTTCAAAAGGGTTTCTTATGTTAACTATTAAATCTAATTTTTCTTATTAATTTAGTCTTCTTAAAAAAAAAAGCCCATGCTACTTTTAAGTCATCACATAATCCATTCGACTATCGTGATTTTTTTTTGCTTCATGCTTAATTATAAATCGATGTCTAAAAACTATTCTAAGAAATTTATTGATTATACTGAATCTCGTCTTTCAACTAATATTTAATCTTTTTGAAATTTGTTAGGAATAGTAGCACGTTGCCCCTATTACAGCCGGCCACTGTACATATATTATGTTTTAACATAATAATAATAATGCTGGCGACAACGACAATCGTGTAAAACAATATAATATATTAAAATATTTTATTATTATCGGCAATTGGATAAAGATCATATCTTCCTAGGACACTGTATAGATAGCTAATGCTAGTGTTTTGTATTAAATATAGGGTTGATTTTTTAAATATTAAGTGTAAGTGTTAATTTTTTTAGCTATGTATTGGATATACACTATGATTTCCATTATCGTGATCAGATTCCATTTAATGCATGGGATAAAAAGGCTAACATGATTGCTGATGTTGCTATGGGAATAGTTTTGGCGTTCGTTTTGTATAAATGCTACTCAGAACCAGAACATTTAATCGTATGTATTTTCATCACAATATCATTGAATATAAAATATAATTTTACAAAATAATGAAAAAAAAAAATAAATTACATGGGTATAGCGGATAAAATGAGAGAAAATAAATCAAGGTAGTATGTGCAAGTTGGAAAAAGAAAAAACTATGAGATAGTCAACAAGATGTGTGAGTTGAGTGTAGATGAAATCTACAGGGAGAAATAATGGTATGCATACTGTGGAGTAAATTATTTACTCTCCACATCACCCATGGTAATGAGTGGTAAGATATGAAGACCAAAAATTTAAGTAGGATAAAAGCAAAGATAAATGGGAAAAAATAGAAATTAAATTGATAAAAATAATTTATTTAATTTTATGTTTGTGTAGGGAGATTTTGAATATCCTGATTCATCAAAATGGACAGATGAGGAATTGGGAGTGCCATCAATTGAATAATAACAATAAATATATTACCATTTATTAAATGATATTTAGTTTATAATATATATATGTATATGTTTAATGATTAAAAAATTTGAATAGTTCAAGAATAAATATCACATTTTGCATTATATATTTGTATTATATTATTATGATTAAATATAGAGGTCTAATAAATATTAATAATTATATATATAAATCATTGAAAGATGTTAAGCTATTCATTTAATTAAAAGCTCATTTTTATAATAGTTAATAACAGTATGAACAAATTGGAAATGTGTCAAATAGTATAGGCCTTTTAACCACTTGATATGATGAATTTTAATGAAATTGGATAAAAACTTCATGTTTCATACATTTTTGCAGATAAATTACTAATTATAACTCATAACCTGAATACTAAACTTGTATACTGTAGTTAAGTTAACCTATGTTCTATATTCAAAATCAACAAATAAATTTGTCATACAATTATTATATAAAATAAAGTATGTGTCTTATTATAAAATTACAAATATTATAAAAAAAAATACTAGGTAAAAAATTGTCTACATTCTGATTCACCATTTTAATAGGATCAATAATATCTGAATTAGTATAATACATATAACATAGATAACAAGAATAATATTTATTTATTTATATATTATGAACTGTTTAATAAACTGGTTGATAATTTAAACCACTCGTTAATAATATAATCATTTCAAAAGTAAATGGTTTATTTCTGAGTTAACAAAAACCTTCACACATCTTTAAACAGTAACATGACATTATTATACACCTGTTATATCTACTTTTATTTGTCTCACCACTTCCAGAATCAGTAAAATGTATATTGATTAAAATATATATTTTTATTTCAAATAAGTATAATTATTATTAATTTGTAATGATAGAAAAATAATTATTTTCTAATTGTGACTGTTTTTATTTCTAAATATTCTTTCAAACCATCTGCTCCTCTGTGGACATAAAATTTGTATGTTTAATATTAGTAATTTAGCAATAGTAATTTATTTAATATCAGTTACTTACAATTCTCTGCCAAATCCAGATTGCTTAAATCCTCCAAATGGACATTGTGTATTTACAATATCGTAACAGTTAATCCTATATATTATAATATAAAAATTAAGTCTATATTTATAATTATACTATTATACAAATAAATTTAAATAATAGTACGAACATAAAATACTATGTTGCAAATCAAAATTATTTAATTTTTAAAATTTGTGTATGTGTAGCCAAGAGGGGGTTTTGGGCATTGCTTCATTTTTTTTAGTTATGCTAAGGTTAATAAGATTGTAGACCCCTAAACTTCCATCTCCCCCCCGAAAAAAAAAAATGATAAATCTTAGCTAAGCTACTGTGTGTAGGTACTTTTATAGATCATATTTAGAAATATATGTAAAAGTCATCACCATATGTAAATATATATTATATAGATGCCTACAAGTATTTGCTACAGACCATATGTCTAATAATTATAAGATTCAGTGATAAAAAATCTACATAGATATTTAGCCTAGGAATTAAATGGAATAGGTCTTATTTATTGGCTATAAAATTAATTACCACATTGACCCAGCATCGACATTTTCCATATACTTTAATGCAGTACTTAAATCCTTAGTTAATACTCCAGCAGCTAATCCATACTTAGTTTTATTTGCTCGTTTGATTACTTCATCTATAGTTTTGAATTTAATAATCTGTTGAACTGGTCCAAATATCTACAATAAAATGTATGTACCTTAGAACAAGTTATAACTAAAAAACAACTAAATAGTACAATTTTTTAAATAAAACTCTAAGTACAACTTATATAGTTAAAGTGTCCACTGCCACAATCTATAACTATAACATAGTTCCAAGGACCGTGATTGACATATGTTATATGTGTAATGGTTAATTATTCTATCGGTTTTAGTCCCGCTATTTTCATTTTTAAATATGGTTATTCATTAGGATCTTGTAATTTCAATGGTATTTATAGTAGATAATAATAATTTTTCTCCAAGAGATAACAATGACATCTCATAGCGGGATAGATTTTTAAAATATCAGGAAGGTAGGATACATAAAGTTATTATCTACTGTATAGTAGATTATTAATCTACTACATACATGTCATCAACACCTTGACAGTGAACGTGTTAATAATTCTCCTTAAATAAGATCAGAATCTAATATGCTAATTTATATTTACTTCTTCTCTTGCAATTTTCATGTCATCGGTCACGTTAGAAAATACAGTTGGATATACAAAATATCCCGTATCGCCTACTTTAGAACCTCCAGCTTCTACTTTAGCACCTTCTTGTTTACCAGATTCAATCATGTCTAAGACCTTGTTATATTGTTCTTCACTCACCTAAATTTGTAACCGTAATATATAATAATAAAATATATATATAAAATAAATTAAACTACTTTTACAAATATCAATTTATTTATTTATAAATTAAACATTTTACAGAATTAATAAAATAGTAAGAACTTACCAAAGGCCCTACTTGCGTAGTGGCATCAAATTGGTCTCCTACTTTCTTTTCAGATGCCAAATTTGATGCTATTTTAACAAATTCATCATAAATACCTTCTTGAACAAAGGTTCTAGAACCAGCACAACAATTTTGACCCATGTTGGCAAAAACTGCTCCATGAGCTATAGCAGCAGCTTCATTAACTGTATATATAGTATACAATTTCTCATTAATTCAGTATTAAAATTATAACAAAATTTGATTTCAATAAAACCACAAATTTTAAAAATAAAACATTAATTTACCATCAAAATCATCAAATACTACAAGAGGACTTTTACCACCCAGTTCTAAAGATACACGTTTCAAATTAGACTTGGCTGCTTCTACCATGATTAATTTGCCAACCTAAACATTTAATATTTTTTTTTTTTAACTTATATGTACATACATTTGGTTAAATATTATATTTTATTACTTATGGAAAAAAATGGAGATACAAATTGGAATTTTGGATATAAGAACATTACTTACACAAGGCACGCTACAATGCATTACTAATGAAACTATAATAAAAAAAATTGAGACTGCTTTTTTGAGAATTATAAATCATTTAAAGTAGGATTCAAAATAAGTGCTAATTTCATAACTAATAATAATGGAACCTAGTGTAACTATAAATAAATTCCAGGAATATTTTGAAGAACTATTAAATTAAAAAAATAGTATTGAAAGTGAAAAGGATAGAAAATACAAATAGTTTATACAGCAAAGCCTGAACTCCTTGCAGCAAAGTATTGAGGAAGTTTAAATAACCATAAAATCATCAAAGAACATCAAATCCCCAGGGAAAGATAATATTAATTCTAAAGTACTAAAAAGGGCAAGAAAAAAAGTATTAATTTACATGCACGAAATTATAATGGATACATATAAAAGTGAATAATTAGAATACAGCAATTATTTACACTTAAAAAATGTTTAAAAAGCAAGTTCAATGATACTTACAATGTACAAGATGTTTAATTCTAAACTTTTCTCCAAATAAACTAAAAGGCAACTAAATATTTCCTATTTATGAACCATATTAATATATTAAGCGAATGGTGTTTAACAACTAAAGGGGAAAAGACCAAGCTAATAACCATTAAAAGGAAGATTCTTAGTTAAGTATTTAGGCCCTTATATAATATGGATACAAGGCAATAAGAAAGGGGAACAAATGCAAATATTGAGCGAATCGATGAACTAAATATTTAAACATGTTTTGTCTCAAAAAGACAAGAATGGACATATAAGGATAATGATAGTTTAACGGTACAAGTAATATCCAAATAAAACACATTCCAAAAGAAGATTGAGACAACAATGGCTGGATTAAGTAAAGAGAGATTTTAATTGTGCAGATGAAACAACAAAAATGGAAAATTAGAAAAACCTCTGAAAGAATTTAGTTGAATCAGTGAAGGACTTAAAAAGAAGTTAAACCCGCATTTACTTTTACAGTTCAACTACCGAGTAACATGCAAAAACAATGCTTATATATCGAACTGTATATTTTGGATAGTACAAAAACCCTATGGCATTCTCTTCAAAATATTCTCTATACACTTCATAATAACTACCTTTACTCTAAAATCAAAATTAAACTAGTTTTACTAATTCTGCGTAAGCATTGTTTTAGATGTTACCCAGTAGTTGGACTGAGACAGTAGATGTGGATATAACGTCTTTTTAACATGGCCTGTGAAGATAAAAAATTAAAAATCATATTTTATTTACTTCTGTTGATCCAGTGAAGGCCACTTTGTTTATATCAGGGTGGCTAGATATAGCATGACCTGCTGTAGGACCATATCCAGGAACAACATTAATGACACCGTCTGGAAATCCGGCCTGTAAGGTTAATTTTTTGTTATTAATTATAATTTATAAATTATAAATACTTTACTTTTTTTGTTAAAGCAGCTACATGTAGAGCTGTAAGAGGAGTTTGTTCAGCTGGTTTCAATATGATTGTACATCCTGTAGCAAGAGCTGGACCCAATTTCCAGGCCATCATCAATATTGGGTAGTTCCAAGGTATTATTTGACCAACAACTCCAACAGGTTGGAGTTTAGTGAATGCTATATATGGTCCATCTAAAAAAAATCTTTTGTTTTAAGCAAGTATTGTCAAATATTCATATTTCAGTTAAAATTATGTATTTATAAAATATTTTGTAAAATTGAAGATATTCATACCAGCTGGTATAGTTTTTCCATGAATTTTGTCAGCAAATCCAGCATAATATTGATAAGTTGAAACAGCCATACTTATGTCCAACAATGAGTCCTCTAATGGTTTTCCATTGTCTAAAGACTCTAAATAGGCTAAATCATTTTTATTTTCTTCTATTAATGTGGCCAGTTTATACATCAGTTGTCCTCGAGCAGATGAATCCATTGTACGCCATTCAGAATCAGGCAGAAAAGCAACCCTTGCAGCATTGACAGCTAAATCTATATCAGCCTGTATATTAAAATGAATTATTCAACAATTTTATTTTTCATATATTAAAATATCAATAGTTATTTAGAAGAAAAATAGATTATTAAGTATAATTATAATTAGACCCGGAATTTAATAATCTAAAATCTTTAAAAAAAATGTTAAAATAATTCAATAACATCATAAAATGGCATGAAAATTAATATTTTATTGAAATTAAAAATATCATACCAATATGTACTAAGAACCCTATATCTTGTTAAAAAAAATTTTTCTTTTTGTTATTCTTTAACTAATTCAATTTGTATTTAATAAATTTATATTTAGTTATGCCTATGTCAACATTTAACTGTATGACCTATCCTAATCTAACCTTATTCACATGTGTCCTATTGTGTTTGTATGACACAAAAATAATACTAAACTAATTAAACTGTAATTAGAGAAATTTAAATTTTGTAAGTAAATACATATTATTTATGAAAATATATTATATTAGATAATTAAAGTACCTATACGCAATATTATTTTAAAACAAAAAAGATTGGCGATTGTCAGATAAGAGTTTTAAATACTGAAAATTGTATATGACTGACAGATGTGAATGGCGCATATTTAAAATAAATGATATATTGAAATATACTAAAATAATTTCTAACAGAAAACCTGAATAATGTCAATATAGTCTTGCAATAAGATAACTGATTATCGCTGGTTAATTATGGGTTAAAATATTTTTCCGTCTAACATTTCTGCCAATTTAATATTAAATTTATATATTATACACTAATACCTATAGCTCAGATTTTGAAAATGCACTAAAATTGCTAAAAAAAATAATCTTTTAATAATGAATTAGGGGTAAAATGCAAAAAATACTAATTGATATTTGTACTATTAAATTCTACATGAAAGTTAAATTTCTATAAAGACAAGCCTTGAATGTAAGCATTAGAAAAAAAAGATACAAATGCATCAAATTCTAAGCCCTAGTTATAATAGCGTAGGGTCATTCTCACCAACATAAAAAAAGGCGTTTATCTGATTTTTTAACTGAGTTTATAGCTGATAACACGATTGGTCAATTATCTTATAAACTCCATTAAAAATCAACATTTAAATTGATGAGAACGGGCCTTAGACTTTTTCAAAAGAAAACGAGCAGAATATAATTTGATAAAGTGTATTGATGTATGAAAGTTAAGAATATTATCTTAGATCTACAACTAACTGCAGCCACCTCTCCTCGAAAGAAAATTCTAGCTATGCCTTTACAGGATACAAATACCTCCTTTTATTATATTCAATTAATAACTGATATTGTAAACTGTAATATTTCAAACAGATCAAAGTCTAATTACAATCAGCAATCATGTTCTTATAGTGGTATATATACAAATTACTTAACTGCTAATATAACATAGCTTTTAAATCAAATTAACTATAATATAATAAATAATATTGTATTAATGAAATTGATTCAGAGAAGTAACCACTTTTATAATCTGATCCCCAGCATATTAAGAGTTACAACACAATTTTAACAAATACTTAAATTCATGCACAAAAATAAAATATATAAAATTTCCATAATTAGTGTATATCTTACTTTATCTCCTTCAGCAACATCGATAATTTTTTGTTTATTAGCTGGATTAGTAGTTGGAAATGTTTTACCACTTACCGCATCCACAAATTTGTTGTTAATAAATAGCTAAAACAATTATCATATTTATATTTTATAATATCTAAAAAATCTTTTTCTATCAAATTAATAACATGCTTATAAAACATTCTTCACACCAAATCTCTCATCAATCAAACACAAGAATAAATGTTGTCAAGCTCTAATGTTTTTGGGTTTGCTCCCAGGACTTCACGTAATTTCCAATCAATACCACACCTCAAGGCAATTTACTGTGCTCATATTTCCCCTATCATCGAGCATGGGTACGTAATATGGGGTCTTACTTACTGAGTATGCAATGATTAAAAGGGTGCAGAGACGTTTCCTTTGAGTTCTTGCTTCTAGGCTAAACATTCTTCACCCACCCCATAACTACTCCTTAATTTAAAGTCTTCTACAGCTCTCAAGTCTGACTGACCGCATACGAGCTTATAATATCTCTTTTCTCTCAAATATCCTAACAGGTAACTGGATCTCCTAGTTTCCTATCTCAAATGTCCTTCAAAGTTCCCCTCTCTCCCATTTCACTCAATCATCTGTCTCTTTCCATATCTCTTTTTCTCCAGCCAATTTCTTGACTAACTCCTTTATTCTAAGGCTCATGTATACTGCAAACTACTTTTGAATACCAATATATCTATGCAATTTATTTCCACCCAACAATCAACAAGGTAAATTAATTTCAATTATAATTAATTCATTTTAAGTCTTATTATACAATTGCTACTACAATAATTTTTGGGCTCGTCCTGAGAATATATGTACTTATATTAAAAACTAATTGGATAAAAAAAAAATTACAAATAACACTAAATAACAATAGAATAGAACTTTAAAAGATACTAAACCCCATGCTTTGATTAGGTTAGATAAGGTTTAGGGGTTGACATTTTTTTGAAACAATTTTCTCCATGCAAGGCCATCCTGGATCAAAAATTTAGTTACCTAACTTGTTGACTAGACAAATTTCTCTTACACAATCTGATTTAAGACATTTTTCATTTTACTACCTTCTATTTAAAATACAAAATGTTCCCCTATTTTGTTAGTCCATTATCATATTGACTAAAGTAACAAATATAAGTTTGATTGGTACTGATAGAAAAACTAAATTTCTATAAATATATACTAATCTATTTAATTGAGTAAATGTGTACTTATTATAATCGTAATACTTAATTAACTGAATTATTTGTGTAGGTATCTATTATCATTGATTTTATAATATTATAAAATCAATGCTAATATTAAAATATTAATTATTATAGTACCTAGTTATAATAAGTAATAAGTTAACTATATACACAGCATAAATGTATATTAGTAATTTCAAAAAAAAAACCAACTTGAAATGTATAGATATAATAATAAATAAATGATCAATACAAATTATTTAATATTTACCTGATTGTATAGAACTTTCACTTTTGAATTTGCCATTTTCGTACAAAACAATTTGATTAAAATATTATATTAAAATAGGTAAGAAGGTAAGTTAGGTATCTGAAATGTCCAAACAAAATATTAGGTAAGTAACAAAATTGTTAAAATTGTAAAAGACTCAATGTAAGTGTATGGGCTAAATATATTAAGTACAACTATAGCTCAATTAAATATAATATATGAATTTATTATAATTATCATAAGTTGTAAAATAATACAATATCACATAAGTTGCTTATCATTTATTATACTTTTTATATACCTTCTTGACTAAACAGCAGTAGAATATATACGGGTTCAATATAAAATAGATAATGATTATTTGAACTTTAATTTTAGATATAGTTTTAATTGTATTTTATCAAGACAGTATTTTAGAAAATAAATACCTATACAATTATTTACCTGTAAAATTCTAATACGAAATTATTTTATATAGGTAATTTAAATACCAACTGCCCAGTAAATATTGTTAAGTGTAATTTATTAGGTACTTAGGTGCGTTAAATAGATCACTATGTATATTGCCTATCTACAAAAACAAATGTGTCGGCCACATATCGGCGTACCATTACTATTACACGGCACACATAAATAATAATGAAGCCGAGCTTTTCGCCGCCGTTCAATTCGCAAAGTACAAAGAACAAAAAATAAATACCATTGTAAACCAATAGCTCCCTCGCTAAGCTAGGGTTCTAAAAATGTCTGAAGGCGAAAAGATATAAACCCATAAATAATTGGGTATCGTTTTATCTCGTAATTTTTGTAATTAATCATCGTCATCAGTTTAATTTGATATTATTGTTGAAAAGTGTAAAATAATATTTATGTTAACAACATGAGTCAGACGAAGGTCGATTGTTGGGGTTTTCGTATCTATAGAAATTTAATTATCAATTTATAATACTCGCTTATGAAATTATATAATATGTAGATAAGAGGTACAATAATTCATACAATTTGATAAAATTTGAAATATTTACCTATGAATATATTGTTGAAATAGGAGAGAATTTGTACATGATTGTGCTCAGAAGTGTTCAATGGAGGGGTTATAATATATTTATCTGTGGGTTATATAGACAATTGTTATCAATTAACAACACCAAATTCTATGACCCGCAGTGGATTTGAAATTCCCCCTCCCTCTCAAAGCTGGAATATAAAACTTTGGAATGTGATAAAATTAATATACTTGTTTATTACGCACGGTGTATATCATTATTTATTTATTTAAATAATGCTAATATAGATAACAGGTACATTCTCGAACAGCTAATGGGAGGAATCCGATTCCACGTTTTTTTTTTTTAACACAATCCCGCACGCTCAATTGTTCATTGAAATACAATAAGAATTGAGTGCAACGTTATCAAATTTATTATAAACTGTGTGGTTCTACGTTTATTACGAACAAACATTGTAAAATAAAAATAGTTCTCTCATCTAATGATTAGTGGCTGTCATTACAAAAAATAATTATAATGGTAAAATAATATACAATTTAATATAATTTTTCCCTTAGTAAATAAAGTAAATAGAAGTTTGATATTTGTATATATTAATATGTATTTTATAATTATTAAAATGTTGTATAACGTTTTGTATACGTTGCTCTTCTCAGATTTTATCATTTCCAATTGATTCTCCTTTTCTAGCTATTAAATTATAAATTTTAACACCATAAAAATATAAAGTATAGAATAGTGCTCGAAATGCATACAACTTATTAAACTGCATCCACACGCGGCGTTTTAACAGTTTTGACTAGACTGCTTATACTGGTATATTTACCCATGGATATTAAGATATAGACATAGATATTCTTTAATATTCTTTAATACTAGGGGTTAAGGTTCAAACCTGGGTTTTATTTGGTAAAAAAATTGTTTGTACTTTTTTTTCCTTTTGCTTAAATAAGGAAAAACAGATGCTTTTTAAGTGTACCTATAGACCTAGCATCGCTCGCTCGGACGATTTTAACTAAAAAGTACCCCTCGATTTGTTGTGCAAACTTTTCTGCTAGAAATTTAGCTTCCATGTATCAAGTGTAGCTTATTTTCTGTAAGGAAATAATGGTTTGGAGAGGTAATTTTTGTGATTTTTCAATCAGTTTTCATAATAACTGGGAAAAACCGGGATAAAATGTCGGAAAAACGGAAAATGTACGAAATGTAAGTATTAATAAATATTATGGCCTTTTTTTTTATAGATAATTTTTCTACCAACAATTTTGCTCCGATTTACAATGATAGTATTTTTTCTGAAAGTAAATCTGATTGAGAAGATACTTTAGAGAGGTCATTTTTTGATTTTCCCAGCAAATGAGAACAACCGGGGAAATGGGTACAATATTAAACAATTATTATAAAAAAAATATATAATGCATATTTGATTATCTTATCATAATATGACATATATATTGTTGACAAAGAATCACTGTTAACTAAACTACGCTCAGAATCGTTTTTTCGTTAGCAATGGTTCATCGTTGCTTACAGATATTTATTAAATTAGCTATAACAGTGATTGCACCCATCCCCATTATCCTAGGACATCTTGTTTAAACTAATCCTTTTTAGGGCGATATATCTAAAATTTTATTGGCTATCCTGTAAATTATATTACTTTTACAGTTAATAATTAATAAAATACATGATAACGACAACTCAAGATACAGGTACTTTAGAAATGTAATTTTTAACCAGACAGTAGAAAAAACGGTTTGTATTACTAATAAAATAAACGGTTCTTATAATGAACTATAGACCTTATAATAATAGACTAGCCTTGTTTATAGAGTAATTAAGGTAGTAACCGGCTAGGCATACTATAGGGGTGTGCAGTATAATCACATCAATGATGTCATTGGATGTATAATTTATAAAAATGTTCTCTTTTTTTATGAGACACATCTGGTCATACTAGGTATAATCTCCTTCTTTCTTAATGTTCCCATTGCGATCATTCATATTTTTCATATTCTTTTTAAATTATCACAAAATAATCTATTATAACACTTATAATAGTTTTTCTTGACATTGACATTTTAACAATGTGAATAGGGTGATCAGATGTGTCTTATAAAAAAAGGAGGACATTTTTACAAATTATTGTTCATTTATTGATACTACTCATAACTGGTATTATATAAATGTTCTTATTGTATTTTAGGAATACACTAAAATTATTGCCAATATACAAAACATCCGTGAATTTTACACCATAATAATTATTAAACTCAGTTTGCTGATTAAAACACAATAGGTAGCTTATCAGCATAAGAACTACCAAGGTGTACCTTGCTAACTAGTAACTAATATAATTATTGACAGTATATCATAGCGATTCACTTTAATTTTATGATAAGCGCTTAAAGTACTATAAACATGGTTATATTATATCATAGGAAAGTATTAGTAAATACTTAATAGAAAAAATGTACTTATATAATTTACTTTATATAAAAACATCTTTATATCTTGTATTATAAGATTTTATGTATTTTATAGTCCATATAATATTTTATGTTTGAATAGTTCTAATAATAATAATAAGCAAAGTGCTTATAAATCCATAGATAAATCTTATCACAATATCGCATCACCCACAATCATAATTTATTTACTTACCTACCCTAACAAGGTGAACCTATAATATAGAAAAACAAAATACGTGTAAAAAATAAGACATTCTGACAATTTTAAAAAAAGAGCCAGGACGAACGAAGAAATACATATAAAAGGATAAGTCCTCGTAAAAGAAGGCGTCTGGTCACCCTAATTGTGAAGAATAAATATGGAAGATTCAAGTGACTATTATATCGAAGGTGCTTAAACATACCTTGTATAATAAGTATGGACCATAGAGTAATATATATTACTCTCCAATATGGACTATAGATATGATATTTTGCACTAACAACAAGTCAATGAAGTTTTTGATATAAGGGTTTAAAACAATTCGGTATACCGGTAACCGGTAAACGAATTTCTGGTATGTTATTTAATTTTTTTGTGAATCTCTTACCTTCCTTTTTTCTTTCTGAAACACAAATATTCCACATAAATTATTACTGAAATAATAAATAGATTCGTATCTATGTGAAACAGCAACTTTTCGACTTGTTTCATGCATAAATATTAAATATATGGATAAGGCATTCTTATACTCGCTAGAGGTGGACAAAAAGCATCGATGTTTTTGTTTGATAGATAAATCGATGTTTCGCCATCGATATTTAATCTTCAATATATCGAAGAAAACATTGAAGTTTTTTTTAATTATGTTTATTTCAATTTTGGCTCACACCAAAATTCAAAAGTTGTCACACATATATTCATTGTCTAATAGACGAGCTTTTTGTACATGTAAAACAGTCATAGATAGAGGGAGCTCTTCACGTGTTACTTGTGACCACCCGTGCTTATGACTTTTACGTGGTACGGTTGTACATAGACCTATTAAAAAATGGGCTGTGTATTGATAATATTTTATGTCTCACAAAATAAATGTAGGGTAGTCATGACAAAACATATAAATATTCTATTCTAAGAAAAATTACAGCGCGAAACATGTATTAATGAGTCTATAACATGTATACACATGCATAGCATGTATGTAGCCATAGATGATAAACGATATTTTAAGTGAAATTTTCGAACATATATAAAACCAATCCACATTAGACAATAATTTATTACAACTAATAGAGGTGGGTAGTTCGTGAATAAATTGACTTGAAGGAGTTGACTTTTTTAGGTGAACTGAATGAATTGATTCAGTGTGGTATAGTTCAGTGACTCAGTGCTACCACTGGTTTAAAATAATGATTCACGAATCGGCTGGTTTAATACAATTCACGAATCACGGATGTGTGTTATCAATCCGACAATTCGTCTATAGACCCTGCTATGCCACAATATACATAATATGAAATTCTATTATTGTGTAATGACAAGTGATGTTATGACGTTATGTTATGATAAATTAAATAGGTATGTCAGCAACTTGTGATGGTAGTGATATTAAAACATAAAATGCATAGATATTAGATAATAGATAATATACTGATATTGAATGATATAAATGTATAAGAGTTTTATGTTAAACAAGCATGTTGCAATTGTTGCAAGTCATTTAGTAATTTAATTCATTTTGCGTTAGTGTTTGTTTGGAATAAGTTTCTTTTTTCATGTTTGACAAAAAAATATTACCGAAAGCATGAGAAATAGAAGATATTTAATACAATATAAAATAGGTATTAAGATACCTATAAGTATTTAGTGTATATTATTATGATATACCTATTTAATTAAATTATAAAAGTATACGACAAAATGTATTGTATTTATATTTTACAACAAAAAATTCAAATATAAATATTGTATTAATATATCATACATTGTAATGAACAATGGCATCGAAGAGGATTAGAGCGACAATTATTTTGTTTATTGAAGTATGCATTATCAAATACAAATATTTTGGAAAGCAATCTAAAAATAAAAATTATTGCTGGCAAAAAACTGCATAAGACTTCAATTCAAGTACTATAGGCTGTGTAAGTACCAAGTATGTATAAACTAAACAAAATATACATTGTTTTGAATAACAGGGTAATTGGAAACCTAACTTATATTTTAGTCCAGAGATGCCACAAGTTTACGCTTAAAATATGAAATATACTTTTTCGTCGTATAAATTATTATTTGGTAGAAAATATATTGTAATAACTATTTAATAAGTTATTCTGCACTTTATTCATCAAATAGCTTTACTAATTTACTCCGACATGAAAAACCGAAAATTATCAATTTTTTCTTAACTCGTGCTATCGACGAATAAATGCGATTGAAAAACTGGGCCATAATGAAATGAATGAACTTGAGAGTTGACTCAATGAGTTGATGATTCGTGATAAGGAGAACTGTTTAATTTAATGAACTGGCAACTTAAGAATTGACTCACCAAATCAACTCTTCAAAATGAACTGATTCATGGTATTGAGTTGAAAATCTCATCACTAACAACTAATAAAACGTTCTACACTACAATACTATTTTAAAATAAGATTACATCATTATAACATTACTATTAGCCAACCGCATCAAAGAATACGACCATCTCTCACTAAAATTATTCACTTTAAGAACCAGTAAAAATTCAACTTAATAATATTAAATTTGATACTTGTACAGTATGATCATATTAATAATTAAATGAGTTATTACAATTATATATATAGACGTTTTAAACTAACAATAAAAATAAAAAAGTCAACTATGAAAATATATTAGATATAATATTATGATTAATGATATTAACACCATTAAAATAAATTATGTTTCCATAGTAATTTATCAAAATTCAAAATTAAAATATAAACGAAATTTATGTTTTGGTTTCTAACACCCAACATTATTTTGATTTCCAATTTTCCAAACATAATTTAGGTCTATTATTATTTCATAGATCTGTGACAAGTAATAGTTTGCTAAAATAATGACTTATCATGAAATACTATATTAATAATATATTTTTTTCCATGACTGTCTGATAATAGGCTATGTTATTGTACATAGTACAAGTGCAACACCGTATATATATAATGACAAAACTGATGTGATTATACTGTACACCACAGTCTGATCGATTATTACCTCAGTTACTCTATAGACAAGGCCAGTGTATGGTATAACCCATTAATAATAATAATATATTATCTATATTAAAATTATTTATCTTAATAAGGAAATAAGGTATGTTCTCTGTTCTTTAAGCTACACTGAATAATAAAAAAAGATAAAAATAATAATAAAATAAAAAAAAGGTTGAAAACTGTCAACTGAACTCCAGGTGTATAAAACCAGGCGATGATTTTTTTTTTTTGTTTGTTTATGTAACGAAAAACCCAATGATAAAAAATATTTGACCATCTCTAATACTCGTTCTACATATATGCATAGGCTAACATGACGGAGAGAGAAACGATGGTTCTCTATTTCTGTGCGATAGGGAATGTAGTAAAATTCAGGCAAGATACTAGCGAGTGGGAGAGAGCGGTTAAGGGTAGTATCAATTATGTTAGCTAACAGATTTTTATGGAATGCCTTATGTTTAATTACGAATTATACGTATATCTTAATTTATGTGTTTAATATCTATGATTTTAAACGACAAATGTAGGTAGCATAGACCTATTAACAAAGTTGTTAATATGGTAGGTAGGTAGGTATTTACTATTTATAGTTTGTCCCACAAGAGATCAGGCCGCTTCTGCGCATATATAACGTTAAAACTGACTTTGAGTATCGACAGGCGGGTAATTGACGGGCATAGTAGTGGCGTGGGGATGGGCGTCAGCAACTGGTTTTGGTTGATAAGTAGCCCGATCTCTCGTGGGACAGACTATAGTTTAAATGGTATTTTTAGTTTTTGATATTTGGCAACATTGGAAACCTTGGGATTTATGATCTGTTTTTATCAACTCTATCTAGTCTATCATTATAACTTGTAATCAACTTGAAAATAGAAATTTCCCTTGCTCATTCAAAAATTTATTTTAATATTTCAAAAACAAATGTCTTAAGAAATGTTAGGTTTCAGTCTTATTTTTACAACTGTTAAACTTAATATTCTCAAATGATTGAATGTGTTCACGAAAGAAAAAACAATATGTTTTGCTCTAGCACTAAGCTAGATGTTGATCTTGTCGGTAAGACTTATATTTTTATAACATCATTTATTTTTTAAATAATACTATATATTTTTCATTTGAATATAAACTGTTCAATATATAAAACAAATTCATGTATTTAAAAATATTTATTTTTATAGCTTAGGTCAATTTGTTACTATAAGGTATATATATATATATAAATTTTCTTTCATATGACCATCGTAATTGGTTAACTTTTATTGAAATTAAAACTACAAAAAAAAAAATAGTTTTATTAAGTTTTATTTTTTTATAAAACTTAATAGCAGGGTATAAATAACTTAATCATATGGTATTAACATGCATTAACAAAAAAAAAAAAATACAAATAATATTCTAAACATGTGATCATTAACAATGCCAGCAGGGACTCTTAAACATTAGGTGAAGTTAAACTTGAAATTATTGTTTGTATAATGTCCTATATACTTAAGATAACAGTTTTATTCCTAGGTTTGTCAACCATCTCAGAGCATCTGGGCTCTCTTTATGTAGCTGTTCGGTACCACCGATAAATTTTGTTGTTGGGCACTCATCAATTATATGTTGAATCGACTGTACTTTACCACAGGTGCATAGCGAGGATTCAGTCATACTCCATTTATGCAGTAACTCGTTGCATCAAACAAATAACAACTAATTATAATATTCATCACAATATTTGATACATTTGTGTGTTTATTCATAAATGTGATTGTTTTTTGGGAAATGATAATATAGCCGGAAGATGTTTTGAATCAATTAGCAGTAAAACATGAAAAATATGTTTGCTGTAAATTAACAATGAAATATTTTAATACTCAAATGTAGTATATGTATACCTATCAATTGATTCATTTTATTTTTTCGATTTATACCACTGAATCTGGTGCTTAAATGTCTCAATAAGAGTACCTATACCAAAACATTGACTGAAAACATAAAAAAAGAAACTGTCCTAGGATAAGGGGAACAGGTGCAGCCATTGTTATATGTGAGAAGTTGGGAAGGTAGTAGAGGGGAAATGTTATGTATATCTGTAAGGAACAATAAACCATTACTAACTAAAAAAAAAAAAAGATTCTGAGCGAAGTTCAGTTGATAATTTTGCTTTGTCAACAATATATGTCATATTATGGTAAAATAATTACATATGCATTATTTATATATTTTCTTTAATATTGTACCTATTTTCCTGTTTTTCCCATATTTTTTCTTGGTTTTTCCAATTTATTGGGTAAATCAAAAAAATGATCTCTTTAAAATGCCTCTCCAATCAGATTTTCTTTTAGAAAAACTGTTATCGTTGTAAATCGAATTAAAATTTCTAGTAGAAAAGGGGTTTACCGACAAAAAAAAAATAAACGTCATTGTAAAACCAATACATTCTTTGTTCCATACTGAATCTGAAACTGTAATAATAGTATAATTCATACTTCAAACCCCCTTCCTCATTACATAATCCTGGCTATGCCACTGGTGCTTTTTGAATCCTTTTTAAAGTATATATTCCTGAAAAATTGAGAATGAGTGCACAAAACCAAACAGTATCAACCCGACAGTCAGACATCCTTGGACCACCCTGCCCATCATCAAAAAGTCCTTTTCAGGGTTACCTTACTAAAATCACTCAAAGGTGTAGGAACACATTAGATATATGCATATAAATTATACAATTATAATACCTATATAAATACCCATACACAAAAATGTATACATAGGTACAATATAATATCATTAATAATATTAAATTTTATTTTTAAGACTTGAATAATTATTTAATACCAACTATGTCTTATTTACAGGCAGTTTAGCACACAGTGCTAGTGTTAGCAGTGACATTTCTAGTCGTACCAAAATGGATATTGTTTGTGTTATAGATGTAGTACAGACTAATAATTTGGCACATCGTAGAAGAGCTTTGGAAGAAGTTAGACAAGTATCTATGCTGGTTAATGCAAACTTATCCATTATTTCGGTAATAATATTTATATTTTATATTGATTTTACTTATCATATGAATCTTAAATTAACTGTAGTTTGGTTAAATTTTAGTTTGAAAAATTAGATTTTTGGGAAACTGTTGAATTAGATACATTTTATAATGCAGATGTAGCCATTGTAGATTTATCAATACAGTTTCAACAAAGTTCATTGTTTTATCATTTGGGATTACGTGAAAGTTTTGAAATGAAACAAAATATTTTGTTATATAATGATCTTGATACTGAAGTCACATTACGACTTAAGGTATGTAAATGTAAATGTGTGTATAATTTTTTATGAATTTTTTAAAACACTATTCACAATACAATTTGTTTCAGTCGTCTTGTGGTTCTTATACATTTATTTCATATAAATTAGCTGATTGTGGAAATTGTCTCACCACTAATACTTCATTTCAAGACGAAAACAGTACTTCAGCTTTTGAACCCAGAGTACCGATTACAGAAAAATTAACAAAATTATTGAAAGATGTTGAAATTCAAACCAAGTAAGATTTTTTTTCCTCATTTTATGAGTAAATAAGGTTTAATTTTATTAGCTATACTTGTTAACAGATTAAATTTCAAATTTTAATTTTAATTTTATATAGAGTTCATATTAAAGAGAAATTTCTATCAGATTTAAGAAAAGCTAGAGAAACTCTTTCCGGTAAAGAGCTACATAATAAATTACTTATTATGAGAAAGCGACTTGATGATCCACATGTACTTTCTGGAGATGTAGTTTTTAATATGTTGATATCATTTAGAGATCTACAGGTAAACTAACTGGCAGTTAATTTGTATTAAATTAATAAAACTAATATTTTTAAATGTTCTTTTTATTAGGACTATGATGCAATGGTTCAACTTGTTGAAGATATACAAACTATTCCAAATAAAAAAAATTATATTCAAACACCAGCATTGCGATTTTTATATCCTTTTGCTTTAAATAGGTTATTAAAATTAACATTTTTTCAGTTTATATATTTATTCAATTTTTCATACAAATTATTTAAATTATATTTTCAGGCGTAACAAACCCGGTGATCGAGAAAAAGCATTGCAAGTAATTGAACTAGCATTGGAAAAGAAAGAAAATCATATACCCGATATGGTTTGCTTATGTGGTCGTATTTATAAAGATAAATTTGTGGAATCATCATATGAAGATAAATCTGCTCTTCAACATGCTATTTATTGGTATCGAAGAGGATTTGAAGTACAACCAAATGAATATGCTGGAATTAATTTAGCCACATTATTAGTAATTGCTGGGAATGAATTTTCAAAGTCTGAAGAACTTCAACATATTGGTATATTGGAATTATTTTATTTTATTACTGGGAGATTAATTTAATAGTAATGCGTATGAAGTATACTTGCCTATGTTTTGAAAATAAGAGTTATTTAATAATAGGTATGGTTTTGAACAATTTAATTGGTAAGAAAGGAAGTTTACCATCAGTTAAGAAGTACTGGACTGTAGCAACATTTTTTGAAATGAGTGTATTAGCAGAGGATTACAGTAAAGCAATCCAAGCTGCTGAATGTATGTTTAATCTAAAACCTCCAAATTGGTTAGTTTATGTGCTATTATTCATTGTGTATATGTCCATAAAGTTAAATTTTTTGTTTTCTATAGGTACTTAAATTCAACAGTAGGAAATATTCAATTAATTAGTAAGTTCAGAAAGAAAAACGAAGAAATTGAATACACAACAGAAGAACAAATTTTTAGTTTTTGGATGGATTATTTTGTAGAAGCTACCAAAACAGAAATTGATGAAAGCATTCGTTTTCCTGTGAGTAAAATAAGTAGGAATTGTTATAGTTTGTATTTTCTAAAAAAAATGTGTGTAACCTATGACAATAATTTTTATTTTAGATATTAGTTTTAGAACCATCAAAAGTTCTATTACCTAGTTATGTAAATGTAAATCTTGGTGCTGAAGACAAATCAATCCGCATTTGGAATCTATGTAAGAAAACTATGACTTGTAAAAAAGTCCATGATTGGCTGTTTGTTGCTAGTATGATTAGAGGTGTAAGGTATAAATAACTTAAATTAGTTCTCAGTCCATTAAATTACGATTATAATGTTATAATTAAATTTTTGTTTATTTGTAGTTTATGCAAAAAAGATGAACGATGTTTATTTTTATATGTACATGAAAATTCTAATGATTTTCAAATGTATTTTCCGTCATCTCAGTTTCGTCAAAGGTTTTATGATCTTGTTTTAAAAATGACTAAAGATGAAGTAGGAGTGATGACTAACCTAGATGAAGATTCAACAGAAGATCAAATTAATGTACTTGGTTTTGTTTATAATGATATTTATATTTCACATAATCACATACATTTTATTATAGTAATAATCTTCAATTTTAGTTTGAATATGAATTGGATGATTTGCAAAAAAAAATTGTTCTCGGTACGGGAACATATGGTATTGTCTATGCAGCCCGTGACCTTGACACACAAGTGCGTATTGCTGTGAAAGAAGTACCAGAAAAAAATTTAGGGTACTAATTAATTTTAGTTTATTTACAAATTAATTATAATAATGATTATTAATTATTTTAATAAAAATACATTATTTATTTTTAGTGATGTTCAGCCACTGCATGAAGAAATAAAACTCCATTCTCAATTACATCATCGAAATATTGTACGGTATTTAGGATCATTATCTGAAGATGGTTTTTTTAAAATATTTATGGAACAAGTACCAGGAGGTTTGTTACCACTTGTTGGTGATAAATTTTACTAAAAGAATATTAAATAAAATATTAAAAATATTCAATATTTTAGGAAGTCTTTCTGCTTTATTACGTTCAAAATGGGGTCCACTTAAAGAAAATGAATCTACTATTTCATTTTATACTAAACAGATTTTAGAAGGATTAAAATATTTACATGATCAAAAAATTGTACACCGTGATATAAAAGGTGATAATGTCTTGGTTAATACCTACAGTGGTGTAGTGAAAATATCTGATTTTGGGACATCTAAACGTCTTGCTGGATTGTGTGTTAGTACTGGAACTTTTACAGGCACATTGCAGTATATGGCACCTGAAGTAATTGATAAAGGACAAAGGGAATATGGTGCACCAGTATGTTCAAGGTTTCAGTAAATAAAAAAAAAATATAATTGTTAATTATGTTAATTTTTGGATAGGCTGATATATGGTCATTAGGATGTACAGTTGTAGAAATGGCAACTGGTAAACCACCATTTATAGAACTCGGATCAGCAGAAGCAGCAGTTTTTAAAGTTGGTTTTTATAAAATTCATCCAGATATACCAGTTGAACTCAGCGAACGAGCTAAAAATTTCATATTACGCTGTTTCACTGTTGATCCAGATCAACGAGCAACAGCTACAGACTTACTAGATGATTTATTTATGTTTGAGTATGTACACTTAATTATAAATATAAAATAATCGATTGGTATCCTAAATAATATAATAATACTTTTGTGCAATTTTAGAAAGAAGAAAACGTCCAAAGCATTGACTGCTCTTCTTGAACGTAGTGTATCTGTACCTGCGGAGAAGGGTTTGAAACCCAATCAAGTATCTATTGATCAAGAACATATTGAACATAATGAAAATCCTAACAAACAACGAGTATTGAAAGAAGACAGGTAAATAAATCAAGATATTTATATCTGTATTCCAATAGCAACAATTAGTTTGATTACTAAATATTAATACTCTAAACATTTTTTGATGGTTGAGGTTTTAAGCATGTTATTTCTATAATTTAATAATTGATTTTAATTTAATAGTTTTTTAATGTCTATTAATTTATAAGTAGAACATAGATTTGTATATACTTAAAAGTATCAAAATATGTCATAATATGTAGTAAAAACTAAAAATTGTATTAGGTATAAAAAAAAAGTATAAATGCATAAAGAATTCATGGTAAATAAATACATATATATTTCTGTTTAAAAATAAAATAGAATACAATACTCAAAATTGATAGGTTTCGTTTAGTTGAACCTCTTTTCCTAATAATATTTTATTCATTTGGCTTTATCAAGTTCTTTAATAACACATTTTGCATCTTCTGCGAGCTTTTCAATTGTCTACCTATTTGAATTTTATAAAATATTCCTTGTACCTTATATTAAGCAGCGTCTATCTATATCCCTTACATTATAATTGTTGCGGTGAGAGTTAAAGGTATATTTTCCATTTCATCTCTGAAAATTGTAATTCTGTTGGATGATTTTAAAAATATTTTTCATCGACAAAAATTGTCAGCACAGTGATAATTAGATAAAAGTTTCACTTTATAGCTTGCAAATATTATAAAATTAAATTTATTTCATTGATAATGATGAGATTACAGTCGGTGAGCTATTTCTTTTAAAATGATGAGATTATCTCCACTATTTTTAATGAATATATAATACATATTTTAAATTTAGATGGCTTTGTCGCTATCTAATTGACATTTTTTCGTGACAACACATTGAAATATGTAATGAATATGCATTTACGATCAAATATGCAAAACAAAATTTTAGGAGTGAATTTCAATTAGTATGATTTCTAAAGATTACTGACAAAAATTGAAAAAGACAAACATACCTTGTACATGTGTGCAGCCATTATTATAGGTGGGATATTGGAAAGGTAGGATACAGAATGTTTTAATGTATATCTGTAAGCAACAATAAACCATTGCTAACAAAAAAATGATTCTAAGCACAGTTTAGTTGATGGTGATGCTTTGTCAACAATATATATGTCATATTATGATAAGATAATTTAATATGCATTATTTATTTTTTTTATAATAATTGTTTAATATTGTACCAATTTCCCCGGTTTTTCTTATTTGCTGGGAAAATCAAAAAATGACCTCTCTAAAGTACCTGCCCAGTCAGATTTCCTTTCAGGAAAAGTGCTATCATTGTAAATCTGATCAAAATTGCTGGTAGAATAGTTATTCACTGGAAAAAAGAAAGCCATTATATTTGTTGACTATACCTACATTTCGTACATTTTTCCATTTATTCTTAGTTTTTTTTTTTTTCGATTTTTCACATTTTATGAGAAAATTGAAAAATTACCTTCCTAAAGTATTACCCCAAAAAATTTCCTTTCAGAAAATGGTATACATTGAAGTAACCTTATTGATAGAATAAGTATTCACAAAAAATAAATATTTTTGTAAAACCAATACATTCTTCACTGTGTTCAGAATCTAAAATGTGAAAAGGAAGAAAATATACAAAAACATACAAATCCGTGCTGTATTTATAAGTATACAGTGTTTATTAATAACGTAAATTATTATTGAAAAATATAAGTTCATAAATAAATCTGTAGCTTTTAATAAAATTAAATTAATGTAATATTATTTTTACTAATTATTGATTTATTTAATTGAATTTAAAACTATTATAGTCCATTAATATTATTTTATATATCATAAACCAATAATAATTCTTAAAAGTCAGTTTTCTGTTCACTGCAATTAATATTAATGATTAATTGTTCAAATTGCTTATCCTGTTATGAATAAAATGTGTGCTTTAAAATGAAATTAAAGGTACTTAATTTTGATAATTTTATTGACTTATAAAGTTAGAATATTTATTTTACTTCTCTGGTCTAAACTTTAAACTATTATAACTCATAAATGATAAATCTGATATTAGTGTTATGCATATCAAAATTTCTAGAAAAATATTCTGTATTAAAATTGGAGTTCAAAAAGGGAAGTTTCTTTATGAAAATCAATAGTATGTACTTATTTAAGGTACACGGAGTAGTGGTAAAAAATGAAAAATGGTTTTAAAATAAAGCTGAATCAATTCCATAATGATTAGAAAAAACAAAAATCAAATTCACTTAAAAAAACTTTGAGATAATTGTTGGTTCATGATAAAAAAAATCACTCTATATAACATAATTATTGTTATTATTAATTATTTATTTTCGAATTTGATTAAAAATTATCAATACAAATGTGCCAATAATGTCAGATCAAGAATAAAAACTAACAAATATACATCGCACGATGGGGGGGGCATTGTTGTAGGTGAGAAGTTGGGAAGGTAAAGGGGAAATTGAATGTAAACCTATACACGATTCATCATTGGTAACAAAAAACGTAAGGCAGCGTTCAATTATACATGTTTTGAAAGACTGTAATATTTAAGATTTGAAAATCAAACAATTTGTAAATTTTCCCATTTTTTCCCACTAATTATGAAAACCCCTGGGAAAATCAAAAAAAAATATCTTCCCAAAGGACCATCACAGTAAAATTTTCTTTCACTTTAAATTCCACACTTAAAGTAACATTTCTAGTATAAAAGTTGTTAACACAAAAAAAAAATGCGTCCTATGATAATGGGAATGGGTGCAGCCAATGTAATTTAATGTATACCTGTAACCAAAGATAAACTGTTCTTTATGAAAAAACGATTCTGAGCAAGGTTCATTTGATAGTGATGCTTTGTCAGCAATATATGTGCCATATTATAGTAAAATCATTAAATAGACTTCATATATTTTCTTTAATAAAATTTGTTTAATGTACCGATTTTTCTAGTTTTTCACATTTGTTGGGAAACTCTTGGGAAAATCAAAAAATTACCTCTCTAAAGTACCTCCCCAGTCAAATTTCTTTTCAGATAAATTGCTACTATAAATAAGAACAAATTTGCTCATAAAAAAAGTTGAGTACAGATATGAAAAAAAAAAACAACTTTGTAAAACCATAAGTTTTTTTGCTCCACTCAGAATCTAAGATATGTAAAACCAATACATTCCTTGCTCCGCTCAGAATTCAAAAAGTGTTTAAGTAATAATTATTAAACTTAAATGTTTTGTGGTTTATGTTTTTAAGCTGTGTGCATATTGGTTTATGGGATATTTTTAGTAACTGACAATTTTGTAGAGTACCTATATATTTTTTATGAATTCATTTTTTTAATAATAAACATTTTAATTTCAATGATATTTTTGTTTTACTCGTTTTAATGTAAATGATTTATTACAAAAAAAAACAACAAATTTTCATATAATTATGTCATTATTTCTATTACGTATAGCTATAATGTGATCAAATAATTAATTTAATCATTAGTGTCCACTATTATTGAATGGCGTAAATAATATAATATTTGCATTACATATATAACGTTGCTAATGATAAACGCATAAAAAAAAATGCTTCAGATTTATGCTACTAATGTGTTACTTAGTGAGGGCGCTTACATTGGAGTGTGTTTGTATACAGCTGGTTAACAATATCCCAACCTGAAAAGATCAAACAAAATCAGTTCCTTTCTTCCATCAGTTTACCAGATATGCAGTACTCTTTCAACAGGTATATTTTTTGATTTGTTATATAGAATATAACATTATGTTATGGTGTAATAACTAATGAAGCATATATTATATTCATTTATATATATTTTATAATGTGGTAAAATCGCTATATAAGGGGTTTTTTTTTTATAGTTTAGATGGGCAAAAAAATAATCGACGGCAGTCTTCGGGGACATTATTGTCACCTGAAATTGACATGAGTACAGCAGGCAGTACTGCTGAAGCAGAACATGATGGTTTTTTCATGCTAAAAAAGGACTCTCAGCGAAGGACCACATTGGCTAAAGTACTGGCTCATGACCAGTCTACTCTAGGCAAGATTTGGCTGTCATCCATACGCCGGGAGTTTGGTCAGTCCATGTTGGCCAACGAACATTTGGAAATGTTAATGATGGGTCTCCGAGATTACATCACAAACCAGAATAGGACCGTTGTCGAGCAAACTATATATAGTCTCAAAGAGAAATTAAACTTTGACTTGGAAGCCATGCATCAGCTACACATCTCATTATGCTTTTTCCAAAAAGCGGTGAGTTATATGGTCTATTATTCTATTAGACAGATTTTTAAAATTGATCAATTGCATACGGAACTTGACCTATATTATAATTTTCACACACAATTCAGAAGCACCGCCAATTATAATGACCGTATTCAAAAAATATACTGTATTTTTGCTCTTCTTTAAATTTGTGGTTATTTTTTTTGTTATTAGGCCAAATGCCAAATTTTGTGTAGGTCTTATGTTTTATTATTTCTTTAAATAAAATATGTAATAATGAAAAAAGTACTTCACACCATGGGTTAGGTTATATTGGACAATTTAATTTATATCTGTACACAATGATAAATCATTTGAACTAAAATTGTATTAGTTTATAACTATGAAATTGTCTACTTTTTTTTATTTATCATTTTTGTAAAATTAAAGAGTATAATCCATATAAATCAGATGATAGTACGCAAAATTCTATTATTTTTCAAATTGTCATCAAAATTTGAATTTTAAATACTTAAAAAAAATTATAAAGTTTTGTCTACTCAAATGTAATAAAACGATGAACATAGATAACACAGTTCGCAGGTAACAAATCACCATATTTATAACAAACTAGCAATCCATAAATTGTTGATATTTTGGTGAAAAATCAAAGGATGATAAACATAGGAATGTAACAAGCGTAAGAAAAAATGTATTTACTAATTTTATATTTTTTTATTTTTTAAAAATTAATGCCTATCAATTGTTGAAATGACTATTTGTAACTTGTGTTGTCTAATATTCAGCTGATATTTATATTCCAAATTACAATGTAAATTTTATACCATTTTAAATATACGCAGCAGCAGCTATTTGAATGGTTATTTGTATCATTTGTATTTGTATTCTGACGCTGTAAGTTACACCAAAGTTTTCATGAAAAATTCAAATATTATATATTACATGTTTTAATTTCTGATGTAACAGTTCATCAAGTGTTCCGTGTTGCATGTTCGTTGTTTTATTACACTATTATGTACACGCTAAAATTATAGATTTTTAATACTTTTATTGTGCCATTAAAACATTAAAATTTACATATGTTGTAACAAACCATATTTTGGGAGAGGGGTGATGATAAAGACGTACCTTTCTAAACTAGACTGTAACTCAAAAGTTATCCAATCAAATTGAACTATTTATTTTAACTTTTTCGATAGTTTCTGTACTTAAAACAATGTTGAAAATTAATATATTAATATATAAACATAATTTAAAAAAAAAAAAAATGTATTAGTAATTATAATCTAAATGTATTTTGCAGATATAATTATTTGATTTAACTATATATTATTGATAAACAAATTTTAATTACATAATTTAAGAAATAAGGGAAATTATGGAACATACGGAATGGATAATTAAAAAATATGGGACAAGTGTTGTTTAGAACATTTGGTCTTGACAATCCTGTATAATACAGGATGTATAGAATCCTTAACATAAAAAAAATTATAAACTAAAAGAACTCACAAATTATTTTATTAAGTTATCTATAAATAATTCTAAATATTTCACAATTTTTAAAATCGCACTACTTATTAAAAAATACTAATTAAATATTCTGTAAATGTTAGTTTATGATTATTTTGTGAATTCCAATAAATAGTCAAAATCAAAAAATTTAAAAAAACCTACAAGGAAAATAAAAATTACCTAACTGCACCAACTACATAAAATTATCAATCAAAAACCAAAAAATTGATGACTGAAGTAAGATTTCTGGAAGAAAACTGTTTTTAGATAGCACATATAATTTTATGACAGATATATTCCTTTTTATTCCAAGCACAAAAGTTCCGCAAAGATGGGGAGTCACCCAATTCGACCAAATTTATTTTTCATTAAATTATTTATTTTAGCCTCCTATAATACTGTACCCAAATAACAACCTGTGTACTGTACCTATAATAAATAATCAAACTTGAAGTGTCACTAATGGGTCACTTCTTTAATCAACTTCTTTCTTACATTTATGTATGTCATAATATCAAATATTCTTACTATGCTATTAGTGTATAGATGGTTTATCGCAAAATAAAAATTTAAACAAAACATCTGCTTTGTTTTGCTCACCCACCCAAATTCTTATGGAACTGTGGTTTCTCAAAAACATTGTTAAAATGCCGAGCCTAAATCATAAACGTTCCACTTTTTCAGGCTAAATCCGTTCTTAGGTTGCGTAACATCAAGCCTCATTGGATGTTTGCCCTAGACAACTTGGTACACAGTGCTGTGCAAGCAGCAATTACAGTTCTAAAACCTGGTGAGTACCTACTATACAGAATTATAAATTTACGAGTAACAATAATTTGGTGTTTTTTTTTTATGAAATTTTTAATAATTTAAAGTAACTAAATTCCTGTATTATATAGAATTTGAAGAACCCAAACCGGATAGCAGCATTTTCTCCAATGACACAAAAAATAGTTTACCTTCATATGACTCGTCAGTAAAGTCCCACAAGACCGATGACAGTAGCTGTTGTTCCTCAGAAAGTCCGTCTTTGATGAAGGGTAAACACGAGCTGCACAGACGCACGCTGGTATTGCAGACAGAAAATCACAGGTATTTACAAATGTTTTCCCATTTCCCCATATTTATACAAAAGACATATACCAAAAACCATTATTTTTCAATGAGTGACATAAATGGTTTATTTAATAGTTAAATCAATAATTCCTTCCTTGTCATATTCTAAACACTTGCTCACATTATTATTATTTATTGGTACACAAATTATATAATGGTAGATGTGTCAATATACCTAGTGATAAATTACTGTACGTTATAGTTACACTATTAAATGGTAGGTTAGGACCACTAAATTATTGTTATTAATTGTAGATGTAGTTTTTATTATTTTAAATAATTTCTGTATTAACAAATTGTGTATTTAATAAAAAAATATTTAGATGGTTGATAACTCTAGCTCAATACAGAAAAGCAGAAATTTGGGAAAATGTCATCCAATATGGAATAACAGTGATTACTGATTATTGGATGTTTGAGAGACAATATTATAAACTCATAATTAAAATATGTACTTTTTCACAAATGTTTAATTTATTGTATTGTATTTAATTATTTTATTATAATAGTGTAGCCAGGATTTCTTATTTGTGGAACAGATACAAAATTGTTAAGTTTCATAATTACATTTAAAAATAAACTACTTATTTAATTTGTTGAAATATGATAAACCTATAAAGGTCCATATTACTGTATATATATTACTGTATTATTAATATATTAATATAATATATATATATATATATTATATTATTATATTATATATTATTATTATATTAATATAATAATATTAGTAATATATTAGTATATATATTACTGTAAAGGCAAAATCTATAATTTCAACATTTGTATCAGCAATGGTATGGTGACAAAACTTAGACCTTGACGTACTTATGAAAGAAAAAAAATGAATACAAATTGTTAAATCACTTAGAATCAATTTGAGGGCTGACACAATTGCTTTAGGCAAACACCGGTCACCACACCACTGTGTATCGGTTATTAATATTTGGACTTTGTATATTTATCATAATTTGAATTAATATATGTGTCAATATCAGTTAATAATAATTATGCAATTTTGTTATTTTTATTAAAAAGGCAAATAGCAAATAAATATTTATTAAAACCCAATAAAATATGCATTTATACATTCCATTTTTTGTTTTTAGACTACAAGAAGAATTATTCGAAAGTCAAAAATTGTACAACAGTTTGCTCAAAAAAAAACTGGAAGATCAAAAAGGTCAAACAATCCTCTTACAGTCAATGATTGAACAAAATATTGCAATGTGCTGCAACTGTTGTCTTAAATACATACATTTTGACTATGAAAAAAGTTCAAATGCTAAAGATCTTATTGAATGGCTTCGTGGCATCGGCATAGATGAACACTCAATAAAAAAGGTATCTTAAAAAAAAAAAAAAAAAGCATTATAATAAAATGCCATAGCTTTTAAATATATATTTTCAACTTTATATTAATATATTTGCTTTTTCACAGTTAGTTTACGAACAGTTTGAGTTGAACCAACTACAACAGGATGTAACCAGAGAAGATTTAAGAAATCTCGGCTTGAAGTAAATTATTACAATTATTTTTTTTTATAAAAATTGTTTATACTTACATAATTTAAATATTTAAAATACAACCTATTCAAATTCATTTATCCCTTTAAGCAAGCTTGTGGTAGGATAAATGAATTATTACAATTTGCAAAATTTAAGTTAACATTTAAAATTTTTGAACTATTTACATTATTACTGTTTATTATACACTACTTACAGAATAAATTCTATGATAATAATTGGGCATTCAATCAATTAAAAAACTCAACACTTATAATAATATTGTTAGTTGAAGAAATTTTGCTGATGATCACTAAATATAATATTGACCTATAGGAATCATAAAAATATTATTGTGTTATTGTTGTTGTCCGGATCCTAAAAGTTATCAATTTTTAAATACAACAAAACTTTTTAAACATTTTGTTCTTAAGTTTGATTTGAGAATTAAAATGATTTAATATCTTATTAATATAGACGGGGCGTAGAGCTAAGACTGTGGATTGAAATTGAACGATACAGGGCATTATCCAGTAGACCGGTATCATCAATTATGTCACCAAATTCTACAAATAATTCTTCCGAGGGCCTACTACATCTGATGAGGAGCAATTGTTGTGTTAATAACATCAATAAATATATGTAGAATATGTAGGAATTTACAATATGATAGTTATTAGTTACCACCATATCTATTTATGTAATTATTATTATATTTTTTATACCATGTGTAATTTATTTTTTTTTTTCTAAACAAAATTATTACTTGTTATTTAATTTATATTTAATTGATTTGTATATATGTATGGAAAAATTAGCAAACAAAATTATTATTACTTTTGGTCAGGATATTTGTTTGTCTATATGTTTATACAGGTATATTTTACCCTTTGTATTTTTATCCTTTTAAAAATAATTTCATTTTTCTATGTTTGTGAATTAAATAATAAAAACGAATACTTTATAATTATGTCTACACATATTTTGAATAAAAAATGAGAAAAACCCTCTGTAGATTGAGTAGGGTGAGAGAAATAGAGCACTATTAACCTCTTCGTGCATAATTTTTAATTTTTTCCGCTCTAAAAAAATCCACTTATGAAATATTGTCAGATTTATAAAGTAAACAGAAATGTGCAGTTGATTCATTCAAACGTATTACAAAAACATAACACACGCAATACAATAAAGCTAACCATCAATTAGATGGAATAAAACGTTCGAGCGATACCTAGCGGGTGGTTTATCAAGTTTATTGGAGATGTCCCCACTCTATTGGGGAAAAAAAAGGAGGAAATTACATTATTGCGATGTAACAATGTAAATATTTCTAATTATAATGCCGGTGGGTTGCATAAAAACCATTCTGTAAATTATTGGTTCCATAATCTATCTGTTCTGTAAAATTACAATTATTGATCAGTTTGCGTTGCATAAAATTATTGCATTGTATTTGTTAACTAAGGTTATAACTACTTGCTCAGTTATCGGTATAAAAATTGTATCCATATCGAATTATAACGTGATAATTCAATATCAAACTATAATATTATACATTCTTGTATTTTATTGTTACTTTATACATTATGTTTAATATATATATATATATATATATATATAAATGTTTGTTGTCTATACATTAAAAATCTAAAAAAAATTGTCTGACGAACTTCGTTTGGAAGTTATGGGAGAGAACTTTACGGAGTTCGGGTTTTATTTGTAATAAAACAGTATTTTTCATCAATCGGAGGGGCAAAATATAGGTAAATTAATTTCAATCTCGGGCATTTGCGCCACTCTATTTATTTTGTAGTGTCCCGTAATGTCTATAGAATTGCTAGCAATCATAGCTCAAGACACAACTTTGGTCACTTTTGATAATCTAGAAAACAAATTAACGAATGCACTAGAAATTATGAATTTATGACAGTATCTAATTAATATCTAACCCAAAAAAAAAAACAGGTATTTTGATTCTACCTATAGACTATAGCTAAGAATATCGTTACGCTTTTTTTTTATACGTTTTAATTTAGAACAGCTAGGGAAAATATTGCAGAATACTGACTAGGCGTCACCTTAAATAGAACGCTGATTACAAATTTGTACACTATTCAAATTAATAATTGTTGCGATGCAATAGTCAATTGTTTGAGTATGAAACTCGGGGTACAGGGTTCAAACTCCACAGGTATAAAAAATGTTTACAATTTTTTTTTTACAAAAATATTATTCTTCGGCATGTTCGTGTTTAAAATAAGACGTTTTTTCCTGTACTTGCCCGACGTGGTTTAGTACTCGTATAACAAATCAAGGTACCGCGTACCGTAGCACAAAAAAAAAAAAATAAAATAATATTCCGGCTAAGAGTTTGAACATAGCCAATTATTTTTTAGAACGATAAAATACACCAAAATAACCAATAAAAAACCAAATAAATCGAGGGGCGTGCCTACAGTGCTTTTCCCCTAGTTATAGCAATAGTGTCCGCTATTTAGAATTAAAACTGGTAATATACATGTGTGTAATCCTATAACTCATAACCAATTATTAGAGGGGGGGGGGGTAGAATTTTTATTGAGCAATATTATTCACTGATTAAAAATTAAAAAAACTTAAAAGTGGGTTACTTGGGGCATCTGGTTTTTTTTTCATTTGAAAACATTAAGTATGGAATTTTTCTCCTTTATATTTATTTCTTATCGTGCGTTATCGTTTTTTGGAAGATCTGAACTTATCTCTTTATAACAGTCGGCTGTAATATTTTCGGATTAAATGCGGTTCAGCCGAAATATTTTTAATTGTTTTACGTACTCCCTTCGATGCTACAATATCGCGACACTAGTGAGTCAATCGAAATTGTTTGATATACTACACCGTGACATTGGTTGTGTGAATAATATATCTATGGATTGTGTCGCTACTGTTATCATTATTATTGTCAAACTGCTCAACAATCGCATTTCCGAAAATTGATGTGCACACTTAGAGTAATAAAACTATATGGACGGCATTATGCATGAATCATTAATATGATACTGAAGCAAAATCGAAGGTCTCTTGTACACCTCTTATAACTCTATAGTAAACATTAGACGGCATTACTAACGATATAATCAAATGATAATAAATACCTGGGTACTTGATTATCCATTCTCAATTAGTAATCATGCGTAATAAATACATATTCCTATATTCTCCTAACTACTAATTAGTTATTTTTTATTTTGTCATCATGGTCAGCAGTATTTTGCGGGTAAGAACTCAAAAACCAGTATTAGAATAGCAATTAATTGTCGAATTGAGGATGTATTTATGCTAAAGAAAATCTAAATATTTCATCATTTAAATTAAATGTTTCATTGCATTTAATTATTTCAATCATAGCGCACCGTATATGGTATATCCGTATAGAAAATAATTAGAAATACTCATTGGATAGACAGCGCAATCAATTTTTAAGCGACGTGTTTACGCTTCTATATATATATATATATATATATTTATTTATTACTGTAATATCCACCTTGATCATGATAGTATATAATCCATAAGTATTGTATGTGTATAGCATAATAATTTATTAATTTATTTTTCGTATTATGGTCACACTAAAAGTACATTTAAGATTTATCGAATCGCAGTGACAAGTTTGTTTGGAATACTGAAAAAAATGTTATGAATATGGGATTTTCCTGCATGTATTTGGTGTGAACGTACATATACAACACTCTGCCGCTGCTCTATTTGATACAATTTTATATATGGTATATGGAAAAAAAATTGTTGTCTGAACGTGTCCTCATAGTCTCATTGTAACCCACTGTTGAGATATATTGAGAAATTTAATTTTTCTTTTTTAATAGAATTGTTTACTTTGAATAAATTCTATTTGAAAATTAAAAGTTTTAGAATAGATTAAGTCTATTCTGTCATCTGGTTTCACCTATATACCTTATACTAATATAAGTTCTATGAGTTTCACTATACCCCTCTCGACTTTCCCCTTTATAAGATTAATTACCATAGTAACATAACAAAAAAAGAAAATCTTGTCTCCAGACTAAAAATATATTATCCATAATTTTAAAAAATGAACATAGTTAATTGTTTATATTGAACAATTTGGCTTTAACAGTTCATCAAAATATTGAATAAAATGTATCTAAACATTTAATATACAAGCACAAAATATTAACATTTAAATTTTACCTTAATAAGAATTCAGAAAATATATATTTATAAAAATGTAATGAATTTATAGTGCAAATAAAGAGTATAGGTTAGGTTAGGTTAGGTTAGGTAAGAGGCACGTCCATATTTTTCATCGTGTAAAGTATAATAGTGGCACACCAAAAAATGATTGTCAGCACCGAAGAAATATTAGTAAATAGTAGGTATAAAATACAATGGTATTACACTCTGAAAATTGTTTTATTATAGAAATACATTAATTATATAAATAGTATTTATTTTTTTGTAACTCATTAGTGAAATAAAATAAAGTAATAAATGCCACAACTCTTTAAGAAATTTAAGCTAAATAAATACAAATTATTTAAAAAAACAGATTGAACAAATAATTAAAGCAAATTCTATAATTAAGTTTTTTTAACTGTACTGATAATATATATTATTTAAAAATATAAAGATATAATATGACAGTACCTTTTCCATTTCTTAAGACATTTTTTTACTACTAATAAATGAATAAAGTAAAAATACAATTATATTAATAAACATAAATAAGTTGAAAATATACATAGTATAATAAAATAGTCAAGTATAATTACAAAGTATAATATCTTTGTTTAGTATGCATATCTTCACAACAGACTTATACCAGCCAATAATAACTGGAGAACTACAATAATAAGCAAATAGAAAAAATATTTGAGAGGTAAGTGAGTATCAAAAAGCTCCGATTAAATATATCTAGTTTGTAGTATATAAATGTACAATATTTTTAGATTTTAACATATATCATCACAGAATCTATAAATCTATTCTATGATAAATAAGTGTAATTATATGCTTGTGATCATTGACGTACCCGGAGGGAGGGTTAAGGGGGCTTTAGCCTCCTTGTTGGCAGTGTCAAATACAAACAAATATATTATAAACTAACATTGCTGAATTATTATTAATAAAATAATAATCATTGCATATTTGAACTACTTATTCAACTATACTGAACAGTTATGTATTTGGTAAAATATTTTTAAAATACTCAATTTTTATCAGTTTAGAACAACCCCCTCCCATAAAAAAGCCTGGGTATGCCAATGATTGAGATGTTAATAAATAAGCGAAAAAAAGAAATTATACAAGATAAAAAAGCATACATATTTACATTTTTAGTTGCTATATAGATTTCTAAAAAACACATCTATAAAATTATATTAAGTAAAATTGCATTTTTTTTTCTTTTATATAAAATATATTTGTTAAGCATTGAACTAGACACAAAACTAAACCTTTTAATATTACTAGAATAATTAATGGCCTAGTAATTGTACTTATTATTTTTTATAGACTGCCTTTTTTTGGTTACAATGATTGAGTCATTTACAGAATCAATACGTGTTTGTTTATTTAATATTTCATTTGTTTTAGTTTGTATCTTTTTATGAAATTTACTTTTCAACAAATGACTTGTATTATCAACAATTTTAAGTCGATTTTCGAGTTTCTTAGGGGTTGATGTATGTAATGATCCTGTTGGTTCGTGCAATTTACGACGCTTGTTTTTATTTTCTGTAACATCTTGATTAGAATGATTTTTTATACTCTCATTATTTATATACATTGTATTGTACTCTTTACCACTTCTGGTTATACTCTTATCAAGATTAACTTCAGTTTTAGTGCTCATGATCAGCTCGGCAGGAGATTTCAAAGTCAAATTTAATAATTTACTTTTATTAACCTTTGACATTTTTTTTATAATACTTTTCCATGTTGTTGGAATACCATTTATTTCGACACACGCACTATATAATTCATTTGGAGATCCACCAATAATACTACCAATTAATCTGTACAAACCATTTGTAGTTTTGATTAAATTATTTTCTTTTGTATATTCTAATATTCCAGCATTATGGGTTTTTTCTGCTACTGTAACTTGATCACCACTTAATAAGCTCCCTATGGAAAAAAAAAAATTAAAATAAATTACAATGTTAAGTAAATTATAACAAAATTAAATTCAATTACCAGTTATATTTACAAGAAACGTTGTATTCAATTTATTAGGCGTTACATGTATAGACCACATAGACAAGTATTTCTCAACATTTTCTGAAACTTTTGGCTGATTAACTCCGAGTTGAATTGCATTATTATTTCTAGGAATAGTTTTACAATTGTTTTGATTATCTTCATTGAAAGTTTTACATACAGCAGACGTTTTGGAAGAATCAGATGTTTTAGATGTTGATGCAAGTTGATTTGTATTTTTATTTTCACCAGTATTAGAATCTTTTTGGTTTTTTTCAATAATAGTGTTGCACAAAGTTGGTGTTTTATTAGAATTAGGAGCTATGTCATCACATCGTGATAGTATTATTCTTGGTTGAAGGTAAGACAATTTTGTGGGTAGAATTTTTTTCTTCAAATAATTCATTTCTGGTATCTTAAATGCACTGGTATTATTATTATTAGAACTAATTGTCGATGCAGTTGATTGAGGCCTATAAAAACTCGAAGGTGGATTGTTAGAAGTCTGAGAAATCTGTGACAAATCATTAAACCGTGTGACATTCGAACTAGTTTGACGACTTTCTTGAATGATACGTTTTGTATGTGTTAAAAATTTATTAAATTCAATATTAAATTTACTATATGGTTCTACTAGTAAAAATTCTGTTAACGTATTGCGTAAATCCAATGTTTTTTCTTCTAAGATATCATTCAAAAGTAAAGACTCGGGTTGTGACCTAGGTTGAGAAGGTTGCGGTCGAACTATCAAAGGTATTTTTAATGCTGAATTTGGTGAATCTATTCTATTATCCGCCATACTTCGACAGTTATATGTGTACCTAAAGAAAATAATTAAATGATATATAAATCTTTTCTTTGGTTAATAAGTTAAAATCAATATAAATATTATAGATGTAGTTGGTTGGAATTTACTTGCTAAATAAAATTAATTAATATTGTTAGCAATGATTCATTTGGATATGTGAATTTAAATTATGGAAATAGGTAGTATTAATAGACACGTAACTCACAGTAAAAACTAGAATTTGATAATGTGTTGACAGTCGCCAACTATTCTACTTTATTATATGGCTATGTTGGGTGCAACCAGCAAAGTTATGAAGCAAGAAACTGTTTTGGATGTTTAGGCAATGCACTTATTATGATTAAAAAAGGAATAAAAAAATGGGAATATTTTCGACAAACGCAATAAGTAAGTAATGTGTAAATAATACAATTCTAATATTATAAAGAGCAATAATTTAAATCAAAAAAAATTACTTACTGTACAAAATAATTTGATAGACTTATTAATTAAATTCGTAGCATTAGTTGATGAAATGAAATTCTATCATCTGGAAAAATCTGTGAACAAACTGAGTAGAAAATCTGACTTCAATAGACAATTATGTTATTTATAATTATGAACAAATAATTGAATTAATAGATTATGATTTTATCATTTATTTTATTCGTCTAGTCACAATTGTCACAAAAAATATAATTTAGACGACATACATTACTACTACACAGTCATGTACAGTATACACAGTACACAAGCACCGAATGACGCCAGACGTCTCCAGTGTTACCAGATTTCGAAAAAAAAAAAATCGTACATTTTCTGGGAAATCGTATCTCATAAAATTATAGAAAAAAAATGTACCCAGATTTTGTATTGTCATTAGTGTTATCATAAGTTGTATTTTACATAGATAATAATATATACATAGATAATGAACGTCTAATGTTCACCTAATAAATCCACCTTGAATCTAGAGCAGCGCTATAGAGTAATATAGCATGAGTTCCTTAGACCCTAATTCAATTGTGATGGCATCGATGTTTTTTAAATTTGAAAATTTTTGGTGGCATCAAAGATGGCTTTTTTACTCTCACCGTGTTTCCGAGTCCGTTGATGAGATGTGGTAAACTAGATGTGATTATATCTCATTTTTTTTAATGGCGATAGCCAATAACAGTAATAATATTTAATTATTAACACAGATTTAACCATTTTGGTTCGTGGTGACCTGGTCCCACACTATCACGTGAATTATTTTTCATTGTCAATTATTGTTATCCTTACCATTGTGTATTATATTATCTTGTTACCGCAACTCGGCTCCTAACTTAACTAGTCGTTATAGTTGTACTCATTGTGATTGTACCATTATGTTATTTGTGATTCTAGGAAAAAAGACAATTAAAGACAGACCAAAAAAAAAAAAGACAAAAATAATTCATAAAACATGTTTGTTTTCAATTTATACTTATACAAATTTTAATAATTTTTATAGGTATCTAAATAATAATAATTTAAAATCTATTTAATATTGAAAACTAAAATTATTAATATTATGTACCTACCTCTTAGTATTTTCCGACTTATATATTACTTACCTATATAGGTTTTTAATATTATAATATTATCTTTTATAAACACAATTATTAATATAATATATATCCCTGATATTTTCCACCTTTTATATTATTATAAAGGCGCATATAATAATATAGTTGCTACCTAAACTATTGTATATCTAAATTTTAGCTTTTATTATTTTTGATTAAATATTATACTTTTCTGAATCTAAGTTCGAAATAGTGTATTTTGTGCAGTGTATTGTTGTTTCAGTTGTCTCGTGTCTTATTAATTTTAATTTAAAGTAAAATTTTCGGTTTTTCGTTATGGAAATTATTTTATCGAACCAAAATAAAGAAAAATGTTGTTGGAAAGGCCACATGCATGTTATAAAGTACGTTGGGAAGACATCAAAAACTTGGAGCTGCTATAAATTTTCGTCATTGAATGCCCCAGAACAATGTACTCTAAGTTAAATAATTTAAATCCTAATGTAAGATTCGTACACAACCACGGACCGAATAAAGACGATATTCAAGTTTCAAAATGTTAATTAAAAATGAAGGAAAAAACTAAATCAACCCTAGTAAATCCAGTTGAAATCTATGCAGAAGGAACTAATTTACTTTTGACTTCATATAAAGCTCGAATTCTAGTTGAAGACATTGTAAAAAGGACTCTCCCAAACCAACGACCTAAAAATATTCCAACCGGAAAAACTACTATTGAAGGTTAGTAATTCGATCCAAATTTTAATAGAATTTTTCGCGGAAAAATATGATATGTTTAAAATTAATTGAAATAAATCCATAATTAATTATGTAAATACTAATAAATTAATTACTAGGTGATTGGGCGACTACTGGTGTATCAAACTATACACGACTTTACTACATGACACAGGGGTAGACTCAACAAATAAAATTTGTGGTATTTACTATTGACGATGGATTAAAACTTTTGAGCGAGTCCAATAAATGGTATTTGGATGGTAATTTTGCTGTAGTTCCTAGAAAATTTAAGCAGCTTTATGTTTTTAGAATACAAGTTAAATCCGTTTTTATTATTGCTGTTTAAGTATTATTATGTAAAAAAAAATCAAAAAACATACGAAAAATTCTATCCATTATACTGAATATTTGTTCAGATAGAAGTTTATACCCAGATTCTTTGAAATTGCACATGGGTTTTGAACAATCTATGATTCAAGCTGCAAAAATTATTTTAGGAGATTACGTACAAATAAGTGGTTGTTTTTACAAGTTTCTGAAAAATTCAGAAACTTGGACTAGAAACATCATACAGAGAAGATAATTGATTCTAATTGTGCCAAATTTGATTCTTTAGCATTTTTACTAGAAAATAAATCCGTGGAAGGTATGGCTTATTTTCAAAAAATTATGCCTGAAGATGCTCAAGATTTAGTGGACCTAAATTCTTCCTTTTACGTAGCCGAGGTTTTCTTTAGTGTGTAATTCGCGAGTGCGCGTTTCCGTGCGTTGTCCGTCGCGATCGATATCACGTCCGACCGGTAATCTCATATATATGTATAACCAACCCAAATATAGCGACACCACCACCTCCGGGTGGCCAGGTCGATTTAAACGCTGCCGTTGCGGCACTATCCACCGTGTGACTCTCCAGTTTTTTGCGTTACGCTACTGAACAGTGGTTCGCACACGCCGAAGCCAGCTGTTCGTGTTTTTCAAAGTTAGATATGGTTAAGGCATACCGCCAGGTCCTTATTGCTAAACAGGGCATACTAATGACAGCGGTTATCACACCGTTTGGACTATTCGAGTTTCCCGTAATGCGGCGCGAACATTTCAACGCGTCAACGACGTGGTGCCTTCGACTACGCTTTCGCGTACATTGACGACGTACTGATCGCGTCCCGGGACGAGCCCTCGCACGAGCACCATGTACACGCGGTTTTGGAGCGGCTACACAAATATGACGTGTCAGTGAACCACGCAAAGTGTGTTTTCGCCGCCGCCTCGCTCACTTTCCTAGGTCATACTATCGATAAGAACGGTTGTCGACCTAACCCGGACAGCGTCGACGCTATACAACAGTGGCCACTTCCGACGACGAAGAAAGACTTACAGCGATTTCTCGGCTCGGTAAACTTCTACCGCGGATTTATACCGTGAGCAGCGACAATGCAACAAACTACGTTGTACGACCTAGTAGCCACGCAAGTAGAAAAAAAAAAAAAGAGACGGACCTTTACAGCGGACCGACGACAGACGGGCCGTATTCGACACCCGCCGTACAGCTCTCGCTACCACGGCAAATTTAGCTCACCTCAAACCGAACGCGGAGGTACGCGGACGCGTCTGGTACATCGGTCGATGCCGTCATCGAAAAAAAGGAGGGGCCAAACCACCGACATTTTCCCATCAATATTGGTAACACTGGGGAGACGCGCGTCCGCCGTTCCGATCGGACTCGGCACTTGTGACCTTTCCGTATGTGTTGTTAAGAACAGATAATCTGGGTTTCCCGGTCAATCAAAAATGCCACCATTTTTCTCCGATAAATTCTCATCCGTCGGTTACGCGCGTCCGCACGGCCGTCGGAACGATGGCTTTTACTCCAACCGTACCACCAGAAGGAGGTCCTCCAAAAGTGATCTCTTCTTTTTCACCCGATGTGCTGTCGATCCGACTAGACGGCCGAGTAACACAATTATGCAGGTCCCACCGTGCGGGGAATCCGTCAATGTCTCAATTAGTTTTTGGCCAGCGTATTGGTCTCATATTATTCCTCTTTGGTTTAGTGCCTCGGGCGGCATTCCAGGTTATTTCGTTTTAAAAAGAAAACATACGACAAACAGATTTCCTTGTAATATTACCTATAATTAGTGTTTATACCCATAAATGTATTGTTAGTGATTCACATCGTATTATTTTATTATTTCACGTATATTGTCTACGTATACATATATTAATATGTACTCTCGATTACTCGTTTCCTAAGCATGTTAAAATATTGCGTTTTATTTTCCTGCCTTCCACTTTCATATAGGTAGGTATAACAAAAAAAAAATCGTTAATACTGAAAGTTATTCACTCCGTAAGTAAATGAACCTGATATGGCTACGCGCTCGACAAAATCGACATAGGTACCGTACGCAAACACAATCCTTTTTCCGTAATCCTCAATCGCACTTCATCATTATGAAAGATACTCAGATGTGTTATACTTTTCTATTATGTATATTAACATTACGATTATTTGTATATTTATAAATTTGTATGTGACCCTATGCAAAACGTTCTCCCTTTATTTTGTGTGGAGTTTTTACGACTTGTGCTTTTTTCCACGTTAGCTGATAGATATAAATATGTCGATATCTGTTTTTTTTTTCTTCTTAATAACTTAATATACCAATTTTTATTTCTCCCCGAAATCAAACTGGTTATTCGTTATTATTACAATTGCATATATATTACCTTATAGTACCTCTTTTCAGGTTTTTACAAAAAAAATGACGACTCCCTATCATTATGTCGACAAATTTTATAGTTGTTAGGTTACAACACTCTGAACACTCCGGCGTAACCGTCTCGGTGTTCGGTGGGCAAAAATCCAGTATATTTTACTCTATCGCCTCAGGATACTGGTATCTATATCCTACCTCAGCGGTTCCCAAATTATGACGCACGTCTCCTTTGGGAGGCGCAAGTACTTATCAGTGGATGCGTGAGATAAATATTGATATTTTTAGATCAACGATAATTTCGTTGAAACGTTTATCTTATCTATTCGATTCAAATATATTAATAATTCATTTATTCGCGAGAGCCGCGATTAGTTTTTTTACTTTTAGAGATGCATGAACCAAAAAAGTTTGAGAACCGCCGACATTAGTATAGTAATATACCAGTGGCGTTCTAAGAAATTTCTATTAAATGAAGGTGGAACAAAACTGTCTTTGAAACTCTACTTTTAGTCGGCCAAATGGAGACTATCTTTTTGTCACCTATGGCCAGTGACGGGTTTAAGAGTAAAGGACAATCCATCATTTATTTGTGTAGGTATTTGCCATATAAATTTAAAAAATGAGTAGTGGTATGATAAAATCTAAATTTGTAAAAAAAATGTATACCCATATTAGGTACGACGTATTTAAGGTTTTTGCAAACGAATTTTAACCACTGCCGGGCAGCTCAGAATTTGCTATGGGAGTTTGCAATGTAGCAGTGGCGCTGACAAATACTATCCAGAAATTCGGTAGTAAAAACTGGTGTACCGATACATTTTGTACCGGTTTACAAATACTTGATACCGATTATTTTACGCATTCGACAATGGAAATCGGTGTATCCCTACCATCGTCAAAAATTAACAATGATAATACTACCTATCAAATTAAATACTAATCAATTATTTAAATTATTTATTTTATTTATACTTCTTATTTCCCGCGTATTAATACATAAGTAGTAACTAGTAATTACTACTAAAGTAGTTAAGAAAAATGATAATCAACCCATTTAAAATTAAACTTTTTAAAGAGTTTATTTTGAATAAAAATCGCAGGTATATATTAATATATTAATATTAAAACTAACAGCACAAAGTTGACTCACGTGTACACAAATTTTCAATTGCAATGTCGTTCGTTTGTAAGATTTAGCATTTTACTAAAACATTACAAATTACCTACCTTCAATATGATGGTCATTCAAATGGTTCCAAATTAATTTGAATATTAATTGTTATCAATTAAATTATTATTATTATCATTTATCTGATCGTTTATTATTTCGAGGGGGAAATAAGAGGGGATGAAACCGGATGTAAATAGTGTGCACCATATGCACGTGATGTTGCGGACAAATTAAACCGGTGTCGGGTGTCGTTAATTTTATGTTACCAGTTACTCCAAAATATGCCTCAAGTTCACACCGGATTGATTTTCAAAAGGAAATTTACACCGGTTTATACCAACGAATTTCTTGTTTACATATTCAATATGTATACAGTACAATATATACAGTTAGTGTATATACACTAACTACTGTAAAATCTAGCAACCAGTTTTATCAAATTTTTAGTACAAACCTGGAATTTAAGTCTGGAATATATAAATATCGAAAACCAATTTTTATAATCTAGTGTTACCAACTTTTGGACTAAAAACATATACGTCCCTGACCAAAAGCCATTCTTTTAAAAATTGTAAGAAAAAACAACATTTTAACCTTACCTTAATTTACACTAGAAAAGATATTAATTTTTATTGTTACACTTGGGACATTAACTTCCTAGAAATTCTTATCAGTACCACAGAACGGCTACCATATCTTTTTTTCAACAAAACAATTATTAAGTGTTTTTAGGCAAAATTTGAAAAATTGATATGTAAATAAAATTGTTTATAGAAATTTAAGAATTGTACGTTCCAGATTTCTAAAACACTGTCTATTAATATTGATAATCGTGACACCGGGTCTGAGCGTGTTTATTCATCTCTGAAAACAGCCATAAAATCATGAATCTTCTTTAATCTTCGTTTATTCCGTTTTTACTGTGTATGCGAAACATCGCCATCTATCAATATTTTTTTTGTTAAATTGCGGAAAGTTCTTGTTCGGGACATAACAGTGAGCGTATTTATATATTACGAATTTTTACTGTCCAGGATATTTTGGTCTGAGCATTTATTTCTCTGGCTAATTACGTTACAGACATTTACAAAATTTCATATTTCGGATTTTTACAGTTCACCGTTTTCTTTTATATGAAATTAAAATTTTGTAATATTACTTTCCGAAAATGTCTTGTCCGGGACATAATAGAATGCGTATTTTTGTATTCCATATTATTATAGTCAGAGTTTCGGGTATAGGCATTTATGCTTTTCAGACTTTTAGTCCGGAATATTCTGGTCAGAACATTTATTTTTCCAGCCAATTACAATCCGGACATTTACAGTGTTTTATTTTCCGGATTTTTACAGCTCGCCGTTTTCTTGTTTGTAAATTTACATTCCTGAATTAATTTTGGAATTTTATAGTCCGTACAAATGTTGTTAATGTTTTTTTTCTACGGAATATTACAGGCCGTATGATTAATGAAAATTTCCGGATTATTACAGTCCGTCTGATTATTTTCCAGATAATTCTGGTTTACTGTGTGCGCAGGCTATCCCACGAAGATGTACCCCTTGAATATCTCTGGAGATAATAAACATAATCAAATTCTGTTTTTTTTTTTTTTTTTTTGTTATATTATTCACAATGATGAGGACTACAAATATTTATATTTTAATTAATTTTTTTTTTTAGTAAAATAATTAACAAAATAATATTATTTTATTATTTTCGGAAAATTTTAAGAAAGCCATTCTGTGGAGTTTATTTTTCTAAAAATTTTAATGTATCACACAGTTATATCCAATGAATAGTTTCTAAGTAACTAACCGTTTTAAATTTGAATAATCCGTGTGAACACCGATGTTATCGCGTAACGCGGTCAGGTTATTCTCAGCTTAAATCTAGAGCTTAAGCTAGCCATACACGATACGGTTTACCGAAGAGGCCAGACTGTGCAGTCGCCAGTCTCCGGTCCACAGTCCTTGTATATTTATATTCTATTCATATTTTCTTCGCTCTTTTTTTGTCAGTTTTTGACATGGATACGATTTATACAAATCGATAAATTCCTCCAATATTTTACGGCTCATTATAATATTGTGGTATAATATATTAAAATATTACAATAAAACAATGTAAATAAAACAGGTATAATATGTAAGTGTACGATGTTACGATAGCAAACCAACTGGTCGAACGATAACGAACGACACGGTCCGACATACGCTCCGGTATGCCTGTACAGACATGACTGCACAGGCAAAAAGAATCGTTTTTCGATTCTTTTCCGGCTGTCTGTACAGTTCCCGAAAACTGTGCAAACTTGTCACACACACGTTCCGGAAAAACTGTGCAGGCCAACCTTTCCGGCAAACCGGAACGTGTATAGCCATAGCTTTACTTTAGGTTCTTTAAAAATGTACTCACTGGTTTATTCGACATACTGAAATTTTTTGGTAAATACCATTTTTCGATGAATAAATTATAGTTATCGATATTACGGTATTCAACAAAACAGCGGTATACTGTTCCCTATACAAAAAAAAAAAAAAAAAAACCGCCAGGTATAATTCAATCTAAATATTTAATAAAGATACGGACATAATTCACATCTATTATGAAAACCCCTAGGAAAATCAAAAAATTACCTCCCTAATCAAATTGCCTTTTAGAAAGTGTACCAAACTTGAAAATTGGAACACAATTTCTGGTAAAAAAGTTGTTCATAAGAAAAAAAAATAAACATCATTATTAACCAATGCTGTTCCGAGGTCCACAGAATATAAAAATCACTTAAAACACATAATACAATATTGCACTTCTTCAAAGACTATTTTTAAATGAGATTTAAAAGAAAGACGTTCTAGGATAATGGGGTCGGGTGCTACCATTGTTAACAGTAATTTAATGTACAGTGTACACCTGTAAGCATCAATAAACCGTTGCTAACGAAAAAACAATTCTGAGCAGAGTTCAGTTGATAGTGCTGCTTTGTCAACAATATTTATGTTATATTATGGTAAAATTACAATTATTCCAATTTTAAAACTAAGATGGATCCCGTTTTTGCTCTGCTTTTTTATTTTGGTTTTTCATATTTGTTGAGAAAAATCTTGAGAAAATTGAATAATAACCTCTCTAAAATACTTCCCCAGTGCAATTTCCTTAAAAAAAAAATTGTTATCATTATAAGTTGGTGCAAAATTACTGGTAGAAAAGTTGTTCACAGAACAAGAAAAAAAATATAAATATCTTTGTAAGACCAAGCTTCTTCTCTTCACTCAGAATATAAAAGTTTTTTTCGTAGACAAATAATATCTATATATTTCTGTAATTATTCAAGAAACTCTTTTTATTGCTATTCTTCTAATAATAAATTACGTATGATAATGAAAAAAAAAATTGTTGTTGTCTAATTAATAGAAATTTAATCTATTAGCTGATAAGAAATTTTTACTGCTCAACATTTTTGTCACCTAGTGTACTAGGTTAAAATGTCTACTGGATTTGCAGGACAAATTGCCTGGATCCAGGACAAAATACATTATACATACTTAATATTAGATTTTATAATGTGCAATATACATTTATATGTTTAAAAGTATTTATTTACATTAGATAACAAACAAAATATCCAGAGTTTATCGTAAATGTAAATGATTCCATTAATAGTACCTAGTAAATACTATGACTTTTCCACATAACTCATATAAGTGTTGGTATATTATTGAAGTATAGTCAGTGTAAGTTATACCTATTACATAATATTTATTATATTTTCTTCAGATATTTCTTCTGACACATTTATGGACCATACGGTATATATAATATTATTAACCACTAGTATAGGTATGTTGAAGTAGGTACTAAAAGGCAACAAAAGTAAATCACCTTAGAATTAAGTTGTATAAAGTTTTATTTAACTTCTGAAAACAAATAAACATAGAAGAATTAACAGGGTATTTTTTTTGTCTTAAATTATTTATATTATGTATAAAAGAATTTTTCGTGGTCACACAATAGAAAAAAAGTTATACATACATTTTTGATAGTGGGAGGGTTTTGGTTTTTTTTATATTCCGCTAAGTATAATAATAATATTAATAAAATTTTACTTTTTATTCATAGTCTTTGTACGAATAAATTAACAGTCTTATAATAAAAGATTAGTGATATTATAATGATAGGAAAAACTTGTGATTGACATCCTTTTTTTTCTATTTTTTTAAAAACTGTTGATAACACGTGCGATAGAATAACTACTAAAAATGGAAATGGATAACAAATTTAAATAAATAATTATTGTGGAAAAAATATATAATTGATGAGCGTTAATTATTCCTGCATAAGCAATAGTTATGTTTATAATAGAAATAAATGAGGAAAAAAATTGTATTTTTCAAAATAATGGTCCAATAATCTATTTTTTTTTTTTTAAATTTTTTTTTAATATATATTTTTTTTTAATAATTAAAAACTAGTAGCTATTATAATAATGTAATTCAAATTGAGTGAATTGTTAACAAGTTGTATTAATTATAATATTTTTTATTTATTTAAACTATGAAAAAAAATAAATGAAGACATGTTTAAATTTGCAGGACCTAAATATAAAATTCATTTGATGGTAGATAATATTAATGTAATGGTTTTATTTAAATATTATATACACAAAATAGTATTAATAAAGAAATATTTATAAATATTAATGAATGTATGTATATATTAAAGGATGTACCTATACTAAATTAATTATGTATATATATTTTTTTTTTGTTTTTAGATTTGACAAAATAACTGGCAAAATATTTAGCATAATATGTAGGCTAATGTGACAGATCACACTTTACTGCACATTGCAATTGATACGTAAAAGAATGATAATGTGATAATAATCATACGTCAAAAATATCTTTGATTTATATAATAAAATTATCGAGGTAAAAAAATTAATTGGGGAAAATTTAAATAATTATTAATTATAATAATAAGAAATATGAAATACTCATATTAATTAAATAATGTTTTGACCACAGAGTGATAATAGAGATACTCCAAATAAAATAATATATTATTATGTAGAACATTACGAATAGAGTGTACAGTAAAATGAAGAGATCGATATAGCAAAAGATATTATGCCTTAAATATTGATAAAACAAGCGATGCACGAGTACAGTCCAATAGATACGTACTGAACATTCTTATTATAAACTGAGGTTTAAGATTTGTAATAACCATTATTAAAAAAAAAAAAAAAAAAAAAAAAAAAAAAAAAAAAAAAAAAAAAAAAAAAAAAAAAAATTATCATCGCAATGAATATAATATAATATTATAATTGTAGT